AGGTGATACATGAAGCAATAGATTGTGTTTTTTTATACACTAAAGACATTAAAAAAGATTACTAAGATTTATTCAATCTTATAGATATTCATGTACTGTTGATGTTTTGTTCTGCTCGGAAAAATGGTCTCCTCTTAAATATTTATTGCAGAATCCTGTGAGATTCATGTAGGCAACAAAGAAAGAATGTGCCAACAGTATCGCAATGTATGTTGTAAGAGGCGACAATTCTCTTTTTTTTTTTTTTGTAGAATGGGGGGAGGGGGGATGTTTTTTCTATCATATCTATCAGGGGTTATTGATGAGACCTCAGAGGATATATTCTACAAGGGGGATATTGAAGAGACACCAGAGTGGATATTGACAAGTTCCCTCTTCGACACTTCAGATCTTGGATCTTGATATTATCCCTTGTTTTCTATTTTTCTCCTATTTTCTGTCTTTTATTTTCAGTTGTGAAAATGTTAAACCATGATGCGATAGAAAAATGAATAGGTTTTGTTTTTAGTCCATTATACAAACGGTTAGAAAATTTTGAGGAATCCTCATGTAGTAGCTAGTTACAACATTACTGAACAACATACAGGAGACCCATCACATGGCATCCAAAACAATTAGGGTAAAATGACCCAGGTGCACATTACCACTATATGGCACTGGAAGTCCATTTATCAACTGCCTTAAAAATAAATTAAAAAAGAAACTCTTTATATCTTAACATTAAGAGTTCGTTTTTATTATCAAATTAAAATTCAAAATTATTATGAAATTCTTCTTTCTTACATGTCATTATTGAATATGTGATATTATTGATTGTGAAATTATTGATTATGTGATGAAGGTCAAGCAGTTTGTATTTTCATCAGTGCCACACCAAGAATGTTATATTAATATATCTGCATTGTTTTTCTGGTTTCTCCCATGATCAGAAAATGAAAAAAACTTTGAAGTACAGAAGACCTTCCAATTTCAAGGTTAACCAGAAGAGGAGATATTTATGTACTGTAGGGTACCATGTTACACAATAGGAAGGGACCAAGCCCTCTAACTAGGTTGACGTAGAGACGACCTTCCTATTTCAAGGTTAACCAGAAGAGGAGATATTTATGTACTGTAGGGTACCATGTTACACAATAGGAAGGGACCAAGCCCTCTAACTAGGCTGACGTAGAGACGACCTTCCTATTTCAAGGTTAACCAGAAAAGGAGATATCTGTCTACTTTAGGGTACCATGTTACAGATGACCTTCCTATCACAAGGTTAACCAGAAGAGGATATATTTATGTACTGTATTGTACTATGTTATACAATAGGAGGGAACCAGACCCTCTGACTATTGTGAAGTACAAACTTCCTATCTCCAAGATTAACCAGAGGAGGGGGAATATCTGTCTGTATATAGTACATGTGTACATGTATACTTTATCAATTGCCTTTCTAGCTGTTTTTCAATTGACTGTTTCTGGTAACAATGATCAGAAAAGTAATGAACTCATTCTTTAATATGTTGATACATAAATAACTCACATCCACAATTTATACTAAAAGCTTATACTTACTGATAAAAATAGTCTTACTAGGAATGGATAGGTAGACATTTATTTCTGTGAACACTTTGGAAGACAACGTGAACATTTTTTAATTGTTTCAGCCATACAACAGTTTTGTATTTTATGATGTATTGTAGAATAATTTATAAGGGGTTGGGTACAGTGAAAACACAAAAGCTGCACTGGTTGTTGTTATGGTTTGGTATGTAAGGGGATGGGTACAGTGAAAACACAAAAGTTACACTGGTTGTTGTTATGGTTTGGTATGTAAGGGGATGGGTACAGTGAAAACACAAAAGTTACACTGGTTGTTGTTATGGTTTGGTATGTAAGGGGATGGGTACAGTGAAAACACAAAAGCTGCACTGGTAGTAGTTATGGTTTGGTATGTAAGGGGATGGGTACAGTGAAAACACAAAAGCTACACTGGTAGTAGTTATGGTTTGGTATGTAAGGGGATGGGTACAGTGAAAACACAAAAGTTACACTGGTTGTTGTTATGGTTTGGTATGTAAGGGGATGGGTACAGTGAAAACACAAAAGTTACACTGGTTGTTGTTATGGTTTGGTATGTAAGGGGATGGGTACAGTGAAAACACAAAAGCTACACTGGTTGTTATGGTTTGGTATGTAAGAGGATGGGTACAGTGAAAACATAAAAGCTACACTGGTTGTTGTTATGGTTTGGTATGTAAGGGGATGGGTACAGTGAAAACACAAAAGCTCCACCGGTTGTTATAATTTGGTATGTAAGGGGATGGGTACAGTGAAAACACAAAAGTTACACTGGTTGTTGTTATGGTTTGGTATGTAAGGGGATGGGTACAGTGAAAACACAAAAGTTACACTGGTTGTTGTTATGGTTTGGTATGTAAGGGGATGGGTACAGTGAAAACACAAAAGTTACACTGGTTGTTGTTATGGTTTGGTATGTAAGGGGATGGGTACAGTGAAAACACAAAAGTTACACTGGTTGTTGTTATGGTTTGGTATGTAAGGGGATGGGTACAGTGAAAACACAAAAGCTACACTGGTTCTAGTTATGACTTGGTTAAATTTATTGAAATGAAATGAATTCTTTCAATTAGAAAAATTTCATTATTTTGAAAGTTTGATTTTAATGTTTTAATGGAAAATATATTCAATTTGTATTGATACTGTAAAGTTAACATGTCTGAGAAATACACAAGACAATAAGTTGCACTGGTGCTGATGTTAAAGCTATTAACCCTCAATTTTTGTAAACTTGACTCTGTTTATGATCTTTGCCAAAGTGAAGTTGGAAAATCTCTTAGACATTTCGATGAGAGGTCGGTATTTACTGTAAACATGTAAACACTATTCAGACTACGCAGCAAGCCCTCATATGACTACACACCTGCATTCCACCTGTGATATGATGTCACGAAGAGCATGCTGTATGTGCGACGTTGTACTTTAACTGCAATTGCACTGACTTCACCTGTACATTTGAGAATATGGAATTGGTCATGTTTTGTTTTTTTTATCATGATTGCCTTCTGAACTTCCTATAACATTGCTTTGTATTTTTAGTGGGACACTTCAGATCTTTTTCTTATTTGTTTTGATATCTCCACAAATTGTTTCTTAATAGATACTACTTTGTGCGCTTTAATCTTATCTTTGCATACCTTCAAAGGGAAGTTTCCCAAAAAAATTTCTGAATCTCGTAAATTTGTCAAATGATATGTACAGTGGAGCTTTAAAAATAAAGAAAACGTTGGATACACGAATTCATAAGATTTTAACTTTTGATTAACTTAAAAGTAGCTGAGTATTAAAAGGTGTGTATGTTGATGTTTGTGGAGTAAATAAGGTGATAAATTTACAACATGGCAGTATAGTCATGGTGATACTTGTTTCATTTTGTTTTATCACAGACAAGTACTCAGACTTAAGACCTCCTTAACAGTGCTGTTTTCTAATCCTGTTGGGATGGTTTTGTCTGAAGAAGTGTAAAGAAAGAAAACAGAAAAATTTACATTGTGGAATAGTTTGAAAAGGGAAAGTGAATAAAGATAAAGCAAGCCATTATAATTTGAAAAAGTCTTGCGTTGTCTTGACAGTTTTCCACAATTTTAAGTATGTAATTACAAACTTTTTAAAACAATATAAGAAAATGTTTGCACCATAGAACAAGACATTTGATATGTAAGTGTATGGATTACAGTTCCTCAGCAGGATTTCAAAATGGTAGATTCTAATATGACAGATGTCAGGGATTTTAAAATTGCATGTAGCAGGTATATAGATATGATTACATATGTGTTGAGGATTATCAAAAAGGGCAGGGTATTTGTTTGATGTGTATAGAACCTTACATCCAGTTTAACCCTCACTGACTGTAGTGGTGGTGTCTATAGCTTAATTGCTATTTGGCGGCAGTATTTTGAAGTGTTAACAATCAAATTTTACACAGACAATGGGCTTATATCCATCCTGTTGATGGAAAAGATAAAATTCTTATTGAATTTCTTCCTGAATACCTTTCATATTGTGTTTGAACTATATTTGTTTAGTCTTTAAGCCCGCCATCTTACTCAAATCTCCCTAAGTTGGTTGTCAGGCCCTGGGTTTGTCTGTAACCTGTTATTCTATTTCTTTAGAAGTACTGGATGGATCTTTCTCAGATGTAACATATTGGCCTCTTAATCCCTGAGCTGCCCTTTTGATTTTTGACTGATCAGGAGAAAATGGCTTACATGCGGCCATCTTGAATTTGGCATTGAAAGTTTGTTATCAATATTTCTTGTCATTACTGGATGCTATTAGAAATTAGATCATTCCATACATAATTTCCAAGAATGGAGGAAACAATAGAAAAAAAATGGATAAAGGAACTTTTAAAGAACAAATGTACCTCTGGTTTTTGAATAATTAGGAAAACAAAATGGCTGATGGGTGGCCATCTTAGAATTTGACAAGTAAAATTTGTGATTGCTAAATGTTAAGGATCACTGTATGGACCTTTCTGAAATTTATATGTAGGACTTTTCGTGGTCATTAATTGTGCCCTTTTGATTTAGGGACTGATCAGAAAGATGAAAAGTCTGACAGACAGCCATCTTAAATTTGACAATCATAATTAAAGTTAAAAGTTTTCACTAATTTTTCTTAGACAAATTTTCAATTTTAAAACAAATTAAAATAATAGCAAAGGAAAAGTAGGAAAGAAGAGAAAAATCCAACTTTTGAAAGAACGAAAAATAAAGGCCAAACAATGGTGGAGCCATAATCCCTCTGAGATCTCTTGTTTTCATTCCACATTGTTCCTTTCAATTTTCTCGCTGTTTTAACATTCATGGTTGTCTCCCTTGTCAAGTACTGAATTTGGAACAGATGATACCATATACCTTAATCCTGGTTCTTGGTGACTCAAGAACTTCACAATTCCATTCTTCATTCGATGATACCTTCTTTAATTGCAGGGTGTAAAACATATGAATTTGCGTGTACGAATGGTGAATGTATTCAGCGGAACTGGCGTTGTGATGGCTCAGAGGATTGTTCGGATGGATCGGATGAAGCCCGATGTGGTATGTTGTACCATTTTGTCAGTTTTGTGTTCAAATTCATTTTTGAATGTACAATTTGCCACAGCTTGATGCAAGCAGGGTGTACTGGGTATCTATCAATTCTGGTATGTAAATATCTCTGTATGTCTGAAAATGATCCTGGATGTTAATGGGACCATAAGTTTGTCCAACAAACAAACAATTAAACAAAACATAGCATACTTAAATCTCATTCTGAATTGTTATTTTAAGTTCTTACTAAACGTTACAATAAATATACAATTAAATCTGTTTCAGAGAAATCCACAATGACCAAAAGATTTACCACATCTGGGGGTAAGTACCGAAACTTACATCAGTAGACGTCAAACCCTTATCAGACGGGTTTCTTTTGATCTCTGCATGTATACGCATGTTATCATCTTCTTGAATAACTTTGTCGTTTTTTAGAGCGTTTTTTGGAAATGTAAGGCACTTAACTTATCCATGCCTCACACATGTACATCAGACAGTGCCTGATGTCACAAGTGGTCTCCTTGTTAGATAATTAACTAATTTGATTAACTTATTACCAATGTAATCAATGGTTAGTCCTGAGATAGTTATAAAATATTTATGACCAGTACCATAGGTATAACTACTGATGGAAGTGTTTTTTTGTTTAGCTCACCTGGCCCAAAGGGCCAAGCAAACTTATGCCATAGTGCGTCGTCCGTCCGTTGTCCGTCGGTCCTGTGTCCATCAACTTTTCATTTGAACAACTTCTGAAGTACCAAAAGGCGTAGAGTTATCATATTTGGCTGGAAGGTTTCTTTGATGAAGCCAAACAAATTTTGCAAAAAGAAATGACCTTGATCGATATTCAAGGTCACACAGGTCAAATGTGCTAAAAACTTTAAGCGACATCTTCCAAAATACTGGGAGGCCTAGAATCATTATGTATGGCTGGAAGGTTCCTTTGATAAATCCCTACAAAGTTTGCGAAAAGAAATGACCTTGACCCATATTCAAGATCACAGAGGTCAAATGTTATAAAACCTTTAAACGACTTCTCCCCAAATACCAGAAGTCCTAGAATCATTATCTTAGGCTATTATGTTCCTCTTATGGTGTCATACAAAGTTTGCTAAAAGAAATGACCTTGACCAATCTTCAAGGTCACAGGGGTCAAATGTGTTAAACGTGGAACATATGCACAGATATAGTACTGTTGGCCATAAAGATCCAGGTGAGCGATACATGCCCTCTAGGCCTCTTGTATATCTTAATCTTTTTTTTAATGAATTTTCTTCAGATTTCTTTGTGAAACACTTAAGTAAAGTTGGTTTTATTTTCTTAATTTAAATTTGTTTAAAAACTAGTTTTGAATAAAAAAATGAATTTTTGGCTGGATTTTATAAAATTGGTGATGATTAAAATCAAAACCAAATTGGTACCTGACATTCTCTCTTACAAATGTTCTTAAAACACAAAACAGGTTTTGGACTCTTTTTATGATATTTTGTTGTTTTGGGACTTGGAAATTTTAGAATAGTCATATGTAGTCTTGGTTGGTTAGATTTCACATAGATTTAATAGAATTGTTTTACGAAGCTTAAAGCACGTACATTATCAGAATATGAAGTGCTTGTGTGTGCAGGATTTTCCTTTTTCTGTTACTCTCGTTTGGGTGATTTTTCCAAAAGTATTGGTCACAATGAATGCTTGCCCTCAGCAACATAAGACCAGCGGATGTGATTTTATTGATATACAAACACAAACTTAAACAAATAGATTCTATTAACCTTCCCAGTGATTTTTACTGGATGTGTAAACAGGCAAGGAAGTCATTAGATTCTGTAAAGTCTGTTATTGTCGTATTTTTCTTCATGTTTTTCAAGGATGGAATGAAATAAAGAAATAAAATATGAAAATCAAAAATTAAGATGTTGACATTATAATACTTTCCCTTAGAAAATATATCTTATCTATTTTAAATATTTCAGTAAGGATGTGAAAATTTAATCTATGGATTTAACAGCATTTGCCTGATTAATGCAATGTTTGGACATTAGGAATATAAGGAAAGATGTGGATCATTATATGATAAGGCAGGGTTTGAATATAGAAATGTAAGGAAAGGGTCGGATGGTTATATGATAAGAAAGGGTTTGGATTGTTATTCAGCAAGGTTAAAATTAAATAGAAAATAAGAAAAAGTTTTGATTATACAGGGTCTCGAAAGAGTATTATTGGTTAACAAAACATGATCAGTTAAGATTAGAAATGTCGGAATTTAATTTAATACCAAATACATTGTGGATAGAGATTCAGTTTAGACAGGTAATGTTAGCATTGAAATGCTTTCAGTTGGCATTCATTGACACATGATTGCCAACAGGATAAGGTTAAATTCAATGCTTTAAGGATTCATTTTGAATTTGACTTTATCAAATTGGCATTCATAATGCCCATGAATGCCATTTAAATGTAGTTCAATGCTGATATTCATAATTTTCAATTTTTTATCTTGTAAGGGAACTTGTTGTTATATGTTAAAGCATGCTGAAGATTTTACTCCGTAAATCAGGTTTTCTATTGGACAAAAATTAGGAAACATCCTAAAATAAATAGCTGAGAACTGCAGGCAATTTGTTTAAGTGGTTTTCTTGGAGTATATTGAAATCAAATAAAAGTCATTAGACTTGTAGAATGTTTTAGTGGAAGAGGCTCTGTCAAGTGATTCAGATGCTTTTCTGTAAGATTTGCATTTCATATGTCACAAATCATATTATTGTAGAATAGAATAAAAGATTCGGAATGAAAGACTTCCTTGTAAACTGGAAAATGAAATCACTTAAAGGGAGATACAAAATATGGAGTGATTCAAGAGATAACTGAATTATTGATGTACAAATTCTGTCAGTTAATTCAATCTAATCTCAGTTATGATGTACATGCACCAAATACAAGCATTAGACAGAAGTAGGATAGCTTCCATCATGGAGGCATAGTGTGCTCTTATCAAAGGTGTGGATTAGGTTTTAATTTTTTTTAACAAAACATTATTTGATTATGTTGATTTTATCAGCTTTGTGGACTCCCGTCTAAAATTTCAAGAATTTTGGTAATAATTTGTATTTACAGATAAAGGCTTAAGGTTGTAATAGAGGATGTTAAAATAAGCTCTCCCACAGACCTGTTGTCCTTCGGTGAAGAATTAGAGTTCATTTTTTATCTCATTTACTTGTGAAACTTCTTATTATAAGATATAATATATCATTATCTAATGGTTTTATGTCTCCATTTATATCTCCCTGTTATTTAAAAAAGATATAACTGTTTTATAATTATATATATCCTACCTAAATATGAACCCTGTTGACTTATTTCCAACTAATAGAAATATTATATAACAATATATTATAACATGAATCTTGATGTATTCTCCTATCTCTATCTCTAGTATTATTTAACAGCTAATAGAAATATTCATAACAATATATTGTAAGTGCAGCCTTCTCTCCTATCTGTATCCCTAGTATTATTTTACAGCTAACAGAAATATTCTTTAACAATATATTATAATTTAAACCTTGATGTATTCTCCTTACATACTCGTCTCATCTTTTTATTAATCTTTGTGTGCTTTGCTTTTGCTTGTACGTGTTAATCCTAGGTCCTTACGATGAATTTCACCCTCGCCTAAATGACCTTGACCCTCACAACTATGACATAACAAACGGATGGTTTTGTAAGTACATTCCTTGGCCAAGGGTTCCCTGGCCCCTGGGACTTACAGCTTCTCCCCCTGGGGCATGCAGTAATGGATAGAAATTAGTTGCATGCTTGTTTTGTTCTGCGTCTTTTAATCTGCATGATTCAACAGAAAAACACTACACGATATGAAATATTCTCAAATATATTGGGATGTTTTATAATTGTGTGGATACAAGTATTACCAATGATAAAATTTAAATGAATTGAAATGAGTCAAATTGGACTTTTTTTATATAAAAAACTATATGAATCAAAACCTTAAAAACATGTACTCTTTTGAAAAAATCTGATGTATTTTTATAACTAATTACTCACTGGTAACTTTTCTTTATATTCCACATATATATGATTACTGTTGAATTTTTCCCTGACATTTTTTTTGCATGGAACAGTGGGTAGTTCTTTAGCATGATTGTGAATACTCTTTAGACATGCTTAGTTAATTTCTGTGTCACAATGAATTTATGACTTGAAAATATGAATTTACGACCTTGAAAAAATGGATTTGTGACCTTCACCTTGTTTTTCTGGAATGTCCGCTATTAAAGGACGACATCCTCACAGTGTTGTATGTCTGTCCGTCATTGTCTCCTGTGAAATTCCTTATCATTTTTACAAAAGGTTCACCATGCACCTGATAATACATGATATTTACATTATCACTGTCACAAGACGAAAACACATTATGGTTGTGGGTATTTTCATCTTTTTTTTTTTCAGGTTGATTTGAAAAAATATTATAACAATTAAACTTTTAAATTATGTTAGCTTGTTAATCAGACCCAAAACAATTAACTAGTAACTGTTTATCATGATTGTAATATAATCCATTTTTATATAGAATCCCCTAAATTTCTATTGAGTGGAAATAACCTGATATGGTTGATGGGATGCCTTTAATGCAGTTAAGTTTATTACCAGTACATGATCATATAAGATCCTCTACACCAGTCTGTAATACACAAAAGTAACAATACATTATGTAAATAAGTGTCAAGCTATGTGACTAATCAGGTGTCCAGGATAGGCATAGTAAGATAAGTGGGACACTCTGTCCAAGACAGACATGGTAAGATAAGTGGGACACTCTGTCCAAGACAGACATGGTAAGATAAGTGGGACACTCTGTCCAAGACAGGCATAGTAAGATAAGTGGGACACTCTGTCAAGAACAGGCATAGTAAGATAAGTGGGACACTCTGTCCAGAACAGGCATAGTAAGATAAGTGGGACACTCTGTCCAAGACTGACATGGTAAGATAAGTGGGACACTCTGTCCAAGACAGACATTGTAAGATAATTGGGACGCTCTGTCCAAGATTGACATGGTAAGATAAGTGGGACAATCTGTCTAGAACAGGCATAGTAAGATAAGTGGGACACTCTGTCCAGAACAGGCATAGTAAGATAAGTGGGACACTCTGTCCAGAACAGGCATAGTAAGATAAGTGGGACACTCTGTCCAGAACAGGCATAGTAAGATAAGTGGGACACTCTGTACAGAACAGGCATAGTAAGATAAGTGGGACACTCTGTCCAGAACAGGCATAGTAAGATAAGTGGGACACTCTGTCCAAGACAGACATGGTAAGATAAGTGGGACACTCTGTCCAAGACTGACATGGTAAGATAAGTGGGACACTCTGTCCAAGACAGACATGGTAGGAAAAGTGGGACACTCTGTCCAAGACTGACATGGTAAGATAAGTGGGACACTCTGTCCAAGACAGACATGGTAAGATAAGTGGGACACTCTGTCCAGAACAGGCATAGTAAGATAAGTGGGACACTCTGTCCAAGACAAACATGGTAGGAAAAGTGGGACACTCTGTCCAAGACAGACATGGTACGATAAGTGGGACACTCTGTCCAAGACAGACATGGTAGGAAAAGTGGGACACTCTGTCCAAGACTGACACGGTAAGATAAGTGGGACACTCTGTCCAAGACTGACATGGTAAGATAAGTGGGACACTCTGTCCAAGACAGACATGGTAAGATAAGTGGGACACTCTGTCCAGAACAGGCATAGTAAGATAAGTGGGACACTCTGTCCAAGACTGACATGGTAAGATAAGTGGGACATTCTGTCCAAGACAGACATGGTAGGATAAGTGGGACACTCTGTCCAAGACAAACATGGTAGGATAAGTGGGACATTCTGTCCAAGACAGACATGGTACGATAAGTGGGACACTCTGTCCAAGACAGACATGGTAGGAAAAGTGGGACACTCTGTCCAAGACAAACATGGTAGGATAAGTGGGACATTCTGTCCAAGACAGACATGGTAGGATAAGTGGGACACTCTGTCCAAGACAAACATGGTAGGATAAGTGGGACATTCTGTCCAAGACAGACATGGTACGATAAGTGGGACACTCTGTCCAAGACAGACATGGTAGGAAAAGTGGGACACTCTGTCCAAGACAGACATGGTACGATAAGTGGGACACTCTGTCCAAGACAGACATGGTAGGAAAAGTGGGACACTCTGTCCAAGACTGACACGGTAAGATAAGTGGGACACTCTGTCCAAGACAGACATGGTAAGATAAGTGGGACACTCTGTCCAGAACAGGCATAGTAAGATAAGTGGGACACTCTGTCAAGAACAGGCATAGTAAGATAAGTGGGACACTCTGTCCAAGACAAACATGGTAGGATAAGTGGGACATTATGTCCAAGACAGACATGGTACGATAAGTGGGACACTCTGTCCAAGACAGACATGGTAAGATAAGTGGAACACTCTGTACAGAACAGGCATAGTAAGATAAGTGGGACACTCTGTCCAAGACAGACATGGTAAGATAAGTGGGACACTCTGTCCAAGACAGACATGGTAAGATAAGTGGGACACTCTGTCCAAGACAGACATGGTAAGAAAAGGTGGATACATATATTAATGATTTATTGTACCTACATATATTAATGACTTTTTGTACCTACATATATTAATGACTTATTGTACCTACATATTTTAATGACTTTTTGTACCTACATATATTAATGACTTATTGTACCTACATATATTAATGACTTATTGTACCTACATATATTAATGACTTATTGTACCTACATATATTAATGACTTTTTGTACCTACATGTATTAATGACTTTTTGTACCTACATATATTAATGACTTATTGTACCTACATATATTAATGACTTTTTGTACCTACATATTTTAATGACTTTGTGTACCTTTCCATTTTGATCTTTCTAATAAGTCCAGTGGCAACAACACTGTACTTGTTACCAAATGTCAGGAGTTTGTTTAGTTTAGAAAAATGGAATATTGTTGGTTTATATTTTAATATTATATATATAGGAAAATTTATTGTTAAACAGTTAAATAGTTAAGCTGACAATACTTGATACATTGTACAACAATGAGGGAAGGAGATTATTGGTTTATACCTATGTTTTGGTATTGTTTCGTGTTAAGCTGACAAATCTTTTTACTTTTAGAGACACAATCTTCATCAATGTTACACCCTAAATTTCAGGCACCTGATTATCTTGTGTCAGACACTTTCCATGTACACAACAATTTGCCTATTATATCTAACTTTCAATTTGTCCACCTGTCAGCTTCTTAAATGTTATTCCTATCAACCCTTATCTCCTGTGTATATCAATAATATAGTGTTATCTTGGCTATTAGGTAATATCTCATAAATACATGGAGCTAGACTCTCGTTCTGATGGCACAGAGTGCACCTGCAAGTATTGTTCTTGTAGTACAGTGAACTCTTATCCATACCTACAGGTCCATTATCTCCTCACGCGTATTCAGATTGAAATGTTTACATACAATGTGAAACTATTCAGTAAAACTAAGGTAAAAATCTCTAATTGAAACTCTATGTGATGTATGGTTAAATCTTCCTCTAAAGAACACTGAAGCCTTAATGAGGTCTATTTTAGAGTCCTTGTATACATTAGAAAATCAATGAGACTCTCTATACTTTGAGGAGTCAGATTTATCTCAGGTTATAATTAAAAGCTAGAATTCTGTCCATCTTTACTAAATCTTTGTACTTGTTCAGCATTTGTTGGCTTCCTGACCAACTTAAATTTGACTTCACTTTATAGAAACTAATTTAAGATATGTGTTTCTCTGGTGAAATTCTCACTGTTACTGTTATCTGAGTATTACAGAGATATAAAATGTTACTAGGTATTGGAGTATTACAGAGTTTATCAAATGTTACTAGGGTTTCTGAGTATTACTAGGGTATCTCTGTATTACAGAGGTATCAGATGTTACTAGGGTATCTGGTGTTACTAGGGTATCTCAGTATTACAGAGACATCAAATGTTACTAGAGTGTTTTGAGTATTACAGAGGTATCAAATGTTACTAGGGTATTTGAGTATTACAGGGGTATCAAATGTTACTAGGGTATCCGAGTATTACAGAGGTATCAAATGTTACTAGGGTATTTGAGTATTACAGAGGTATCAAATATTACTAGGGTATTTCAGTATTACAGAGGTATCAAATGTTACTAGGGTATCTCAGTATTACAGAGGTATCAAATGTTACTAGGGTATTTGAGTATTACAGAGGTATCAAATGTTACTAGGGTATCTCAGTATTACAGAGGTATCAAATGTTACTAGGGTATTTGAGTATTACAGAGGTATCAAATGTTACTAGATTGTTACAGAGGTGTCTAAGTATATTGTTTCTTGGCTATTTAATTGTCACCAGTGTGTCTGAGCTACAATGTCTCAGTGACCCTGGGTTATCTCTACATTAAACAGGTATCTATGTTACTAGGGTATTTAATTGTCACCAGGTTGTCTGAGCTACATTGTCTCAATGACTCTGGGTTATCTCTACATTAAACAGGTATCTGTGTTACTAGGGTATTTAACCCTTTTGTATCTTAGTGTTTACATGGTATTTTATGTTACCAGGGTAACTTAGAGGTTTATACCATTAAGTCTCAATGTTTGATGTTTACAGCTGAAATACCTCCAGAAAGTCTGCTGCCCTGTCTGCCAAATTTTAAAAGATGTCCGACAGAAGAAGTCTGTATTCCAATATACAAATTCTGTGATACAAATCGAGACTGTAAAGCACATGGGGACGAGGATGGATGTTCAGGTACGGCCAACACCATGTCAATGTTACCGTGGTTACATACTGTTCTTTCAATTAATTATAATTATATTCAGTACTTTTTCGTAGATTTTCATAGGATCACAACATAAAGATGCTTTTTTTTTTTTTTTACAAAATATGATAAAATGATCATTTATGTAAATGTCACAATACAGAGCAAAGTGATAAAGATAAGATTCCCGGAAAGTAATATAAAGAAAAGTGCTTTTTACTCTATATTTCCCTGAAAAATACATCATGTTTGATTTAAACTACTGTATCATCTCATAAATTTCGTGGTTTTTCAAAAAATTACTATTTCGTGATATCGTAGATAAATATAGTTTGTAGGTTATATGAATTTATGGATTAAGACTAACCAATATATCAATGAAAATAAACCTCCCACAAAAATTAATAATTTTACAGTAATATTGATAAATGGCAAAAATCATCGGAAAAAAATAAATCCTTTAGTAGAGGCTAGTAGATTTTGACATGCTCATTTTCAGAATTTGTCCAATTTCTATTTTACAGATACTATTGCTGACTGTGATACCAAGAATTGTTCGTTTGCCTGCCAGAACACCCCACATGGTCCAGAGTGCTATTGTCCAGACGGTAAACAACCTAAAGACACGACATGTGTAAACATTGACCCATGTAGCTACCCGCAGTTTTGTGATCAACAGTGCCGCTCTAAAGATGGTTCTTTTTCCTGTGGATGCTCACAGGGATACGATCTTCTCGAGGGGAGAGACTGCATCGCTACCAATGGTACGGATAGCATCTATTTTAGGGTATATTGTGTCAAAGTCAGGTAGGAAAAGAAGATGGCCCTAGGTCAAATCGGCAGTAACTCAGAGGTCAATGTAAACGTACTCTAACTTAATCTTATTATCATTTTTGTTTTTCGGCAAATTAGCACTATGATTAATTCACTCATCAACAGTGATTACTGAATAAACAGAAAATAGACACTGCAATTAGGGTTGTCATATTTCAGCACAAGACTTACAGCATAACGAGTACAACAATATAATGATTATTTAGCACAGTTCCTCAAGAGCAGTTTTACATACCTTAATTAGCTTAATTGTTTTTCCTATTTTTTTTCATTTCATCACTAGTACCTCCCAATTCTGAGCCAACACTTCTAGTGGCAGACTTCATGCGATTCCAGCAACTGGCCCTGAATGGGTCGTCCCTCAAACCTCCAGTAGTAGCTGCAGGTCAAGCCATCTCCACTTTAGACTTCAACCACAGAAAGCAGTTTGCATGCTGGGTAATAATCAAATAATATTCCTATCGGGATTATGATTTTTAAAAATTTTACATTAAAAAAATATTTGTGTTTAAGGAACTTTGTGAATTTTTAGGAACTTATTGTGTTGAATTGACTTATTGATATTTAAGAACTCTGTGTGTGATGAAGAATAACTTTTTTGCACAATAAGATATCCCAGAAAAGCTCTGTAAATGTTGTAATGTTTTGTTGTAGTTGTCGTACAGACTGGATCAGAAGGTTTCTGTGATGGAGTGCCTAAATCTTACCAACACAGCCCAAACTTGGACCGTAAAGTCTGATGTAGCCTTTGATAGTAAGTATATGTTTTATGATATAGTAGAATCCAAGAAAGAGCTGTGAGATCTGTTGTTATTGTTAGTCAACTCATTGATTTAAAAACCATTCTATATTTTCAAAATATAGAAAAAACAAAATAATGAAAAACATGAAAATGAGAAAACAACAGTTTTTTTTGGAATGATAAAAAATTTACATGAGCAAAGAAAAACAAAGAAAGGAAAGAAAAAGGTAAGGAGAGGTTCATAGGGCCTGTTTTGCTCACCTGGCTTTGCTTGACTGAAATTGCTTCATCAAAATTAAAGGTTAAGGATTTTGAAATATCCAAGCACACAACTTACAACATATCTATTTGCTCCATGTTTTCCTTTCTGCTCCATTGGGCCTAGCCTGGTGAGTGATACAGGCCCTATGGGCCACTAGTTTTTAATGTGTTACTAGACATTGAATGCAATTAAAGCATCTATCTACCTTAAGGTGTACCAGTTGATAAGCACAACATTTTTGTTGTCATAGCAACTCTTAACTCAAAGGAAATTTTTTTTTCGCTTTATTTTGAATCATAACTTTCAAATTTTGACTTGAATTTTTATTTGACATACATGTTGTGAGAACTATATATTCTCTAAATAAACTACCTACAATTTTTTTTTTTTTTTTGAAAAAAAAAACAAAATTTGAGCTCCTCAATAATATGAGATTATACAGTATGTTTTTTGTTGTGATGATTGTAAATAACTAGGACACACATGTTAACTACTAACAAATGTATTTGTTTCAGATGTGGTGCAGATTGCTTTTGACTGGATTACTGAGAACTGGTACGTGGCAGATCGTCTAAAAGAACGGATCGTACTCTGTAACCAGACAATGGGTAACTGTCGAATGGTGCTCGAGCTCCCAGACCAGGAGATATACAGTATTCGTGTGGATCCAACTGCTGGGTAAGGTGGAAATGTCTACTTTGGAAGAAATGTTTTAATATATTATTTGAATCAATACATCATTTTTGAATCAAGCTTTCAATAAAACTGCAAAAATATGAAAATTGAGAAAAACAATATTTCTTCTATGTCCCTTTTACCCACATTTTCTACATGTTTTCTACGGTATGTACATATGGGGATGCAGTAGCTAACGGTCAGTAGAGTATTACACTGTTACTACTTCTGTTAATGTCCTAGGTCTGTAGTTCTATTAGGGGTCGTTTCTCAGGAAGCTCAGATCAAGGACCATTCTAGGCTGTTTTGGTCCTGACCGTTCAAGGCTGATTTGGTCCAAACCATTCTAAACTGTTTTGGTGCAGACCATTCAAGGCTGATTTGGTCTGGACCATACATGGTCCTGATTATTCTTGGCTGTTTTGGTCCAGACCATTCTAAATTGTTTTGGTGCAGATCATTCAAGGCTGATTTGGTCTGGACCATCAAAGGCTTTCTTGGTTGAGACCATTCTAAGCTGTTTTTCTCTGGACCATTCTTTGCTGTTTTGATCTGGACCATTCTATGCTTTTTTGGTCTGGACCATTGAAGGCTGTTTGATGCTAGGGCAGGATACTTTAAGCCAACTGTTTTCTCAAATTATTCCTAGGTAATATGGGGTGGGTACTTCAGCATGGTGGTAAGTGAGTTAGCCACTAGCTGCAGCAAAGAGACCCTGCCTTGAAGTCATTTCTGTTTTATTGCCCAGCAAACAAACAAGTAGACAAGTATATACCAGATATATGGAGATATCTATTTTAAGTACATGTTAATTAGGGTCTCACTTCAGGAAAACAAGTGCCCTCCAATGATCACAGCATTTGTCAACACTTATGTTTCCAGATATTATCTCAGAAGCAAAAATTGCCAAAATCTATTTAACTTAGACCCACATTTTTACTTTAAATCTTGTTTGTCAGAATCGTTCTTAAAGAAAAAACTGTATAGCTGAATTTTTGGTTGAATCAGTCTGTAACATAATCATATATTGAGTATTCATTTAGATTCGTCAGGCATGTTGCTTCCTTTATACAAATATGCAGTTTCATACACATTGTTTAAGCAAATTATTTGCAACATTATCCTGATTTCTATCCATCCTCCTGTACTCACAATTCATTCTTGTCTATGTATACATCAAAATTGTGCCTGTTTGTAATGTCAAAAGAAATTCTTGGCATATAAAAATTTCATCAACTGTTTTTATATCAAATTTTTTCAGTCCTTATTCATCAAAATGAACATTAATCTCAAGTAATGTCGACAGCACCAATTTACAGCCTAAAAGTTGTATTTTTTTTCTGGAGTCAACATTGTACCCTATAGAGTAACTGAGGGAATAATGGGTTCTCAGATTTCAGGAATTCCATTCTGTTAGACAAGTGTTTTCTTTTACAGCTCAGAAATGCAAAACCAAATTGCTGGAAATAATGAGAGTTCATGAAGAATTGTCGAAGAATTTTGATTTGTTACTCAGTGAACAATCCATAAAATTTATTAAGATTAGAAAAATTTCTGTTCAAAGGGGAATAACTCTACCTGGCTAATATTGTCTTTTCTGTAACTTTATAGAGACAAACTTCTGTATAATGTGACTGCGATGTGTTTATACAGGTACCTGTTTATCCTGACCAAGTTATTCATCGTCCGCGCTCAGATGGACGGCTCTGACGCATTAGTGATTCATCAAGGCAGCAAGGCAGACATGGAGCGCCCCCATGATATGACCCTTGACTTTCCTAACCGACACCTCTATTGGACAGACACTAAACTCAAAGTTATCAAGCGTATGGACTATGATGGCCAGAATGTGTGGATAGTGTTCAGTCGCCTGCGTCCCACGGTAGGTCAATGCTAGACTGCTTAATCAGAGTGGAACTCCGCCTTTTTTAATGTTGTCTGTTAATGGTCTGTGATCAGCTTAAATGGTTCTCTCACTCCTCATTGGATTAATGTTATAACTGTCAGCAAAGAAATTAGGAACTTTAAGGTACAAGATAAGTTATTTAAATACATTTTATTTACTTCCTTCTTCCCCTTCCTTCCGTGGTGTCTGTTTTATCACTGAAATTGCATGACGAACTTTATCAATAATTTTACCATCCATCCAGTAGTGTCAATTTCAGCTCCCATTGTCATACGACATGTAGTGTAATAAAGTGGTATAGCTGTAATTCTAATGGTTAATATAGGTCCCCCACTGGGAACCAGCAGGTGGGATTTTAGTTTTGCATTGTGTTTCCGTCCTCCATTCTGTCCATCCTCTTGTTTTTTTTTGTCCAGGTTCCTCTACACTAATTGTCACTGGGAACTTTATACTTGGGGTATGGGTTCACAGTGATAAAGAGGTGTGTTCTAAATCAAAATTATGTCACATATATTAACATGATACTCTTGAACAATAAAAATGTTTTACTGACTTTTCAGACTTATGGGAATGTAATTAAAGGTTTGGGAATTTCAATCCTACAAAACACAATCTACATGTCTAGTCAATTGCCGGAGTCACTGTGGGCCATCCATCGGTACAACTACAGTCTCGGGGCACACCTCCTCACTCGTGACCTTGATAACCCAACCCAAGTACACGTCTATCATCGTATACGCCAACCAGACTTGCAAGGTAAACAACCTGTTATCAGTGACAGTAGTTCACATGATGTCATTTGTTAGCCAGCTGTCACAACTCCAATTGGGAATTGATATGGAATTGAAATTTAATTATTCCAATCTTTTTCTCATTTTCAGAAATAAATTTGAAAATTTAAAATTCACAAGAAAAAATTTCATGAAAACAAATTTATTGCATCAATGTTCTTTTTGCATATGTTTATTTAGTAAATTTTCATCAAAGAAATGATGGTTCAAATTAATAAGCATAAGGTCAAGTCTTGTGGTTGTTGTCACCAACTTTGTGTCAAAATTTGTAGTTATTGCATGCATGTAAAAGTTGTATTTGTTAAACATATTATTTATGGTATCAAACCTCCATGATAATGTTTCTTTGTAGATTCTGTACCCTCACCGTGTACACCTGATACCTGTGAACACCTGTGTGTAGTACTCATGAATGGAACAACGCCAACTGCCAAGTGCCTGTGTGCCGCAGGCTATGACATGGATGACAACAACAGGTGTATAGGTGAGATTCATATAAAACAACCAGTCTCTGTTCAGGAAATATGGTCATGTGATAAAAACAACCAATCATTGTCAGAGAATTATAGTCATGTGACCAAACATAATCATTGTCCAAGAAAAATGGTTGAGTGACAAAAAATATTGTGGTCTGTGTGTATATGAGAACATTGATTGTAAGATTTCTGGGTAAAGATTTGGTTTTCATGTTGACAAAAATTTGATAGCTACAAAAAATCAGGAAATGTATGTATTTGATTACAAATTGATGTTTATAATACAGTGAATGCAACCTGTCCGAGTGAACCAGACTGTCATGGCGTTATGTGTAGCTGGCCAGTTGAATGTAATATTTGTAAGTATATGTAAATATATGTAGTATATGCTATAGAATAATTAATTTTCAGACTGAAGAATATTAAAAAGCATTAGAAAGGGTATGACTTACGGATGACATCTGTTATCTGACAATACTCATATCATAGGTTCTTATGTACAACCGATGGGAATTTGATTGAAAAAAAAGGACAAATTTCATATTCTTTACCAATATAGGTTCTACAGACACTAGGTATCAATTTTATTTCACAAGTCATAAATAAATCATTCTAAACAAAGTTGATAAACAAAATTCTCATTAGTTGCTAATGGAGCATTCATGTCAATTGGACATGCTTCGATTTTCTTGGTAAAAGTTTCATTGAATTGATTTACACAGATTTTAAATGTATGTTGTTGCAGCCACACCATGCTTGAGCGGCTACATGAGGTGTCCAAAAGGGAGCTGTGTTCCTGAGACATGGTGGTGTGATGGGGATGATGATTGCAGCCATTCACAAGACCCAAAAATGGACATGGCTGATGAAAAGTTTTGTGGTAAGTTCATCAAATGGATTCTGAAATGAGTACAACACCGTAAGATCACCAAAACCAGAATGTTTCAGGTCTTGTACCAGGAATTTTGTTCTGACCATTCTTGGTTTTATGATAAAAGGTGATATTAAAATTGCATTCAGAGATTAAATGAGTAAGTGTACTCTTACATATTTTGTTTTCCTTTATAGAGATTACGTTACAAGCGAGACTAGTTTGACATTGTAAACATACTCACTGCAATGTTTCAGAAATATACAATATCGTTTGTGTAGTGAATATTATAATCAATTTCCATTTCCATTTCATAATATGATTGATGAAACAGTTAATTCTAAAACATTTAAGGGTGCCTCTGGTGAGCTTTAATGAAAAATTTGTGAGATGTTTCAAAAATCATTCATAAAATACATCCAAACTTGAGATAGATATCTTTGGTATTCTACCGCATGAACAATCATTTTGATTTATATCGCGAAAAAGCTTTTTTTTTTATCTCAGTGTAACCTTGGTAAAATATTAGCTGCAATATACCACTTGGTTAGAGAGAATTTCTCTTTAGCTGGATTGGTTGAGCATCAGACTAGTAAGCCAGGGGTCCTGGGTTCGATTCCTAGTAGAGGCATTGAAATAACCTCTGTTACATCAGTCTTGTCTTGAAGTCATTTTGCTTTATGTCTATGGTCCCTATTTTGAGATCATGGTGTAATTTGTGGGTATGTGACCTCATTATCTAATCCTGATTGTAATTAGGTCATACATAAGCAATGATGATTCATATACAAAATATACTACATAAGTATATTCATTAAATAATGTGACAGCTATGTATTTAGATATCAACTTATGGTTTAGGTCAGAGGACATGCTCTGTGGAGGAGTTTCGCTGTAAAGATGGGACGTGTGTGCCACGAGAGTTTCAGTGTGATGGCTATGCACAGTGTGATGATAACTCTGATGAGGTAGGCATAACTGTAATAGATGTATACCCATCTATACCAGATGTACTCTGCTAAATATGAAATAGGATCGGGGACAAAAAGGCAGACATATTACATGTAACTATACGAAATAATGTAGTTTCTACCGGACAAAAGATAATGCTTTTGAATTAAAAGTTGCAGCAAATAAAAAGCACCATTCTGATTGGTCGATTATTAAAGCCCTATAATAGAAATATAGATTTTTATAAAGAAAAAAATTGTTACTAAAATCTGACAGGATAAATTGTTTTGATACAAAATTGAATTTGTTGTAGCTTGGATGTATTGATGCTGTTCCGGCTGCGTGTGAGTTTGATCAGTTCCGCTGTTCCAACGGCTCCTGTCTGCATATGAATCTGTTGTGTAATAATGTCTCTGATTGTCCAGATGGGTCAGACGAGATGCACTGCGGTATGCATAGCTCACTACAAAGATATTGATAAACTGGAATTTTTAAAGATTTATTTGTTTTAGAACAATTGTGATATATGTCTTTCCAAATTATTTTGATCTCTCGTGTTGGCCCAGACAGTGGCACAATAGGAATTTTGCTGTCGGAGGAATCATGTCATAGTTTTGCTTGATTGAATTTCTTGTAAACTTATAATAAGGGTTATACAATACTTGATATTTTGTGGGACTGGTATTCTGTGATTGTCTTAGTTTGCACTAGTACACATGGCAGTTCTACAAGACACTTTCATGGGTTGTAGGATAGGAAAATTCTACACGAAGGGTCACTCACAGAATGTCGTAAAACCTGAGGGTTTTTCCATATTTTGTGACCTCAAGGGTGAAATATCCTATCCTTAACCCTGAAATATGAAATGGTATTTTCCTCTCATTTCCCATTCTAAAACATTGGAAAGAAATAGCTTCATATGTTGACTATGTTCTACGAAGGATGCCATATCACATGATAATCATATTTTTATTATGCAGTTAAATGACATATTGAAATAGAAAGTTAATTTTCATACCTAGATTTAGCGAAGTTTTCCCTAGAAAAATGCCTATAAACGCTATTTGGACACAAGTAGTATTAAGCATTCAAATGGTCATCTTCAAAGTCACTTTTTTTGATAACAACGGAGCTCGAGAATGATATAAGGTGATTTTGACTTGTATTTGCAGTGGCTTGCGAACCCAGTCAGTTTCGATGTTTGAACGGTCAGTGTATCCCAGGGACAGGTCGATGTGATGGCAAGAGTGATTGTCTAGATAAGACAGACGAGACTGTGGAGTGTTCCATTGGCCCAAGTATGTTATTATATATATATCTGTAAAATTTTAACAGTTATCTCCCTTTATTAAATCCTATTAACTAAATTTCTTGTCACAGTAAGTTCACCCTAAAAGGACATCCTAACTTAGATATTTCCTGGTTTATCATAATCAGAAGGTACAATTAAACCTGTCAGTAAAGGCCACTTTATCTTAAATATTTCTATTAAGACAACCACTACATAACAAACACCTGCCAATGAAGGCCACCTCTTCATTAAAAAACTGTCTAGAAAAGTCATGTCTATGTAACAAATACCTGTCTATAAAGGGCATTTATATAAAACAAACACCTGTTTATAAAGGCCACTTCTATAAAACAAATACTTGTCTATAAAGGCCACATGTATATAACAAATGCCTGTCTATAAAGGCCACTTCTATAAAACTATAAACACTATTCTTGTTCCCATTGCAATACAATTCATAGAATTTATACCCCTGTATAAAGCCATTTGTCTGTAAAGGTCACTTGTTTAAGAACAAATATTAACTGAAGATATAAATTGACTTTGTATATAAACCTACCTGCATATAAAGTCTTGTTTATCTGCTTCCTGGAGTTGCCTTTACAGACAGATTTTACTATATATTAATGATAGAAAGGTTTGATCTTGTTGATATACAGTATAAACAAGTATACCTGGTTGTTTTGCAGATGCTACATACCACCAGTGTAAACACTCCTTACAGCAGTTTGATTGTGGAGTAACCAGTGGCGAGAAGCGTTGTATCCCGTCCAGCTGGAGATGTGATAATGAGTACGACTGTGAAGATAAATCTGATGAGAAGAACTGCAGTAAGTATGCCTGGTGTAGTCAACAAGTATTTACTGTAGCACTGAGACAGGATGTACATAGGAATGATCCTACTGCTGTCATCATTTCCTGTGTAGAAGTTGAGTGTACAAGTCCAGGAGTCCAGGAGCAAAAATCTTGAACAGAAATTTTTGCATAGCCAGTCACATGTGACATCTCATTTCATGACACTAGTCAAATGTAAAGACACTTTAACTAGTGGAATAAAATCACTTCATGATCCTGGGGCTATGTCACTTTACTAGTGGACACTTCCCATTGGTTAAGCGGGAGAGTGTCCAGCTAGAAACCCATGGGTCCCTAGTTCAAGCCCCAACGAGGAAATTTCTAGTCCCTACTGTTTATTTCTGTTATAACGATATTCCCAGTCCCTGCTGTTCATTTCTGTTATAACGATATTCCCAGTCCCTACTGTTCATTTCTGTTATAACGATATTCCCAGTCCCTGCTGTTTATTTCTGTTATAACGATATTCCCAGTCCCTGCTGTTCATTTCTGTTATAACGATATTCCCAGTCCCTGCTGTTTATTTCTGTTATAACGATATTCCCAGTCCCTGCTGTTTTTTTCTGTTATAACGATATTCCCAGTCCCTGCTGTTCATTTCTGTTATAACGATATTCCCAGTCCCTACTGTTTATTTCTGTTATAACGATATTCCCAGTCCCTGCTGTTCATTTCTGTTATAACGATATTCCCAGCCCCTGCTGTTCATTTCTGTTATAATGATATTCCCAGTCCCTGCTGTTATAACGATATTCCCAGTCCCTGCTGTTATAACGATATTCCCAGTCCCTGCTGTTCATTTCTGTTATAACGATATTCCCAGTCCCTGCTGTTCATTTCTGTTATAACGATATTCCCAGTCCCTGCTGTTTATTTCTGTTATAACGATATTCCCAGTCCCTGCTGTTTATTTCTGTTATAACGATATTCCCAGTCCCTGCTGTTCATTTCTGTTATAACGATATTCCCAGTCCCTACTGTTTATTTCTGTTATAACGATATTCCCAGTCCCTGCTGTTCATTTCTGTTATAACGATATTCCCAGTCCCTGCTGTTATAACGATATTCCCAGTCCCTGCTGTTATAACGATATTCCCAGTCCCTGCTGTTATAACGATATTCCCAGTCCCTGCTGTTCATTTCTGTTATAACGATATTCCCAGTCCCTGCTGTTCATTTCTGTTATAACGATATTCCCAGTCCCTGCTGTTCATTTCTGTTATAACGATATTCCCAGTCCTTGCTGTTTATTGTTGCAGTTACACAAGTCCCTGTGTGTAATTTGAGTAATTTGATTGGATCAAATATTAACTGATGGTTTAAAAATATTTTGGAATTATTTAAATTTCTCTTTTGTAGCTGAGACCTGTAGTGCTCCACGGTTCATGTGTAAGAACAATGAGACTTGTCTGCCATTTGAGAAGATCTGTAACGGTGTACATGACTGTGCCGATCGTTCAGACGAGGAGAATTGTAGTATGTATTACTATACAGAATAAATCTTGGAAACCTGTTGTTGTGAAGTCAGACAATCACCATATTAAAATGGACCTCTAATGAACCAGAATTTTCAAAACATTAACTGGAATCATCAATTAATTTTTCTCCTTTGGATCATTATTGTTTATTTTCATACAGTGTGGAAGACACTATCTAAATCTTTTTCTCTTTTGGAATATTGATAGTAAGTATACATACTGTTATCTAGCAATAACCCCTTGTCTGGTAATAAGCCCACCATAATCTATGGATGTTTATAGGAATCACTAACAAATTGGTTAGATCATTGTTCTATAATAAGCCCATTAACTAAATTTGAATCAGGGGTTGTGTGTATAGGCGCCTTTGGCTTATTTTCTCTAATAAGCCCGTCCTTTGATTTTGAATTTAGTCTCTGAGACTTATTACAGGATAACAGAATTGTACGAAAATGATTTGAAGGACAAAATTGATTCAATTTGATATCTTTAACAGAAAGCTGTGATGTCTGGGGTGTTTGCAGCCAGGTCTGTACTCCAATACCTCTAAACAAACACAATTGTTCCTGTCTCCCTGGCTACCAGATCAAGTCGGATGGCTATTCGTGTAAACCCACAGGTAAGTAATGTAGGCCCTTCTACAGGTTAGTCAGCTATATCTTCTAGGTAACACTTTATGACCTTGTAAATTATATCATATGACCTTGACCTTGAAGAAGATGACTTTAAAAATAATTGAATAATTCTATTGTGAATGTAGATTAGAAGTATTTATGTCTATAAATATTATGATGTATAACCTTTTACATAAATGACCAAGTATATATCATGTGTCCTTGTGTATGACCATTATATGACCCCAGATATGACCTGATGTATAACCTTTTACATAAATGACCTAGTTTGTGTCCTTGTGTATGACCTTTATATGACCCCAGATATGACCTGATGTATAACCTTTTACATAAATGACCTAGTCTGTGTCCTTGTGTATGACCTGTATATGACCCCAGATATGACCTGATGTATAACCTTTTACATAAATGACTTAGTCTGTTTCCTTGTGTATGACCTTTATATGACCCCAGATATGACCTGATGCATAACCTTTTACATAAATGACTTAGTCTGTTTCCTTGTGTATGACCTTTATATGACCCCAGATATGACCTGATGCATAACCTTTTACATAAATGACTTAGTCTGTTTCCTTGTGTATGACCTTTATATGACCCCAGATATGACCTGATGTATAACCTTTTACATAAATGACCTGGTATGTATCCTTATGTATGACCTTTATATGACCCCAGATATGACCTGATGCATAACCTTTTACATAAATGACCTAGTCTGTATCCTTGTGTATGACCTTTATATGACCCCAGATATGACCTGATGTATGACCTTTTACATAAATGACCTGGTAGGTATCCTTGCGTATGACCTTTATATGACCCCAGATATGACCTGATGTATAACCTTTTACATAAATGACTTAGTCTGTTTCCTTGTGTATGACCTTTATATGACCCCAGATATGACCTGATGCATAACCTTTTACATAAATGACCTAGTATGTATCCTTGTGTATGACCTTTATATGACCCCAGATATGACCTGATGTATGACCTTTTACATAAATGACCTAGTCTGTATCCTTGTGAATGACCTTTATATGACCCCAGATATGACCTGATGCATAACCTTTTACATAAATGACCTAGTCTGTATTCTTGTGTATGACCTTTATATGACCCCAGATATGACCTGATTCATAACCTTTTACATAAATGACCTAGTCTGTATTCTTGTGTATGACCTTTATATGACCCCAGATATGACCTGATGTATGACCTTTTACATAAATGACCTAGTCTGTGTCCTTGTGTATAACCTTTATATGACCCCAGATATGACCTGATGTATGACCTTTTACATAAACGACCTGGTATGTATCCTTGTGTATGACCTTTTCAACCTTATATGATTATATTTTCGGCAGTATGACCTAGTTTACTTCTTCATGTATGACTTACTTATGACATTACAGGTGGAGAGCCTGTCTACATCATCTTCTCTAACCAGTACCAGATGCGACAGGTTGAGCTGACAAACTATACTTATGCCTCCCTCGTCTCCGGACTCAAAAACACCATTGCCCTTGATTTCTATTACGAGGGGAACTACATCTTCTGGACGGACGTTGTAGATGACAAAATCTTCCGAGGAACCATGCTGGGAAACAGTACGTTTGGTACGGTCATAATACTAAAATTCACCACCTTGAACTTTGACCTTAAAGGATTTTTTTTTTGCGCGTATCAGAATAGTTAGACATGTCAATAGAGGTATTTAGTAGAATGGATCTTCAGACTTGCATGAAGTGCTTTAATAGATGTTGAAAAAATTTGATTTTTATTTGAATGATTTTTTTTTGTGAAATGTGATGTTTAGGGAGGTTTGATTGAGTTGATCCATTACACATGATGGTAGTAATGATCTTGGTTAGGAAACAGTATAAGTAGATCATTGTTATAAGTAATGGAGAGAAATTGATAACTATATCCAAAGGGTCATGTGGAGTTTTCAGCCAATCAAACTCTTTAGTAGTTTAGATAAACTATATATAGTTCATGCTCTTTAAACTTTTATTTAGAATAAAATTGATTGAAAAATGCATGTGTATTAGATTGCAAGAAAAACTCGCTGACACACACAAAAAAAAAAAAAACGATAAGTGCAGTGAACAGCCAATCAAAGTCAGTAAAATAAGTGCAATGAACAGCCAATCAAAGTCAGTAAAATAAGTGCAATGAACAGCCAATCAAAGTCAGTAAAATAAGTGCAATGAACAGCCAATCAGTGTCAGTAAAATAAGTACAATGAACAGCCAATCAGTGTCAGTAAAATAAGTACAATGAACAGCCAATCAGTGTCAGTTAAATAAGTGCAATGAACAGCCAATCAGTGTCAGTTAAATAAGTGCAATGAACAGCCAATCAGTGTCAGTAAAATAAGTGCAATGAACAGCCAATCAGTGTCAGTTAAATAAGTGCAATGAACAGCCAATCAGTGTCAGTTAAATAAGTGCAATGAACAGCCAATCAGTGTCAGTAAAATAAGTGCAATGAACAGCCAATCAGTGTCAGTAAAATAAGTGCAATGAACAGCCAATCAATTTCATTGAATTGAATCAGTAGAATTGTGGTAAGCAATCAATTTCACATTAATAAATTGAAAGAATTTAAATGTGATTGATAACTAGTCAATATCATTAAAATAAATTAGTGAAATTGATTTTGTGCTGAAGTAAAATCTTTGTTCTGTAAAATTGAGGGACAATGTGTTACCAATAAAATAGCTTAATAAAAAAAATATTGATATTAGTTGAATTAGTCGTAAAACTGCACTCGAGACAAAAGCTGTTATTGATTGAATTATTCTAGGCAGAAATAGATAACAGAATTACACAACGACAGATTACAATTAGGTAGTATTCAGACATCTTGTGTTTCTCTTAAGACCAAAGAAACAATAGAGAGAAGCTTTTAAAAAGAAAGGTCTATTGCTAAGTGGTGGAGATTTTAGTGTTATGATTTGTAACCGGAAATATATATACACAAAATAATAGAAATGTTGATTTCATACATTGAAAATGTTGAATATTAATGAATTATCATATTATCATCCATCCATCATCCATTCATTGCTTTTAAGAAATATTGCTTAAATATACCATATCAAAATATTCATCATTCTAAATCACAAATTATATCATAGATCTGAAATGAAATCATCCATTAATGATTAAGATGTTACATGACATTTACAAGTGAGTGAATGTCCTAGTTGTGTCGTTTTCCTCAGTGCTGGTCTTATAAAGTCCCTACATATGAAAGAATAGGCAGTGTCGTACACACTCATGCTATATCCTTGCTACACACATCTAATTATAGATCTTGTATATGTAGATTTTGCTAGATAAATGTCTACCCCACTTGGCTTAAGCTCACAAAATCAATCACACAGATATCATCAGCCTTTAAGCTAATTACACCTAATCAATATGACTTTATAATATGATATTCTGCCAGAATGCTTTTTTTACTTATTATAATAAAATATCAGTATTCTTTAAATGGAAAGAAAGTTTGAATAAAGAAATCATGTCAGTAGTATAATTATTATGTATAAAAATTAACTGATTCAGAAATCGTTAAATTCAGTCTGGCATTTCACATCTTAATGTTTTATTTTCAACTTGTAATATATTCTCAATGTAATAGATATATTACCTAGTGAGGAAGTGGTTAAAGATAGGTTATATGTAGGAATCCTTCAGCAATGCAATGCACATGCTTCATGCACAACAGCTGGAAACATTTCTACTGCACAAGCTTTTGATCAGAATGATATCAAATCTGATTTCATCGTTTAGATATGAAGCTATGAAAGACATGATCATTATAGTCTTTACTAGAATCATACTAATTAGAATCAATATTTTTACTTGTGATTGTAAGTTCCTTTAAAGATTGGATTATCTCCATTGTTTATTGATTTATTTTTCATTCATTTTTTTTTCATAGTCTGAAATCAGAGTCATTATTTTTTAAGTTTGTATAGCATGACCAGAGAAATTAGTGTACACACACTTTAGCTTGTTTGATGAAAGTCATACAGTGAAGTTACTATGCTAGTTGCTGAAATGTCATACATTCACTGGTCTTGCCATTTGAATCTTTATCTTATATTTTTTTCTGAAAAAATGTTACACAGGTATTCTCTTAGGCATACATTCTATATATCATGTCTGTTACAAAAAAAAAAATGTATCCGATTTAGTTAATGATGTGCTATGAAAAAAAAATAGTAAACTTTAAGATAAATGTTTATCTTATAAATGAAACTTTATTATAAGTAATTAATATGACATGATATGTGATAAAGTATTTTAAACTTTTGTAAAAAAAAATTTGAGAATTTTGAAAAGGTAAGTATTGTCTTGTTTGACCCTCTATAAGAACTGCTGTAAATTCTTTACGAAGCCACGTCATTTGAGGAAGACGAGGATGTTGTTCCCATGACGCCGGGAGACAGTAAGGCTATCACAGTTTAAGCTTGCCTTTTTTTTAAGCATGATGCCCATCACTGATCTCCTGCTTCATAGTCTGACAAGGAATTCCCTGCCATCTTATGTTACAGAATGCACTCATCTTGGTTGTCCTAATTTGACACCAAAACACGTCCATCACATTGCAAAACGATGTTGTTTAGTTCAGTGTTGACTAACGACTAGATATTTTCCTGTTGCCATAGGCGATGGACCATAAATAATAAAATCCCTGTCATGTAAATATGTTGTGTTTACTAACAGCAAGATCTGTTGCCATAGTTACTGCTCACCTTTATAAGTAATGTAAATAATTTAATTTTTTGTCTTTGTTATTAGGTGGCTCACTTTGACTAACCGTCTGGCCTATTGTTCAGGGATAAACAATCTGTAATGTCTTTTTGGGGCAGAAACTATCATGCTCAATTGCTGTTTACAAAGTATAAGCTAGCTTTCATTTTTGATTCACAATAAAATCTTCAAAATAATAACTATTTATAGATTCTGAGTCTGTTAAAGTGATATGGACAAAAGAAAATCATGAAAGTGATGTGCTCTTCTGGAGACAATTGGCCTTTTGGGAGATAACTGTTTTAACCTGTAGACTTAGGAGATCACTACGGAGATGAAGGATTGGCATGGAATATTGAATTATGAATGTGGACATTTGAATAAACTAAAATGTCAAGAATTATATCACTCATTTCCTTTGTCTAGAAATACATTACCTATTTATTATTCAAATTTCTTATGAATGAGAAGATGGACATATTATTAAAAGTCATCTGACTTGCCTGTCTGTATTACTGAACTAAAAAAATCTGTCTACATCTCATTTGTATCCAGATGTATGATATCTTCTATGTAGCTTATTGTCTTACTAAATCCATGAATGACAGAGACAAAAAGTACTCAAATCAAGAATGTTTGGGTTCGTGTATGGAACAGAATTATTGAGACTAAAAGTACTCAACCTGAGATTCTCTGTATTAGAAATTAGTACTTAATGCAAGTAAAACTGGGTTTGTGAATGGAATAAACTATATATAGAATGCAGACTTCTATGTATAACATTTTCCTTTGTCTTTTAGCTGTATTTATTGCTTTACATCTCCTTGGTCTGTTTGTGAGAATGTTAACCTTTGACCCTATGACCTCATAGTTCAGGTGACCTTTAACCTCAGCTTAAGTAATCCTTTAAATTTGTCATTTTGCAGATTTTCATTTTTCATTTTGTTTCAGGAACAGATGATTTAAATCACTCTTTTTGTTTATTGTTGATTTTTACCATTTCCTTTGTAGACCATTAAAAAATTGTGTTGAATTCAAGCATTTTAGCTTCTCCAGAATTCATAAGCACTGATCTCACATGACAAAATAGATCTGTTCTGATTGGATAACTTGCTGCAGACAATGAATTTCATTGGTCAGAATGAAGGTTCAGCAGTGTTGACGATCTTTATATTAAATTAAGACAAATTATTTACTTGATATTTTATTTTGAAAAATGTTTCAATGATCAATATGTCATGTCAGGTCTATATTTATACAATCATGTGACCTCACCTTATTAGACATAATCACGTTGAAGTAAACAACTGCTTCAGCTTTTTGTTTTATGTTGCAAATTTTTGTGGGAAGGTCTTGACCTACTACTAAAAATCATCATAATTTTAAGACCTATATTTTCACATTCTTAACGGCTGTTTGTTTCTAATTTTCGTTTTCAATATTTGATTACTGTGATTAATTTCAAATTTGAGTCGTATTTGATTACAGTATGGTGTTAACGTCTTGTATATTATCAACAACACATAATAATCTGAATTTTAACTTTTAAGGTTTCTAAAGAAACTTGTGATTATCTTGTCATCAGAAATTGCTTTACCACCATTGGTAGATTGATATCTATCTATACCATTGTTAGTGTTTGACTGGTTTTAGAACAGAATTTGTTGATATGGGTACAGCCTTATACATTGATGCTATACCTCATGCAAACTGAGGTATTGTAGTAAATTTGTTGTAAGGAATTCAGTTAGTGAACCTGGGATGGTATTGCTGATTAATCTGCTTAAAAAAATATTTTTTTTTTTTTTCAAAAAGCACAAGAAAATACTGACATGTCAATAGAATCTTCAGTCAAAGTCAAAATAATGTGGTAAAGGCAAAATATTGTACAGTTATTGACCTGCTTTTAGGTGGATACAAAGATTTATCAACCTGAAAAAGTGATAGTCCTTTGTTTCTATATTTGGGTACAAATTATTATAGTATTACTGGATTGATTAAGGATTCATATAACATAATAAAAACAAATAAGAACTTTTACATGATCTATAACCAATTAAAACGGGCCTCTTGGTAAATATCGTTTAAATTAGTGAATAGCCTGTTCTAATATAAATGGATATGCGATATGTTTCTCATCTTTTGTGGTTAGCATTTGATTTTTGAATGTTGACTAAACAGTCCTTGATATGCTAGTGACCTGTCCACCATAAATCTTCCTCTACAGATAGGTTATTCTTTAACTGAACAGTCAGTGATATGCTAGTGACCTGTTCACAAATCTTTCTCTACAGATAGGTTCTTTTTTAACTGAACAGTCAGTGATATGCTAGTGACCTGTTCACAATAAATCTTCCTCTACAGATAGGTTCTTTTTTAACTGAACAGTCAGTGATATGCTAGTGACCTGTTCACAATAAATCTTTCTCTACAGATAGGTTCTTTTTTAACTGAACAGTCAGTGATATGCTAGTGACCTGTTCACAATAAATCTTTCTCTACAGATAGGTTCTTTTTTAACTGAACAGTCAGTGATATGCTAGTGACCTGTTCACAATAAATCTTTCTCTACAGATAGGTTCTTTTTTAACTGAACAGTCAGTGATATGCTAGTGACCTGTTCACAATAAATCTTTCTCTACAGATAGGTTCTTTTTTAACTGAACAGTCAGTGATATGCTAGTGACCTGTTCACAAATCTTTCTCTACAGATAGGTTCTTTTTTAACTGAACAGTCAGTGATATGCTAGTGACCTGTTCACAATAAATCTTCCTCTACAGATAGGTTCTTTTTTAACTGAACAGTCAGTGATATGCTAGTGACCTGTCCACCATAAATCTTCCTCTACAGAGAGGTTCTTTTTTAACTGAACAGTCAGTGATATGCTAGTGACCTGTTCACAATAAATCTTCCTCTACAGATAGGTTCTTTTTTAACTGAACAGTCAGTGATATGCTAGTGACCTGTTCACAATAAATCTTCCTCTACAGATAGCTTCTGTGTTGACTAATCTTATTATCCTTAGTGTTCAGTTTTTGATGCATTTTGTTAAAGTTGGACTATCACATGGAAACACTTACAGTGTAACTAATGTTCTTTTCTGCTGGATAAAGTTTTCATTCCATTCTTTGCTGCAATCAGCTTATGCTTCATAGTTCTTTCTCATGAAGACAGATTTAAAGTATTGTTCTTTGATAAAGTGCTTTATCTATTTCTTTCATTTGTTGTTGTTGTTAATGAACAAATATGTTTTGATTTTTCTCATTTCTTGAAACTGAATACATTCAAAATATTTACAATTTAGAAAAGATTTTTTTATGAATTTCAAAATTCAAATATTTCCAAGATAATTGATTTGGGTAAAGTGGATATTTAAAGTGATATATGTATCCGAATAATCTCAATTTGATGTTATTGTTAAAAGGGAGAACACTCTGTCCAGTGTAACAGAGAAACCTGTTGAGTTTGTGTTTCCATGGCGATGTGTTCTAGGTTTATGTACAGGGTGATTGGTAAAAACCTCCTTAGTTACCATGGTTACAGGTGTCCTGTGTTGTATTGTTTATTTTAGTCATTCTTTTTTGGGAAAGGAACTATTTTTTTTTTAATTATTATTGAAATTATACAATTGTTCATGTTTTGAAAATTTAAAGTATGCTGGTTATTATTTAATAGTGTCAATGTTAAAATCTATGAACTTCAAATAGATACATTGCAAGCTAGAATCTTCAAAGATTTAAAAAAAAAATTATTTCATTTTATTTAAGGCTAAAGGCAAAAAAAAAGTATTACCTGATGAGTGACAGAGTGAAATCATAACAATTTATTTAAATTTGTGTTTTGTAAATTAAAGATGGATTTTTGATATGATTCCTTTAAATACAATTTATATTTTTGGAATTTTTGAGAAGTTACCAGGGAAACAATGCTGTCGTACATTGTAACATAACACTAGAGCTTTGCATGTTGTTCACTAACTGAAAAATGGATGAACAAAAATGTAGCCATATTTTGACAAATATATTTTCTCTCATCTCGAATCAAGCCATTATTTTTATAGGGTTTGATTAAAGGGCAGATAACTCTGGTCACTTTTGCTGTAATATGTAACTTGCTTGTTTGGTTAGATCTGATTTACATGTATGAAATCAGTGATGCGTATCTGATTTCATTTTTTAGAAATATATAATGTAATTGTACATTGTGTTTTAAGTTGGATTTCAGCCACATTTCATTAACAGACTAATTGTAACTAGAAAATGTTGACTTTATTTTCATTAGTCTATAACATAGCTTTTATCCTCATTCATTCATTTTCATGGTCATCATATAGCAGTTAAGAAAAGATTTTGATTCAGTTTATTAGATGGTACAAAATGATGCATTTGACATTTAGGTTTTACAAACATTGAGCCAATTATCGATGTTGGCCTGGCAACCACAGAAGGCTTGGCTATTGATTGGATTGGAAAAAATATCTACTGGGTGGAAAGTAATCTGGACCAGATCGAAGTAGCCAAACTGGACGGTAGTTACCGCACAACATTCATAGCTGGAGGAATGGTCAGTCCACGTGCTATAGCACTGGACCCTAGAGAAGGGTAAGTTGTCAACTCAATTCTGTTCTGCCGAGTGTTTTAGTAAAATGGATATAATAACAGCCTTTTTGTTGGTTTTAAAAAGTCAAATTTCTAAGGTAAATACTGTATTCTAATGAATTACTCCGTTATTTCAGGTTTTTTTCTGAACTTTTACTATATGATAGAATCAATCTTCATGAATGTGTAGTTTGAAGTTCAGAATATACAAACTTGTTATTCCAAAATACATCGTCCTCAAAGCAATCTCAAAATGAACACAATTTTTATGCTTCCCAAAACTGTTGGGGGGAGCGTATAGTCACTGCACTTTGATTTTTTGCCCATTGGTCTGTCTTTCTGTCTGTCCGTTCATGTCTATAGATAAACTTAGCCAACACTCAAGCAAGGATCAGGGTACTTGGTGTGTGCATCGGTCATATTAAGTGATATGCACTGTACAAATTCAGGTTGTACAACTCCTCAATTTCAGAGTTATTGCCCTTTGTTAAAATTTTTCCACAACTTGAAATCACTTGTATTTAAACAACGGATATTGAAACATGGTGTATACATTGATAATACAAAGATAATGTGCAGTGTACCAGTGGTTTGGCCTGTTACCCATTAATTACAGACTTATTGCCCTTTGTTAACATTTTGTCTCCGAAGCATAACTTTTCATGCATTTAACTAGCATTATGAAACAAGGGGTATTCATCAATCATACAAAGATAATGTGCAGTGCACCCAATGTAGGGCCTGCAACCCCCTACAGATAGAGTTTTTGCCCTTTGTTAAAGTTTTATGCCCTTAGCATAACTTGCGTTCATTTAAACTAGGAAATTGAAACTTGATGAATACATACTAAGAGGATGTACAATTTACCAAATTCAGCGCCTGAAACCCTGTAATGACAGAATTATTGCCTGTTGTTAAAAGTTTGTGTCCAATAAAGTTGTTTTTGGTGAGCATTAATCAGTTTCATTGATACTCTTGTCATTAACAAAAGTGTTAGCATGAGCTCAAACGTCAATGAGTCTTGGACTATCATATGAGTGCCCTTACTCTTAAGTGTTTCAGATCCCAGGGCATTTATAAAGATAAATACGGTAACTAAATTTTCCTCAATCACAGATACCCTTTTTTTCCCCTCAGTCTTTAAGACTGCAAGATTTTGAATTCTGACTGATATCAAGTTGATGAGGAGAGATGTGTGTATGACGAGTGTGAAGGAGTACAATCTATGTAAACCAGATTAGTGAGTCAAGTCTTTGTCTTGCAGCTCCCTCTTCTGGACAGATTGGGACTCGGACAACCCAAGGATAGAGACATGTTCTATGAGCGGACAAGATCGGAAGATCATTTTCAGGATGCAGGGAATCATGGGAGCTGGTTGGCCGAACGGTTTGACCATAGACTACGATTTCTATAGGCTGTACTGGATAGATGCCAGGTAAGGAGGGGAGGTCAGAGGTGAAAGGTCATATGAAACATAAAAATAGATAGATGATTTATATAGGGCAGTAGATATACAAAAGAGTAATTTCAGAGGTCATTCAGGTACAGTGTTCGTAGTGGGGTCAGATAAATAGAAGGGGTTATAGGGTCAAAAGTGTCTGGTCAGGGGTTAGGGTTCACAATTCAAGGACTATTGCAAAGTCAGAGGTTTTCTGTTGCAAATATGAAGATACATCAACAAGATGATAATCTACTTCATCAGAACACTTATGTTTGTCAGTGAGACAATGGCTAGAAATTGAACAGAAATCCTGTAGCTAACCAACGGTTCATAATCACAGATATTTTTAGGAAATTAGTCAAAGTTTGGAAATAAGAAATGTTTGGAAATCAGGTGAAATACTTAATTTTTAAAGCTCATTGAATTAACACATATCAGATTTTCGCTTTACAATGGAAATATAAGGTTTGTATTATTTATTGCAGGTCTGATTCCATTCATACCGTGAAGTACGATGGCTCTGACCATCGCCTCATCCTGAAAGGACACGAGAAGATGCGACATCCATTTGCTCTGACATTGTTTGGCAATTATGTTTACTGGACTGATTGGAGTAGTAGTGCCCTGCTCCGCGTGAGTTTACCCTTCTCTTGTACTCTCGTCTGAGTATGTTTCCTCTAAAAGTGTGCTCTGGGGAATGAGAAAATTCATGTATGGAAAATTGTGCTATCCTGCTCCTCAAGACGGCCATATTGCTTTACATACATTCATAAAGACATACAATAAAAAATGTTATCATTTTTGCCAAAAATTGTAAATTTCATTTGATGTTCTTGGTTCCAGGCTAACAAGTTCAACGGGTCAGATGTGACAGTGATTCAGAAGACCGTTTCACAGCCTTTTGACCTCCAGGTGTACCATCCTATGAGACAGCCTAAGGCAAAGAATCCCTGTGGTGAGAACAATGGAAACTGTTCTCACTTATGTCTCATCGGCTACAATCAAACTGCAGCCTGTATGTGTCCACATCTTTACAAACTTGCTGCTGACAATCGCACATGTGAAAGTAAGTTATCTCCCTTTTGTAATTGCAATGAAGTAGAAAAGGGGTGGGTGGGTGGTGGGGGGGATATACTTAAACCACCTGTCTGTCTGGATGTCTCAATCTGACATCAGCAAATATTGTGTCTGGGAACTCCTTCTATACCAGTGAAGCAATCCCAATGAAACTTGTAAAAAAACAAATGTATTGTACTGCCAACCTTTTTTCATAGAAATTTTGGTTGCCATGGTAACTGTAAGGACTTTGCATCTAGGGGTGGGGGATTGGGACAGGGGATGTTAGTTATCCTCTCCTCAGGATTACAGTTCTAGTTGACACTGTTTGTGTACTTGATAAACCTGTGCCCTAATTCCTGGGCCTTTTTTTTATTGGTTTGACCAGTTGGACACAATTTTTTAGTCTATAAAATAAAGATGGACCTACAAATTTTGCTGCCTGGCAACTCTGACAAAGTCTTTCGAGGCAAGCCTAAAATGTTTCATCAATAGTGCAAATGAACTGATTTGTCAACCTCTACTAGCATTCAGTTATAACTTAATACTGTTTCTGTCACCTTCACCTTGATAGGGGTACACACTGACCTTGTCTCTATTTACAGATGACCACACATTTCTACTGTTTGTTAAGACCAGTGAGATCAGAGGAGTTGATTTACAGGATGCTAACTATAATGTGATTCCCACAATTACAATTCCAAATGTTGACAAGCCCACAGCAATAGACTACGACCTGGAGGCTGAACGACTATATTGGGCAGATAGTTCTCTCAACCTCATCAACAGTGCCTATATTAACGGGTCAGGGGTCGAGACTATCATTGATTCTGGTATGTATATCCATGGTATATCTATTTGCTAACTATCTGTAATAGAAGTTTTGTTCTATCAAAGTAAATCTTGAAGCTATGTTCAAATAGATGGATTTTTTTACTGTTTAGCTAAAAATACTAAATAGATTTATATTCCATTATCATCAGATGGTGGGCTAATCTAATCACCGTTTGTCAGTTGTTTACGTCCGTCTGTCTTTCCTGATACAATTTTGTTATCACTCTCTCTCTCTCGAAGTACTGGATGGATCATTTTAAGATTTCATTTGTTGGTTTCCCCTTTGCTCTTATTTTGCATTGTCCAATTTGAAACTGATCAGGAAAACAAAATGGCCGATCAGGTGGCCATGTTGGAATTTGTCACTACTTGTTTGTTATTACTATTTGTTGAGAAGTACACCTGGGATCATTTTCAAATTTCATATGTAGTTTCCTCTTGTCAATATTTAGACTGAAATTAGGCAAGGAGCTAGCTTATAGTACAATATTTAGGCTGAAATAAGGCAAGGAGCTAGCTCATTGTACAATTTTTAGACTGAAATAAGGCAAGGAGCTAGCTTATAGTACAATATTTAGACTGAAATAAGGCAAGGAGCTAGCTTATGATACAATATTTAGGCTGAAATTAGGCAAGGAGCTAGATTATAATACAATATTAAGGCTGAAATAAGGCAAGGAGCTAGCTTATAATACAATATTTAGACTGTAATAAGGCAAGGAGCTAGTTCATAATACAATATTTAGACTGTAATAAGGCAAGGAGCTAGCTTATGATACAATATTTAGGATAAAATAAGGCAACGAGCTAGTTCATAATACAATATTTAGACTGTAATAAGGCAAGGAGCTAGCTTGTAACCTTGTGACTGGCTGTCCAGGATGGACTGGTTATTTAATATTGAAACTAAATTTGTTACGTCACTAAACAGCAATAGGTAATGGGTGGCCTTTTTACCAGACATGGACTTGTTGCTTAATAAACATGGAAGTTGTTCTGAATGTTGACTGGATCCATCTAGCTCCAGACACCTGCTATCACACTTTCTAGATCATAAAGTATTCTGAATATTGAATTACTTTTTTCCTTCCTACAGGAATTTCCAGCCCGCAAGGATTTGCTATTGACTGGTTATCTAAGAACATGTATTTCTCATCTCTGCCATCTGGGGGACCAGATCAGAAGGCCAGCATTTCTGTGGCAAAACTCAGTGGAGCTTTCCGTGTAGAAATTCCATTAGAGGTCATCGGCAAAAATCCTAGATCTCTTGCCGTACTTCCTACGGAAGGGTGAGCATTGTTGTCAGATACTACACTTCAATTAAAACATATACTTTATACATATTACCCATATAAGGAAACCTAATTTAATTTTTTTCCATTTTTCCCTTCTTCCTGGTTTGTGAAGTGTAAAACAAGGATGTGTTTACTATTGTGTGTTGTATCCATTGATTGTGACACGTGTTGTCTTGTTTCAGTTTGCTGTTCTGGGCTGATCAGGCCATTGGCTCAAGTTTTCATATTATCTGTCAGGCTAAGATGGATGGAACCAGTAGTAGGGTGCTGATAGCAAACCTTTCAATGTCTGTCAGTAAGTGTCTAAACTTTTTTATCCCTGAGTCTTCGAAGTCACTTTAAGATGTTTGTAATCTAAAGGACTGGAGGTGCTGGAAATCTTATATCTTATAATCTGATTCTTATACTGTGAAACCTGACTACTGACATTTGACAACAAGCTTTAGTCAATAAAACCAGACTTCAATGACATTTGACATTAAGCTGTTATCAGTAAAACCAGACTTTACTGACAATTCAATTTTAGATTTTTCATCTACAGAATTTCAAAATGTAAATTAAAATGATATATTGTACAAATATATAAGTAAAAACCTGCATGAATTGACTCTCATTCCATGATAATATCAGATCATACCTGATTTCAGAGAAATCAGAGACATTTTATAATATGATGAAACCAGAATTTATAAGGCATTTCTAAATACTGTGAAAACTGAATTTAAAGACATTCCAAAATGTTGTGAAATTTGACTGTCAGGATATTCTGCAATAAAGTGAAACCCTTACTACTGATTGATTTATAGGCACAATGCCAATTTAGCTGTGTATGTACTCTTTAATGTCATTACAGAAAAGTTTACTGACCACTGCCTCGAAGGGTGATATTTAAAGGTGGAAAATCAAAACCAATAGTAGAATTGTTTTTTAAACAAAAGTTTTTTAAGTAAAGTTTGGTCAGCTATATTACTTTATTGTGTTTTCTCCAGATTTACAAGTAGACCCAGGTGCACAGAAACGTTTGTACTGGATAGAACTTGGAGGCACTATTGTGCATATGTCCGACATTGATGGGAAAAATCATATTTCACTCACAAATGCAAAGCTGCACCAGCTTCAAGCCTTTACCATCCACAAAGATAACACCTTCTATGTCGCCCAAAAGTCTGGTAAAATTGGTACCTTCAAGATAACAGAGGGAACACCATCAACAATCACGTATCGTGAACTCCGAGACAAAACACAAGGGGTCACTGCACTGAAGGTGTTTGACAACAGCAGTCGCACTGAAGGTAAGATAAAAAATACACTGTCCCAAAGACCTGAAACATCCTACCAATTTAATCTGATTAAGAATAAAAATTCCTGATTCAAAACTATTTCTTGTAATATATGTTTTAAATTTGTTCTTTAAGCTATTGATAGATGTTCATAGATCTGTCATCAGATTAATATGGAAAGGCTGGTAGAGAATGCAAAGGTAGACCATAATGATGTAAAGGGAGGTAACAATTATACAAAGTTTGTAACAAGAATACAAAGGAAGGTTACAATGACACAAAGTTTGTAACAAGAATAAAAAAAGTGGTTGCAATGATACAAAGTTTGTAACAAAAATCCAAAGGGAGGTTTCAATAATAGAAAATGAGGTAATTAGATACAAAGGGAGGTAGTCATAATACAAAGACAGATAACAATACAAAGGGAGATAACACGGACAATTAACAAATTAACAATAGCACAAAAGAGGTAACAATGAGATAACAAGTGTGAAAGTACATGTAATGATGGCATAAAGGGAGGTAATTTTGATATCAAGGGAGGTAACAAGGACACAAAGGTAGATAATTCTAATACAATGGGAGGTAATACAGGAAGATGATGGTTTATGAAGGAAATAGCAATCATAAATTGGGAGAATAATCGTTTGATCCATATTCATGCTCCAGGTTTCAACGGATGTTCAAATAACACCTGTGCACAGCTGTGTCTTCCAACAGGAAAAACAAGCCATGTCTGTAAATGTACAGCTGGATACCTCATAAATGGAACCGAGTGTACAAGTAGGTGTCCTCTCTGATCTTACATAATGATAGTTCAAGCAAGATGATGATATATCATACCAGTATTATATTATTCATAAAGTTGGATGTATTCTTATGATGTAAACATTTGGGTAGGTATCCTCATGTTAAAGTCATGTCCAGGTATAATTATAGATATATTACATTGATATTGGTTTCCTGCAGGTATCGACTCCTTCCTGATGTACTCATCCAACAGTGAGATACATGGAATATCCTTCAACCTCACCAACAACGTGACTAAAGCTCTTCCACTTATCTCAAAAATATCTAAAGCTAGTTCCATTGACTTCAATGCAGGTAACTCTATACTATGTTACATTTCTGTACCTAGATGTACTTAATCTTTTCCTGCTTGAGAAAAAAAAATCCGTATTTTCATGACCCCAGATTGAAAGATTGGGGACATGTTGCTGTTGTGCTGCTTGTTTCTGTTGTAACTTTAATTTTGGTCCTAACTGTTGCACTGTAAGAGGTAGAGTTCTCATATTAGGCTTGTGTGTTCCGTGTGACAAGACCTTTACGGTGGTAACAAAATGTTTGACCATGAACTTTGACCTGCATTTGAAAATTAAAATTTTTACATTGAAATAAAATTGTCAAATCATTACCACATTGAAAACATAATTGTTTCACAAAGTGTGCATTCAATTAGCACATGCCTTACACAGCACAGTTTTAATGTTCCACTTGTTGCAATTGGGGCATAGTGTTTCATAAACACATTTTAATGGAATTGAAATTTTCTTCCGATAAATTGTGTGCATGTGGTACACTGGTTATCATATGACCTATAAAATTAGCTAACAAATGATCTATACATTAACTTTTTGACCTACAATAATTACCATATGACCTATATTATTAATTTTTTGACCTACAATAATTACCATATGGCCTATATTATTGACTTTTTGACCTACAATAATTAACATATGGCCTATAACATTGACTTTTTGACCTACAATAATTACCATATGGCCTATATTATGAACTTTTTGACCTACAATTATTACCATGTGGCCTATATCATAAATAGTATAATTTGCTTTAACGAACTTTAACTTTTTCAGCCACAGATCATATCTACTGGGTCGATGCCCAATCAAATTCAGTGTCTCGTGTCAAACGAGATCTCACAGACCGAGATACACTCGTCCACCAGGAGATTCGTGGTATTCAAGGAATTGCTGTGGACTGGATTTCAGGTAAAATTTTCAATAACTTGATCTCATATTTAGGATTTTTGGATAGCAAAACATTTAAACGTTCACAGATAATTTATAAAGTATCAATAACATTTCAGCAAATATTTTAAGTAAGAATGAGAGAACAGACCATTCTATTCAGACAAAAACACCTGTTGCAAAACAAACATGAATTATATGATATTCACACTTCTAATCAACTAATCATTATTGATTTGTTCTTAAGAGAGTACTTAGCCATGCTTATCTGACTGTAAATTAAATGATCATCACAATTCTATATGTTTGTGTTTTGTAGACAATGTGTACTGGACAGATTTTGGCTCTGATGTAATTGAAGTGGTCAGATTGAACAATGTTGACCATCGTTTTGTCGTTATTCATGGAAACATGAACAACCCTCGGACCATCGTTGTTCATCCAGAAGCAGGGTAAGAGTATTTATATACAACAAGAACGCACAAGAACAGTTAAATGTTTATTACACTAAAGAAAATAGACAAGCTACAGTTTGGCGTAACAGGGGCTACTCACTCTATTCATAATCACTATTAACTACTAGAAAATTATAACTTAAAACAAGACTCTGAGCTGTTTCGGAGCTAGATTAAGAGTCCCTACAAAGAAGTTACTAGACCCTGGACGATACCAGAGAAGCTACTAGACTCTGCAAGTGGCCCTAGAAAAACAGCATTATAAATAGAATATTCACCACCAGCTAGACCCTCAACGATATGAGAGAAGCTGAAACAAATTGGGAATATACTATTATTATGAATTGGGGGTAAAATTCCTCAAAAATTAAGTGCCAAAATGAACGCATGTTTAACAGAGTGATAACACGCAGGTAAAAACAAATATTAATAAGAAACTGATAAATGCAGAAGATCCTTAAGTTACTAAGAGTGAGTAGCCCATTATACATAAAAATATGGTTATCTTATAACTGTTGCACATGAAACTAAAACAAAAAATACATGAGTATAAAATAAAACCAATGGTGTAGCCGGGGACGGTGGGTGGGAATGCACAAATTTCACAAACAAATGCCTCCACCAAAAACTCAGAAACTATATGCTGCGAGGCCTTCAGATCCCTAACAGGGCATCCTCCCCGAGAACGCTGATTGGTCAATTAATTAGCATCAACCAGAACTCATCAGCATACATAAATAAACAAAATTATAATGCCTGCAGGGCAAGGAAAATCACTAACACTAATACATAATGAAAATCTTAATTGAAAATTGCTATGTCAGCTAGCAAGGAGAACTTATTGTATATAAACTATAATTTAATAACAATATTAAATTATCATTTTATATACAACAAGAACGCACAAGAACAGTTAAATGTTTATTACACGAAAGAAAATAGACAAGCTACGGTTTGGCGTAACAGGGGCTACTCACTCTATTCATAATCACTATTAACTACTAGAAAATTATAACTTAAAACAAGACTCTGAGCTGTTTCGGAGCTAGATTAAGAGTCCCTACAGAGAAGTTACTAGACCCTGGACGATACCAGAGAAGCTACTAGACTCTGCAAGTGGCCCTAGAAAAACAGCATTATAAATAGAATATTCACCACCAGCTAGACCCTCAACGATATGAGAGAAGCTGAAACAAATTGGGAATATTCTATTATTATGAATTGGGGGTAAAATTCCCCAAGATTTAAGTGCCAAAAATGAACGTATGTTTTAACAGAGTGATAACACGCAGGTAAAACAGAGTGAGAGCCCCCAAGAGATTTAATACATATGTAGGCTCATAGTGCCTGTAATGTAGGTCAATATATCCATCTGTCTTATACCTTAAATGGTTTATAAAACATTAAAAATTCATTCTGATGTTGCCTATAAGTCTGGCTTTTTTTAGTTTAATTAAAGACTGAGTTTTATTCTTTCTGAATTCTATGACACATATGATGTCTGCAAACTGTTAACTTGTTTAGGTCTTCTGAGACAAAATCTCAGATGGCCTCATACAGTTGCCTTTTGTGAGTTCCATTCATCGTGCACCTGAAATAATTTACATTTTTGACTTCTTCTCAATAAACAAAAGGCCTAGGTTGCTGATACTAGGCCTGTAGCATGTTGGTATGAAGGACTACCAAGTTTGTTCAAATGAATGACCTAGACTTGCTTTCAAGGTCACTGGGGTCAGATATGTTAAGCTCTTGAAACAACTTTTTCTCAGTATTCAAGAGGCCCTGGGTAATAATATTTGATAAGTAACATGCTGGAAAAAAGACCTACAACATCTATGCAAATGAATGACCTTGATCAGTTTTCAAGGTCACAGGCATCAATTATATGAAACATTTATTAAAAGACTTTTCTCAACAGTCAAGATGCCTAGGGTAATAGTGTTTGATAAAGGATATGCTGGGATGAAGGGCTACCTTTTTTTTCAAATGAATGCCCTTGACCCACTTTAAAGGTCACAGGGATCATATATATTCTAATTTGAGATGGCTTCTCAATAACCAAGAGCCACTAAATAATTATAGTGGGCCAGTAGCATTCTGGGATGAAGGGCTCATATGGATGACCTTCACCCACAAGGTCTCAGGGGTCAAATAAGTTGAAATACTTTCCAGTTTTCAATCTATATGCTTAATATTGAATAAGTTTTCTTACTTTTATTGTACTTTCATTATCTTATGCTTGTCACTAGTTAAAAAAAAAAAAGAAAAAAAAATCAGCACAGATGACCATCAAGACCTTTGGACCTCATGTTATTGTGTGTGAATTTCATGATTTTTTGCAGGCTTCTGTTTTGGTCGGATACTGGAATTCAACCCAAGATAGAACAAGCACGATTAGATGGAACAAAACGTGAAATTTTTGTGGACACTAACATCACCGCTCCCTTTGGCTTGGCTATTGATTATGAGACTAACACCTTGTATTGGTGTGATAACAATCTCAATAAGCTGGAGTCCATTGACATTGTTACCCGCACCAGGAAGATCCTCATAAGTCCTGATCAGATGAACAGCTGCATGGCTTTAACTTTGTTTGAGGAGTATGTCTACTGGCTAGAGGGGTGAGTTTCTGCCAAATAGACAATTAAGACTATCATATAGAGTTACTACTGGTAAGTGTGATAGGTTTCAAAGTTAGAGAGGTGAGTTTCTACGGATGGGTTTACTAGCAAAATGGGCAAGACTCTACCTCAGCTAGAGGGGCAATTTTCTACTATGGAGAGGGGCAAGTTTCTGCTAACCAAAGTGGTTATCTAGGTTGGCTAAAGGGGCAAAACATTATAAGGCAGAGTTCTTTCAGCTGGAGGGATTGATGTACCAGCTAGAAGGACATGTTTCTAGTGGTCAAAGAGGCAAGTTTCTGCTAGCTGGAGGGATTGATGTACCAGCTTGAGGGACATGGTTCTACTGGTCAAAGGGCCAAGTTTCTGCTAGCTAGAGGGATGGGTGTACCAGCTTGAGGGACATGGTTCTACTGGTCAAAGAGGCAAGTTTCTGCTAGCTAGAGGGATGGGTGTACCAGCTTGAGGGACATGGTTCTACTGGTCAAAGGGCCAAGTTTCTGCTAGCTAGAGGGATGGGTGTACCAGCTTGAGGGACATGGTTCTACTGGTCAAAGGGGCAAGTTTCTGCTAGCTAAAGGGATGGGTGTACCAGCTAGAAGGACATGTTTCTACTGGTCAAAGGGGCAAGTTTCTGCTAGCTAAAGGGATGGGTCTACCAGCTGGAGGGACATGGTTCTACTGGTCAAAGGGCCAAGTTTCTGCTAGCTAGAGGGATGGGTGTACCAGCTTGAGGGACATGGTTCTACTGGTCAAAGGGGCAAGTTTCTGCTAGCTAAAGGGATGGGTGTACCAGCTAGAAGGACATGTTTCTACTGGTCAAAGGGGCAAGTTTCTGCTAGCTAAAGGGATGGGTCTACCAGCTGGAGGGACATGGTTCTACTGGTCAAAGGGCCAAGTTTCTGCCAGTGAAAGGGATGGGTGTACCAGCTAGAGGGACACATTTCTACTGATCAAATTGCGAGTTCCTGCTTGCTAAAGAGATTGGTCTACCATGATGAGGGTTTTTTTAATAGTCAAAATGGCTAGTGTCTGTAAGCCGGGATCATTTTGAGGTTATGTCTCGTCCTTTCTCAATTATTCATTGTGAGATTGACACTTGAAACTAATATAAACTGTCTTTGGTGTTTAGAGATGTCTCTGGAAAGATCAAACGAGCCAAGAAAACTGATGGATCTGGTGTGGAGGAAGTAAAAACAAACCTCGGGCCTGACATGCAGGATATCAAGGCTTACCACACCCAGCGGCAGCAAGGTAACCATGGCAACAAATGTCAAACAGCTCAGAAATAATTTGTAAATGGACAGACTGAAATGACTGACACTAATGAGTGGCTGTGTATTCAGGTCGAAACTTGATCAAGTCATTTCAACATAAGCAAAACAGGGCAGTTTCTATTGAGCAGGGTTTTACATAATTTTCTCCTGCAAAACATCTTTGCAGGTATGTTAATTTGGGCTCCATGTGTCTGTCCATTTAGGGTTCAATATTTTAAGTCTTGCTACATCCAGTGTCAGTCAAAGGTCAAAGGTTGACAGGGATGGCTTTGGGCAATGAACAGTGTGACAATAACAAAATGGTTGTGGAGAAGTGGATGGCTTGGCTAGACACCTCATAGTAGATTGGTTGATGAGTCCCAGAGTAGAGTTAGATACTGTCCCTGTCTGTGAGGTGACTGAGCACTATTCTGTGAAAACCTTTAATTTTGCTGGTCAAACACAATATACTAACTTTAAAGCCTTAATTGACATGTTTGATAAGAGTGCATTGTGACAGTTTTATCAGAATTAAAACAAAACTTGTTTTCTGATAGTGTAACCCTTTTCTGTATTTCTCTGTAACAGGTGACAACCCTTGTCGTGTAGACAATGGAGGCTGCCAGGAATTCTGTTTCCATATCGGTAACAATGTAGTGTCCTGTAACTGTTCCTACGGAAAGGTGGGCAGTGATGGAAAGAGCTGTGAAGGTAAGCTAACTTATAATATACATATAAACCTGTCTTAAAGGTCACCTCTACAAAAAATACCTGTCCATAAAGGCCAGTCATTAAATACTGATATTAAAGATAATTTAGGTATAGATATACCTGCCTTTAGAGCCACATTTTTATAAAAAGTGTAAAGAATAAAAACAATAGTATTATCATTTCCTACACAATAAATTCATATTAAAGGAAGCTCTATATAATGGCAACCTGTTTATTAAGGCCATTAGTGTTGGTCCTGGTGTAATACAGTTTATAGTTCTTGAACCTCTGTATAAAGACCACCTGTCTATAAAGGTCATATCTGTTGGTCCTGGTATGATACAATTTATAGTTCTAGAACCTCTGTATAAAGACCACCTGTCTATAAAGGTCATATCTGTTGGTCCTGGTATGATACAATTTATAGTTCTAGAACCTCTGTATAAAGACCACCTGTCTATAAAGGTCATATCTGTTGGTCCTGATATAATACAATTTTTAGTACTGGAATCTCTGTGAAAAGGCTACCTGTCTATAAACACTACTTGTTTTGGCCCTAGTGTAGTATAATTCATTGTTCTTGGACCTCTCTAAAAATGAAACCTACTTATAAAAGATACATTCCTCTTCTCTGTTATGGAATTTTCATAAACATGTTTGACTAATTGCAATTTTGGATAGTTCTCTATGGCAAATCCTGTGGTTGCACTAATTTGTGTTTTATCTGGTAAATGTATGCTGTACATAATACTCACAAGAGGACAACGCAGAATCACTAAATAGATAGGAAATATTGAGTAACACACTTAAACTTGATTGCATCATAATTTAGATTGTCTATAGAATTTTTGATGAGGTACATAATGATGTGGATCAATTACCTGTTTATTTTTCAAGGTCATGACTCGTTCCTGCTCTTCTCCAAGGTCACAGACATCGTAAGCATCAGTCTGGATGAAAACAATCCAAACTTACCTATGAAGACGATCACTAACTCGGATCACCTCCGCAATGTCATTGGTATCGCCACTGACTACAAATCAAAGAGAATTTTCTTTAGTGACATCCAGCGTGGTGACATTCAATATGTGCACTTCAATAGTACTGACTTCTATATTGTAGTTGAGGGTAAGTCTGCATTGTAGTGACAAGTATGGGACCTAATGTTAGTTTGTTTGTAGACGTTGGTTTTGTAGAGGGTCTGACACATGATGGTTTGGGGGAATTACCTGTACTTGATCTGTTGTTTGTCAGTTTGTAGGGGTTGGTTTTGTAGAGGGTTTGGGTATGACAGGTTTGAGAATTACCAGTACTTTTTGCATGTTTGTAGGCGTTGGTTCTGTAGAGGGTCTGACACATGATGGGTCGGAGAATTACTTGTACTTTTTGTATGTTTTTAGGCGTTGGTTCTGTGGAGGGTCTGGCATATGACGGGTTTGAAAATTACCTGTATTGGACCAGTTATACTAACTCTTCTATCAGTCGTGCACATATCTCGGACAAAGACGAGCCCCATCACAACACAACTGTAGAGAAGATTATACAGCTCGGTGTGTTTGATCACCCACGGGCCATTGCCATTGACAGCTGCTCAGAGTATGTACAGTATTATCTTTATTTGAAACAGACTGTATTATTTATAAGGTCTCATGTTATTGAGACTTTCATGAAACAGACTATAATTTAGAGTATAGAGGTGATTATTGAGATATGTCTAATTATGGTAGGTTGAAGATAATATACTATGACGATGAATCAGAGACATTTTTCTGAGGTCAAAAGGATTAATATCATGAATCATAATCACTTGAACACTTTTTAAACTCCGTTTCAGTCGTATGTTTTGGACAAATTGGCATGATGAGCAACCCAGAATCCAACGTTCATTCCTGAATGGTTACAAACCAGAGTCAATTATCACGGAAGAGATATGGACACCTAATGGGCTAACCATTGACCATGTCGAAGAACAGCTGTATTGGTCAGATGCCAGGCTGGACAAAATTGAGCGATGTGACTTTGACGGCAAAAACAGGAAGGTCAGTTGATAAAGAGAAGATAGACTGTAAATTGTACAGCTGTTTTGAGCCCTTGTGAACTTGCTCTCATCCGGGTTTGAAAAGTGTTTAGATTATTGTGATTATTGAGCGCAGGCATATTATCAGGATCAACAATTGTGGCTATGTCATTTTTGAATTATTTTCTGTACTTTAGCTGATTTTGACCTATGTGATGTTGTATATCATTTAATAATGTTGTAGTCTGTTCTGTGTTTTGACTGACCTTGACCTTTCTTAGGTTGCGTATCATTCATGACTTGTTTTCTGTATTTAAGCTAACTTTAACCTTTCATTTGTTAGGTTGTAGTTTCTGCCATGCCTGAACACCCTTTCAGTCTGGCTGTGTATGGTCAGCACATCTACTGGACAGATTGGATTCGTCGTGCTGTAATGCGAACAAACAAGTTTGATGGCAGCGGCGTGTTCTGGATGAAACGCAATCTTGAACGTCAGCCAATGGGGATCACTGTAGTAGCAGAGGACGCTAATAACTGTAATTCAAGCATTTATCCCCTTTCATCTGAAATTACTTTCTGTAGTTCCAAAGTCAACATTTCACCCCCTTCAAAGTCACTTACCTTTTCGATGCACTTCATTAATTACCTATTACAATGCCCTTCCGATTTCCTCCTCTTTGAAATATCCTGCAATAATAGCTTTTCTAATTCCCTCCCTATGGTATTCTTTATGATTAACTCTCGACTGTAGCTATTTCCATCTCCATTGTAGTCTTTCTGATTTCCCATGGTTGTCCAGCTGTCAGGTATTTCTAGCTCTTTTTACCAAGAACACTATAGGTATCTTATCAGTGTAGACAATCAAATATTCCCACCATCATTTCTTTCCTCATCTCTTAATTACCATTACGTAAGTATGAAATATAAATCTGATTCTACTATTTTGTCCTGGTCTCTACACTCTTGCCTTATAATGATCTGCCCCTTCTATCTCAAACATAAGTATGAATCTGATTCTACTATTTTGTTCTGGACTCTGTACACTCTTGCCTTATAATGATCTGCCCCTTCTATCTCAAACATAAGTATGAATCTGATTCCACTCTTTTGTCCTAGTCTCTGTGCACCCTTACCTCATTATGATCTGCCCCTTCCATTTCAAACATAAGTATGAATCTGATTCCATTATTTTGTCTGGGTCTCGTTGCACCCTTGCCTCATTATGATCTGCCCCTTCCATTTCAAACTTAAGTATGAATCTGATTCCACTATTTTGTCTAGGTACACCCATGCCTCAGCCTTTCAAACTTTATTATGAATGAGATGACATTTTTATAGTTATGTTTGCTGACTTTATTCTAGGTACCTTGAGTCGCTGCTATAACCATGACTGTGAGAATAACTGTACAGTGATCAATGGACATGCCCAATGTATCTGTGGAAAGGACCTCTTCCTGTTACCAGACGGAAGGCGCTGTGGGCGTAAGTCATTGATAACTTCTTTAAGGGTTTATGCTATATCACTGTGACAAAATTTACCTCCTTTCAAAAGAATTCCTTAAGGATGTATCATATAGCAAACCTTTGGCTTATGGTGAAAGAGAACATGAGAATAAGCATTATGTCTGCTTGAGCTTCAGAGAACAAACAAACAATTTAGACACACTAGGCCTGTATTCTATATTCTTAAGTAAATTGATCCAAACTGGACATAGATATGTGTTGAATTCATACTCTTGTTGAGGAGTTTACAATTACTCTGCACTGTTTGATTGGTCAACCTTTGACCTTGCCATAGTATTGAATATTCAAATGATAATAACATGTTAACCTTTGATCTTACTACAGTGTATTTATGTTCGGCATTGAAATGATATTACTATGTTAACCTTTGACCTTGCTATGGTATCTTTGGAATTGAAATGATATTACTATTTTAACCTTTGACTTCGCTGCAATGTATTTATCTTCGGCATTGAAATGATATTACTATGTTAACCTTTGACCTTGCTATGGTATCTTTTTCATTGAAATTATATTACTATGTTAACTTTTGACCTTGCTGCAGTGTATTTATCTTTGGCATTGAAATGATATTAACATGTTAACCTTTGACCTTGCAGCAGCCAATACGTCATGCGGACTGACTGACTTTATGTGTCATGATAAGAAGGCATGTATATCTATAGAGAAGAGATGTAATATGGTTAACGACTGTTTGGACTCCAGTGATGAGCTTCCTGATGTGTGTTGTAAGTATAAGGATGAAAACATGAATGGTGGATTCATAGGTTTAAGGTTGAATCTTTGGAAACAATGTGGTGTACTATCTTTCAAATTAAATTCCTTCAGAAAGGCTTTATACTATAAACCTTGAGGGTTTCCATAGTTCAGTCAGTAGAGATACCTGGTGTGTTCTGACACACCCTCGTGTTTCTCAGGAAGCTGATAAATAAACTGGTCTGTACTGACATGATGGTGTCCATGGGTAAGACACTTCCCAATTATTGTTCTGAAAGACATGCATTGAATCTTCTGTATGTTGTTCAGTGAGGTATCCTCCATCTACTACAAGGATACTGCACCTCAAAATGATCCAGGCTGAACAGGGGCTGATAGCAGCAAAAGTATAACCATTTGTTTCTGTTGGTAGTTTGTACTACAAAGTTCAAGAAAGTTGTATTACAGAGTTTAGGAAAGTCATATTACAAAGTTCAAGAAAGTTGTATTACAAAGTTCAAGAAAGTTGTATTACAGAGTTTAGGAAAGTCATATTACAAAGTTCAAGAAAGTTGTATTACAAAGTGCAAGAAAGTTGTATTACAAAGTTCAAGAAAGTTGTATTACAAAGTTCAAGAAAGTTGTATTACAAAGTTCAAGAAAGTTGTATACAAAGTTCAACAAAGTTCAAGAAAGTTGTATTACAAAGTTCAAGAAAGTTGTATTACAAAGTTCAAGAAAGTTGTATTACAAAGTTCAAGAAAGTTGTATTACAAAGTTCAAGAAAGTTGTATTACAAAGTTCAAGAAAGTCGTATTACAAAGTTCAAGAAAGTTGTATTACAAAGTTCTGGAAAGTTGTATTACAAAGTTCTGTAAAGTTGTATAACAAAGTTCAAGAAAGTTGTATTACAAATTCTGTAAAGTTATATTACAAAGTTCAAGAAAGTTGTATTACAAAGTTCTGGAAAGTTGTATTACAAAGTTCTGGAAAGTTGTATAACAAAGTTCTGGAAAGTTGTATTACAAAGTTCAAGAAAGTTGTATTACAAAGTTCTGGAAAGTTGTATAACAAAGTTCTGGAAAGTTGTATTACAAAGTTCAAGAAAGTTGTATTACAAAGTTCTGGAAAGTTGTATAACAAAGTTCTGGAAAGTTGTATAACAAAGTTCAAGAAAGTTGTATAACAAAGTTGTGGAAAGTTGTATTACAAAGTTCAAGAAAGTTGTATTACAAAGTTCTGGAAAGTTGTATAACAAAGTTCTGGAAAGTTGTATTACAAAGTTCTGGAAAGTTGTATAACAAAGTTCAAGAAAGTTATATTACAAAGTTCAGGAAATTTACAATGATTTTTTGTGTTTACATGTATAGGAAAACTACTGCAGTAAACCTGATCAATACAAAAAGTTAACTTGTTTTGATATTTTAAAATATTTCTGAAATGATCAGTATTTCAATATATTAATGATTGTGTTTTGATTTCAGTGAATAAAACATGTGCACCTGGACTATTTACCTGCTCAAACTTTATGTGCATACACATAGAGAAATTCTGTGATGGCGTGGTTGACTGTAGTGATCTGTCTGATGAGGCTAACTGTCAGTGTGATGCTGATCAGTTTCAGTGCCAGAGTGGGCTCTGTATCAGTCGTCAATATCGCTGTGATCGCGACATGGACTGTCCCGATTGGGACGATGAAGTCGGCTGCAGTAAGTATTTAGTAACCTCTGATGTTGTTTTTTAACAGTGTGCTTGTTTGTAAAGTTATCTCCCCTTCTGACATTGCTTCATTCACAATTATGTTAAATAAAATATTTATTTTTATTTTTTTGCTTCAGACATGACATGTAACAATTTGGAGATGTTCCAATATGAGGAGAATGTTGTATCTTGTAACACAACGTCCCAGTGTATCCTGTCGTCATGGATATGTGATGGAAACAAAGACTGCTGGGATGGCAATGATGAAAATCATTGTGATAACTCTACAAAAGGTATGATTGTTTTGATGCCTTTTTATATTAATTTCAAGTCTGTATCTTGATGTAGAATTGTGGTCAGAACTGATTCTCAATGTAGAATTTCTGGTCAGAACTCAAGGCTAAGTGTAGAATATGGGGTCATAACAGGAATAGCGGCATTATGACTCGTAGACATTTTTTAGCCAGTCTCACTGGACCAATTGATGTTATATTGAATACAGATGGTGTGTGTAATAAGTAAGAATATCAATGTTTATGGACTGGATCGGCCTTTTTTACACTAGACTAATATTGTTGTATTTAAATACAGATGGTGTTTGTGATGATGACGGATTTAGATGTTTATCGTCAGGAGCCTGTATACCTCACCAATGGGAATGTGACAATGACAATGATTGTGGTGACAACTCTGATGAAAAACAATGTAGTAAGTTATGCATTAAGTGTTGTACCCTGTAAACTTTAACCTTTATTTCCCTGGTTATATATCAAATAGAGATGTCTACATTGAATATTTAGAGATTATTATATGACTATTTTGATATGATACCGTGGTGTGATATCAAAATGGTGATGAAATAGTCTTTTCATCGTGTTTTTTTTCTTTGAAATAAAAAAAAAACACACAATTCATCCAACTCAACAATAGTTGTTGCAAGTTCTTTTAATATCGCCTCGCCATCTTGTGTCCTAGTCACCACGGTTTGCAAATGACAACAAACAAATCCACAAATTTGAGCGAGATTCTTAATTATTTTACAGGGGGTGTGATATCACTTTCTAGGCTGTGTGAAATCACTTTCTAGAGGGTGTGATATCACTTTCTAGAGGGTGTGATATCACTTTCTAGGGGGTGTGATATCACTTTCTAGGGGCGTGATATCGCTTTCTAGGAGGTGTGATATCACTTTCTAGGGGGTGTGATATCACTTTCTAGGGGCATAATATCGCTTTCTAGGGGGTGTGATATCACTTTCTAGGCTGTGTGAAATCACTTTCTAGAGGGTGTGAAATCACTTTCTAGGCTGTGTGAAATCACTTTCTAGAGGGTGTGAAATCACTTTCTAGAGGGTGTGATATCACTTTCTAGGCTGTGTGAAATCACTTTCTAGAGGGTGTGATATCACTTTCTAGGCTGTGTGAAATCACTTTCTAGAGGGTGTGATATCACTTTCTAGAGGGTGTGATATCACTTTCTAGGCTGTGTGATATCACATTCTAGGGTGTGTGATATCACTTTCTAGGCTGTGTGAAATCACTTTCTAGAGGGTGTGATATCACTTTCTAGGCTGTGTGATATCACATTCTAGGGTGTGTGATATCACTTTCTAGGCTGTGTGAAATCACTTTCTAGAGGGTGTGAAATCACTTTCTAGAGGGTGTGATATCACTTTCTAGGCTGTGTGAAATCACTTTCTAGAGGGTGTGATATCACTTTCTAGGCTGTGTGAAATCACTTTCTAGAGGGTGTGATATCACTTTCTAGAGGGTGTGATATCACTTTCTAGGCTGTGTGATATCACATTCTAGGGTGTGTGATATCACTTTCTAGGCTGTGTGAAATCACTTTCTAGAGGGTGTGATATCACTTTCTAGGCTGTGTGATATCACATTCTAGGGTGTGTGATATCACTTTCTAGGCTGTGTGATATCACTTTCTAGGAGGTGTGAAATCACTTTCTAGGCTGTGTGAAATCACTTTCTAGGCTGTGTGATATCACATTCTAGGGTGTGTGATATCACTTTCTAGGCTGTGTGATATCACTTTCTAGGCTGTGTGATATCACATTCTAGGGTGTGTGATATCACTTTCTAGGCTGTGTGATATCACTTTCTAGGCTGTGTGAAATCACTTTTTAGGCTGTGTGATATCACATTCTAGGGTGTGTGATATCACTTTCTAGGCTGTGTGATATCACTTTCTAGGCTGTGTGAAATCACTTTCAAGGCTGTGTGATATCACATTCTAGGGTGTGTGATATCACTTTCTAGGCTGTGTGATATCACTTTCTAGGGAGGTGTGAAATCACTTTCTAGGCTGTGTGATATCACATTCTAGGGTGTGTGATATCACTTTCTAGGCTGTGTGATATCACTTTCTAGGCTGTGTGAAATCACTTTCTAGGCTGTGTGATATCACATTCTAGGGTGTGTGATATCACTTTCTAGAGGGTGTGATATCACTTTCTAGGGGGGTGTGATATCACTTTCTAGGGGGGTGTGATATCACTTTCTAGGAGGGGTGTGATATCACTTTCTAGGGGGTGTGATATCACTCTCTAGGAGGGTTGTGATATCACATTCTAGGGATGTGATATCACTTTCTAGGGGGGTGTGATATCACTTTCTAGGGGGTGTGATATCACTTTCTAGGGGGTGTGATATCACTTTCTAGGGGGGTGTGATATCACTTTCTAGAGGGGTGTGATATCACATTATAGGGATGTGATATCACTTTCTAGAGGGTGTGATATCACTTTCTAGAGGGGTGTGATATCACTTTCTAGGAGGGGTGTGATATCACTTTCTAGGGGGTGTGATATCACTTTCTAGGCTGTGTGAAATCACTTTCTAGAGGGTGTGATATCACTTTCTAGGCTGTGTGAAATCACTTTCTAGAGGGTGTGATATCACTTTCTAGAGGGTGTGATATCACTTTCTAGGCTGTGTGATATCACATTCTAGGGTGTGTGATATCACTTTCTAGGCTGTGTGAAATCACTTTCTAGAGGGTGTGATATCACTTTCTAGGCTGTGTGATATCACATTCTAGGGTGTGTGATATCACTTTCTAGGCTGTGTGATATCACTTTCTAGGAGGTGTGAAATCACTTTCTAGGCTGTGTGAAATCACTTTCTAGGCTGTGTGATATCACATTCTAGGGTGTGTGATATCACTTTCTAGGCTGTGTGATATCACTTTCTAGGCTGTGTGATATCACATTCTAGGGTGTGTGATATCACTTTCTAGGCTGTGTGATATCACTTTCTAGGCTGTGTGAAATCACTTTTTAGGCTGTGTGATATCACATTCTAGGGTGTGTGATATCACTTTCTAGGCTGTGTGATATAACTTTCTAGGCTGTGTGAAATCACTTTCTAGGCTGTGTGATATCACATTCTAGGGTGTGTGATATCACTTTCTAGGCTGTGTGATATCACTTTCTAGGGAGGTGTGAAATCACTTTCTAGGCTGTGTGAAATCACTTTCTAGGCTGTGTGATATCACATTCTAGGGTGTGTGATATCACTTTCTAGGCTGTGTGATATCACTTTCTAGGCTGTGTGAAATCACTTTCTAGGCTGTGTGATATCACATTCTAGGGTGTGTGATATCACTTTCTAGAGGGTGTGATATCACTTTCTAGGGGGGTGTGATATCACTTTCTAGGGGGGTGTGATATCACTTTCTAGGAGGGGTGTGATATCACTTTCTAGGGGGTGTGATATCACTCTCTAGGAGGGTTGTGATATCACATTCTAGGGATGTGATATCACTTTCTAGGGGGGTGTGATATCACTTTCTAGGGGGTGTGATATCACTTTCTAGGGGGTGTGATATCACTTTCTAGGGGGGTGTGATATCACTTTCTAGAGGGGTGTGATATCACATTATAGGGATGTGATATCACTTTCTAGAGGGTGTGATATCACTTTCTAGAGGGGTGTGATATCACTTTCTAGGAGGGGTGTGATATCACTTTCTAGGGGGTGTGATATCACTTTCTAGGAGGGGTGTGATATCACATTCTAGGGATGTGATATCACTTTCTAGAGGGTGTGATATCACTTTCTAGGGGGTGTGATATCACTTTCTAGGGGGTGTGATATCACTTTCTAGGGGGGTGTGATATCACTTTCTAGAGGGGTGTGATATCACATTCTAGGGATGTGATATCATTTTCTAGAGGGTGTGATATCACTTTCTAGGAGGGGTGTGATATCACTTTCTAGAGGGGTGTGATATCACTTTCTAGGAGGGGTGTGATATCACTTTCTAGGGGCGTGATATCGCTTTCTAGGGGGTGTGATATCACTTTCTAGGGGGGTGTGATATCGCTTTCTAGGGGGGTGTGATATCGCTTTCTAGGAGGGATTTGATATCACTTTCTAGAGGGGTGTGATATCACTTTCTAGTGGCGTGATATCGCTTTCTAGGAGGGATGTGATATCACTTTCTAGAGGGGTGTGATATCACTTTCTAGGAGGGGTGTGATATCACTTTTTAGGGGGTGTGATATCACTTTCTAGGGGGTGATATCACTCTCTAGGGGGTGTGATATCACCTGGGCTGTTTTCAGCTTGTGGAAATTTCAGACACATGCAAAAATGGCGTTATCTGCGGTAAACATATAATAATCATTTATTGGTGTTGTATTGCAGATTACACATGTGAGAGTCACATGTTCCAATGTAACGAATCAAAGATGTGCCTACCAAGATCATGGGAATGTGACGGACACCCTGACTGTGCTAATCACAGTGACGAAGGCAGTCAGTGCCGTAAGTATTTCTAAAGCTGGTTAACGTGAAGAGGAAATCCAAAATTATTTCGAAAACTGTCAATCCTTGGAAAACTGAATTTTTCTTGAAGGTTATGACTAATTATAGATTGATGTTTTGATGCCATTTGAAATTGAATGTAAAAAAAAATATCTTTTAAATCTTCATCAACAAATGGAGAAGTTAATGATATAGAAAACTGTATTTAAGATCAGGTTAGTTTATGTTATGATACATCCACACCCACAGTCACAACAAACAGGACATGCCAGGAGTCAGAGTACCTATGTGATGGGACGGGTCGTTGTATACCCAAACAGTGGAAATGTGATGGGGATATTGACTGTCCTTATGGCGAGGACGAGCGTATCTCAAATGGATGTCGTAAGTCTTCAAAAAACTATGATAAATAGACATGCTATGTAACCTACATAGAATTCAAAGTGTCTTATTTTTTCTTAAAATAGATTTGATTCCATCATTGATATTTGTAAAATTTGGCGATGTATATATGTATAAACAATTCAGAATTAAAGAAACTAATGAGAACGGTTATGGATGGCCATTTAAGTCAGTCTTGCTGTTTACAAAACGTTTTGTTAGATAACCATTATTCCTGTTGTTAAATTTAAGTTTTGTTCCTTTTAAAGCCCCTGCACACTGTAAGAAGGATGAGTTCATGTGTAAAAATCGACGTTGTATACGAACCATCTTTGTGTGTGATCGTGATGATGACTGTGGTGACAACAGTGATGAACCTTCATCTTGTGGTAAGTTCAGTAGTCTGTTTCAACATCTTCAGGATTGTCAGTAGAAAGTCCGGTCCAATTTACTAGTATTAAAGGTTTATTTGATATATATTAATTGATGGCTACATTTCTTTTGTAATCCTAGAAATTTCTGCTTTGTATTAAAAACAAATTACAGAAAGTTTGATATGATTTATTTTTTGATCTTGGAAAGCATTCATTGGTGTTTTTACTCAACCACTGTAATCTGATAAATTGTTATTTTCGTATTATGGTGAATATTTCAGATAAAATTGATATTTTTTGTGTTATGGTAAATATTTCAGATAAAATTGATATTTTTTGTGTTATGGTGAATATTTCAGATAAAATTGATATTTTTTGTGTTATGGTAAATATTTCAGATAAAATTGATATTTTTTGTGTTATGGTAAATATTTCAGATGAAATTGATATTTTTTGTGTTATGGTAAATATTTCAGATAAAATTGATATTTTTTGTGTTATGGTGAATATTTCTGATAAAATTGATATTTTTTGTGTTATGGTGAATATTTCTGATAAAATTGATATTTTTTGTGTTATGGTGAATATTTCAGATAAAATTGATATTTTTTGTGTTATGGTGAATATTTCAGATAAAATTGATATTTTTTGTGTTATGGTAAATATTTCAGATAAAATTGATATTTTTGTGTTATGGTAAATATTTCAGATAAAATTGATATTTTTTGTGTTATGGTAAATATTTCAGATAAAATTGATATTTTTTGTGTTATGGTGAATATTTCTGATAAAATTGATATTTTTTGTGTTATGGTGAATATTTCTGATAAAATTGATATTTTTTGTGTTATGGTGAATATTTCAGATAAAATTGATATTTTTTGTGTTATGGTGAATATTTCAGATAAAATTGATATTTTTTGTGTTATGGTGAATATTTCAGATAAAATTGATATTTTTGTGTTATGGTAAATATTTCAGATGAAATTGATATTTTGGTGTTATGGTAAATTTCTGTTTTGCAGTGTTTCATGCCTGCAAACAAGATCAGTTTGCATGTAAACAGAACGGAACATGTATTGCCCAAAATCTCACTTGTAACGGTTTCCCTGACTGCCCTGATCATTCTGACGAGGCCAACTGTACCAAGGTGCCACCTTGTGGATCTGAAAATTCATTCAAGTGTAAAAATTCCAAGTGTATACATATGGACTCCGTGTGCAATGGCAAGGACAACTGTGGTGATGCATCTGATGAACCGGAAAATTGTTGTAAGTAATCGTATTTTATGCAGATATATAATAACATGTTCTGCACATAGGAACTCTCACAAATATTTATCTCATTGATAAAGTTAACAAAACAAAAGAAGATTGATAAATGAATCTGGATTATTCACTAAAACTGAGTAGACAAGTAAACAAGTTTTATATGATATTGACTTTCTGTATGACTTAAGGCAGTGTAGAAAGTGTTAAGTTTGGCAGTTGCTTTTGAAGAAACTACACGCCTACACTTAAAATTGCTTAGCAGAATTTGAATGTCTGATTTGATTTGTGATACAGATATCAACGAGTGTGAACCTTTCCAGTTCATGTGCAGTCAGATTTGCACTGATCGCAAGATCGGTTATCAGTGTTCATGTGAACCAGGCTACAAACTCAGAAATGATGGCAGGACATGTGAAGGTAAGTTTTGTTGATTGTTGCTTTATGTCTTGATACAGCCAGGGTCATTTAACAATGTACAGGGTTTGATTGGTGGTGGAGTCCCTGAAGAAAAATCACCAACCTGTGACTAGTACTTGGCAACTGCCCAAAATGGCCAAAACCCTCAACTCAAGAGATGGAGGGCTAGTGATGGAAACACCTTAACCACTCGGCGATGCACAATGGCACCTCCAGGGATATCGTTCCATAATTGTATCAAGATAGAACTTCGTGCAAACCTATTCACTTTTTAAACTTATTCAGGGGGATGGGGGGCATACCAGTCACTTAAAATAAAAAATTGTAATTATTACAAGTTAAAGTTACAATATTGATTATAAATTTCTCTCTTTAAATTTATCTTTTTTAAAATACCGGTATATGTGTTTTCTGCAATTTTGCTCCATCCTACTAATTATGACAGCAATATTTTCCTGCAAAGTAGCAGTAGTTCAAGAAATGCTTGTGGTTGACATTCCTCTGAGACAGTCATTTATGAGCTCTTAACATAACAAGGCAGTTAAGATTAATATCTCAATATTAATCCAATTAGTTAGGAATGCTTGAAGGCATTTCTATATATAATGGTAACAAGCTTGATTCTGTTTTGTGTAATATGGTCGCTATGTTTACAGATGTGAATGAGTGCGAGACGCTGTACCCATGTTCTCACTACTGTCACAACACTATAGGAACTTACTACTGCACATGCGCAGATGGATACCGTCTGGCTGAAGACCGAATTTCTTGTAAAGTATATGGAGGTAGGTCAAGGTCACATTGGTGTCATGTAGTTACAATAAAGGTCAGCTTATCTATCAGCTAGTTAAGGAATAAGGTCAGAGTGACATGTTCACCAAATGCATTATAGAAATATAGGGCTTATTCCTAGATTAAGGTCACATATATAAATATATATGGCGGGTCGGTGTCAAAAAAAAAAAAACAATCTACAAGTAAAGCTAATATATACTCTTTGCCTTGACAATTAACATAATAACATTTGATGAAGAAGTTTTAGTTATCTTTGTATACCATCCCATGTCTGGTAATAAGCCCATGTCTGATAATAAGCCTAATTATATATTGCTGTTCAGTAAAATTAAAAACACTGTAATAAGTCCACTCCTTGACTTTGTGTTTGACCCCTTGGCTCTATTCAAATGCTGTAACAAAACATAATTATCTTCAGTGTTATTATGTATTATAGATAATATTAGTTTGTGACTTGTCAGGTGTTAGTTAGACAACCTATTTTTGAAGCTAGTGTATGTTGTGCTTACTCCCTACTTCTGATTTAAACTATTTTAGCAAATTTATACATGGGAAGCTTGTTATTTCAAACTCGTACAGTTTGAAGACCCCATTTAATTTGAAGTATTCGTCTATCCTGGCCAGACTTTTCACTGAACATTTTATCTCTCTTATATTGAACACTCAGATAACTCCAAGATTTCTATCACTCCTGGCGAATTTAAAATAACGAAATTTGACAGTACTGACAATGTGGATGATAGAAACACTGTAACATGTATCTGTGTACAATTCAGATGAGCAACCTTATCTTATCGTGGCCAATCGATATTACTTGAGAAGGATATCATTCTTCGGCATCGAGGAGAAGATAACAGAAAACCTAAACAATGCTGTTGCTATTGGATTCAATCATAAAGAAGAAATGATATACTGGACAGACATCACCAGCAAGGCCAGCTCCATCAACAGAATGAAAATGAATAATGGTACCAAAGAGGTGAGTTGGCACTCAACATCCAGAAAGTGTTACTTCTAATGCCCCATAATGGGAGATAACCCTACTAGTACTTCTCTGTAATGGGAGGTCACTCTACTAGTACTACCCGATAATGGGAGGTAACTCAACTAGTACTTCTCTGAAATGGGAGGTAACTCTACTAGTACTACTCTGTAATGGGAGGTCACTCTACTAGTACTGCGCTGTAATGGGAGGTCATTCTACTAGTACTACACTGTAATGGGAGGTAACCCAACTAGTACTACCTGAAAATAAGAGGTCACTCTACTAGTACTACCTGAAAATGGGAGGTTTCTCTACTAGTACTGAGCTGTAATGGGAGGTAACTCTACTAGTACTATTCTGTAATGGGAGGTAATTCAGAGAGTACTACCCTATAATGGGAGGAAACTCTATTAGTAATACCCTGAAACAGGAGGTCACTCTACTAGTAATATCCTGTTGGGGAGATAACTCTTAATACCTCTACACTGTAATGGAAGGTTATTCAAATAGCTCTGCCCTGAAATGGACAGTAACTCAACTAATATTGCCCAGAAATGGGAGGTAACTCAAAATATATACTCCTCTAATATGTAATCACTATACTTCATACAGCTGTATGATTTCCCTGATATCAGAGATGAGTGCTAGTATTTCTTTGTAATAGGTGCTATTAAAGCAACTTTTAAAGGGGAGGTAACCTATGACAATTTGAATTTTGTAGGTACTACACAATACCACTGTAAGAAATCCAGATGGTCTTGCTGTCGACTGGATTGGTGGGAATCTCTACTGGTGTGACAAAACTACCGACACAATTGAGGTTTCAAAACTTGATGGAAAATACCGCAAAGTATTGATTAACGAGGGTCTTGAAGAGCCTCGTGCACTAGAGGTGTTTCCTGCCAAAGGTTTCATGTTCTACACAGACTGGGGAGAGAAGCCACACATTTCACGGTCGTATCTCGATGGCTCTGTTACACAAAAAATCATCACACAGGACCTCGCCTGGCCAAATGCATTGACAATTGATTACATAACAGAAAAGATTTTCTGGGCTGATGCTAGCCTGGACTATATCGCCATGGCAAATTTAGACGGCACAGCAAGACATATGATCTTACACCGTGACCTTCCTCACACTTTTGCTCTCACCACATTTATGAATTACATTTACTGGACCGATTGGGAAAAGGGCTCGATCGAAAGAGCAGAGAAATTCTCCGGGAAAAATCGTACCACTGTTGCCACAGTGGTTCATCGCTTAATGGATATTCAAGTGTACCATAAGATGAGACAAGTAGAAAGTAAGTGAAGAAAAAAGATACAAACACATACATTTGTCTTACTCCAGTCATACACTGAAGTCTAGTTAACACTATGTGCATGGTTTATGAGTATTAGCAAGGCTAAACATTTCAGACTGCAGGATAACACTCAAACTGAGTCACTGACTACATTGAATTTAACGCATTACTGTTGAGTGACACAATGTATTTCCGTGCATAAAGATTTATAAGATGTTTATAATGATGAAATAAGTGACTGAATTTATGTAAAGTTGAGTCTTCATGCCATGTCAAAAGTTTACAAGGAAAAATTGGTCATCTGAAAATACTGAAAATATATTATCATACTGTGTGTTGGAAGGGGATTTCCCTTCTACTCTCATACAGGTACATTTGGACATTAAGCATCTTAAACAGCTTTACCATCAAATCTTAATGTAAAATTTGTTTTGTAAATAGTTCCAATATTTGCGGCTTTATTAAATCAATATGCAAAATGAAAGATAATGATTTCAGTCCTTACTTTCTCCATCAATATCATCGTTTCTAATCTTTTATTGTTTTTATCAACCTACAAAATATACAATATCTTCAGAATTTATAGTATCATTGTTATATTTTACAGTAAACTTTAACCCATGTGAAAACAATGGAGGCTGCAGCCATCTCTGTTTACTCCGTCCTCTGACTGATAAGGCTGCAGCTATTTTCCAATCTCGAATTGTGGAACGCGTCTGTGCCTGTCCGGAGAATCATGAGCTCCTACCTGATGGACTCACCTGTAAAGCTAACTGTACCAGGTATTCATGTAACAGAGACTTTTCATGTCTAACTATGGTATGGATCACAAATTTTATAAAGTTTGGGGAAATAGATAAAATCCTGGTACACTGCATACCACATATAGATATGGTACAGACTGACCTTCTTTAGGGGCCATGATAATATATAAAGCCACAGTTGAAAATCTTAGATGTGTAGCCTTTGATGTCCCTTACCCACAAGGAGCTGAGAAGTGGACTTGTCTGTGTTGTCACCTTTGTGTTCTTGAGCGAGACACTAACCCTGATTGCTCTTTATGGCGCGCGATGGTCTTCCTGTATGTTGTTCAGTGAGGTTAAGTCTCCAGCTACTATAAAAGGATTCCATTTTTAAATGACTTTGGCAGTTTACGAAGCTATAAACTCAACAGACAAACTCTTTCCTCATGTGACAGATTTTCTTTGAACTATGCATAATAATTGTCACATTTTACTAAAATTCTGTTTATGATTTCAGTGCCCAGTTTCTGTGTGAATCCAGCTCCAAGTGTATTCCGTTTTGGTGGAAATGTGATGGTCAATGGGATTGTGATGATGGCTCAGATGAACCTAGCTCTTGTCGTATGTATAAAGTGTATTGTGATAGTCTTGTAAAAATAACATCTCACACACCAGAAGCTGTCTTTCTAATTTCTTCCATAGTCCGTCTTATTCGATAAGTTTAATATATGACTTTGGAATGGGTGTAAGATTCTTCATCTGTATTAATCAATACAACCCCATATTTCTGAATGTACGTGAAAACTAAATAATTTCCCTAAAAGACCGACTTATCTTGATCCAGATGGTACTTTTTTCACTACCAATATAATCATGTGATGTCATCGCAAAAGCTTTATTGCACATAAGTCTTACAGAAGAGTATGCAGAAGCCGAGTGGTTAAAGTGTCTCACCATCTTGCCTTCTATCTCTGGGTCACAGTATTGAGGCCTGCCTTGTACCACTGGGTCACGGGTTTGAGACCTGCCTTCTACCTCTGGGTCAGGGGTTTGAGGCCTGCCTTCTACCTCTGGGTCAGGGGTTTGAGGCCTGCCTTCTACCTCTTGGTCACGGGTTTGAGGCCTAGATGGGATAGGTCACGAGGTACTGGCCACGGGTCAGTGGTTTTCCTCCAGGACTTCCAGCTTTCCTTCAACACCCAAATCTGGCATGTGGTTAAGTTACCCTGGCTGTTTATAGGACGTAAAACAACAATAAACTAAAAATAAATAAACAATATTTTATGTTATTTATGACATGGCTATATAACATGACACAACAGATGAGTTCTGTAATAAATAAAATATTTCAGTTAACTGAAATATGTAGATACCAATCACAACTGAAAGGATAAAATTAGATGTTTATTGTGTAATACACACCAGTCTCCTATCAATAAGCAAGAAAAATGCAAATCACCAACACAGACAAAATCTTCTCCACAACCTGAAACCTTGCAAAGTTGAAGCTTGTTTATTATATCATATTGATACGGCAATAGGTGTATGTCGGTTAATAAGCCCACCCATATTTATTCAGTTTTTGCAAAAATGCCAAAAATATGTGATTTCGTTCGTTTTACTTTAGTATAAATCTTTTTTCCAGCTGAGAACATGATATTGACCAAGATTTATTTACCTGGTGTCATCGATAATGCAAAGAGTTACTTACCTTTCTGAAAATCTTCGTACTTATTTAAGGGTCTCGGTGTAAATTGTTCATATTTTTAATCTATCGTTATCATTTTCTATTTTTCTTTTTCTATTGTTATTTATTATTAGGATTTTTTTCGTAGTTTTTCTAGTCAGGAATTTGCTGTACAAGTACACATTTTGGACGTAACCTTATTTTAGTGGTGACCTTATTTTGTTTGTGATCTTATTTTTGTGTTAACCATATTTTAGTAGTAATCAAATTTTCGTGATAATCTTGTTTTAGTGGTGAGCTTATTTTAGTGGTAATCAAATTTTAGTGGCAATCTTATTTTGTTGGAAATTGATTTTAGTGGTTATCTTATTTTAGCAGTAATCTTATTTTAATAGTGGTCTTATTTTAGTGGTAATATTATTTTAGTGGAAATCATGCAACACAACAATATGATTATGCTAATTGCACTTCCTGTATGTCGTTAGTGTAACATTCATTGTGAATGTCCGATTTAATCATTACACATATTGGAATTTGAATGTGACAACAGAAGCACACCCACAGAATGTTTTTGTGCCTCTCACTCTCAACCTACTCACTGAATTATAGCAGGATATAGATACAATAATTCAGATTTTCTTTGTGTTATAAATTAATCTAATATTTTATTGACAGCACCCTACCAGTGTAGTCATCTTGGCCTGTTTCGGTGTAAAAACTCATCATCGGACTGTATCCCACCTATTGAAATTTGTGACGGCAAGCCACAATGCTCAGATGGATCTGATGAACAAGCCTGTGGTGAGTATGTTACAGGTGACAGTACAATATCTATTAAATCATTGGCACATTTTTCAGAATGAGATCTTGACAAAATTTTGATCTTGAAGTACAGAGTGAGAAAAGTGAAAATCTGATATCAAAATTAAATACCGCTAAATCTGTTACAATGTAAAATAATGAATAAAAAAATTAATTTCAACTTTAGGGAGAAAAATTGAAGCCATTTTTAAAATGAAGTCCTTGTTTTTTGTACAGATGAATTCCATTGCCTGGCTGGGTATAGGAAGTGTCCAAATGACGATATTTGCATTGAGCAGAAGAAATTTTGTAATCTAGTGGAGGATTGCCCGTCTAAGCTTGATGAACATAACTGTAGTAAGTTTTCTAATTCTGTTGATTAAATTTTTTGATGTTCATTGTGCATATATTGATATTCCGTGAGAAAGAGTAATTTAATAAACCATTTCTTTTGTGTGTTTTCTAACACGTAATATAATTTGAGTTGCTAATTTAAGAAAAGTTTAAACTCTGTCCCTAATTGTTTAATTTTAAGACTGATCAGTGAAATTAGATTTTGACAATTGATGATTGTTATTGCTATTTATTGAAAAAGTACTTGAGGGATATCTTCCAAACTTGCTGTGTGGTTTCTGGATGGTCCCAAGTTGTGCCCATTTGATTAGTTAGAAGAACAAAATGGCTGATTGGTGACAATCTATTATTTTGACAGTTGAAGATTGTTTTTGTTATTTCTCAGAAAGTTCTTGTTTGAAAAGATCTTTTATTTTCTTTGTAGGATTCTATTGTTTTTAAATGATTTAAAAGAAAAGAGGAGAGAAGGGAAAAGTAGAGAAAAGATCAGTCTGGCATAGAATCAATTAAGATAATTTAATTGTGGGCACCAATATCCCTAAGGAATTTCTTGTTTCATGCTATAATGATTGCTAGAACTAAATTTAATGGAGAGTTATCTCCCTTACAGCGTACAGTTCTTGCGAGGCTAACCAGTTTCAGTGTGCAAACAAACGTTGTGTACCATACGTGTGGAGGTGTGACACAGACAATGACTGTGGCGATGGCTCGGATGAACCCGCTGACTGCCGAAACATGACCTGCATGGAAGGATACATCAAGTGTGACACAGGGCGCTGTATCCCGTCAGACTGGCAGTGTGATGGTGATGTGGACTGTGGACCTGAGGACCGTTCTGATGAAGACAATGCTAAATGCAGTAGGTTTACATTGATTACACTCGGTAGATGTAATAGATGTGTTTTTTTACCCAACCATTTTATGGGAGGGGCATAGTGTTACCCTCGTCTGTTCAGTCCTGTTACTTCCAATCCAAATGGATTATTGCTATCACTGCAGTGACTTCATTTCTGTAGGGATTACAATCAGTTATTATTATTATTATTACGTTCTTAACGGCTTGTCAACACATAAAAGGTCATTAGGGCCATCAAACAGTAAAACACACAGCGATCCAAAAGGAAATAACATTAAACAAACCAAACAGTAAAAGACAAATGTTAAAAATCTTAAATGGGTATGTTAACACAAAGGATTAAAATGCTACGTCATAGAGACTGCAATCAAACTTTATGATATATGACAATATCACAGAATTGGGGTATATACAGAAAAGTATTACGTATGTGGAAAATGATTCCAAATTGTGTGACCTTTATGAATAAGTTTTATAAGTTTTATGTTTTAATTGTTTTTGTAGCCCAGACCACCTGTGAGCCCACCTACTTCCAATGTGATAATAAACATTGTATTCCGTCCCGTTGGAAATGTGATTTCGACAATGATTGTCGAGATGGTTCAGATGAAAATGGTTGTGGTAAGTATCAGCAGAGTTTTCATCTTTTTATTTATCCACCAACAACCAAACGCATTTCTGGATTTAAGCCTGCTCGTTTAAAATCTTAAGCCAATGCTATTTCATTGTCCTGTGATAAGCCCATCCTCTGACTTGGGTTGGAAGTAATATGAGACCCTCTGGACTTATCGCAGGATTTAGGCGTCTTTTTGTACGCTGCCGGAGGCGGTCGTATATTGGCGTCATCTTCTCCGTCTGTCTGTCCATTTCTTGTGAACGCAACTCCTCCTAAACTAATCATCAGATTTTCACGAACTTGCTCAATGTCACTACTACAATGGGTAGATGCGCGTGAAGGGGCGATTTTTTGCTTCTTTGATTTTTGTAAGATTTATGCCATTTTCAACATTGTATCTGTAGCTTGCTCATAGTGAAGCCTTCTGAATGTAACTCCTCCTAAACTAATGATCAGATTTTCACGAAACTTGCTCAATGTCACTACTACAATGGGTGGATGTGCTGGAAGTGGCGATTTAACGGTTTTTCTTGATCTTTATATTTTGTGGCAGTGTATATTGTGTCCACAGCACTCTTGTTTATAATTGGTACCAAGATAATGGACGGCTTGCTGTCAGGCAGCCACAATCTGATACAAGATCTTGTCTGAAAATGACCCGGTCAGTTTACGGACTGGTAGACTTAGCAAACAAAAATATTATATACCTACGGTATATTGAGCATTTCACTGAAGCCTATTTCTAAATTCAATGACCAAACAGAAATATTTTCATTTCAGTTCTAGAAAATTGTATTTCAAATACACAAAAGTAAATAACATCTTTTAAAATCATCCTAACAATTGTACAGAGGCACTTGAATGTAAGATAACAAAATGAATATCTTTTTTTGACTTTGACCTTTGTTGACCTTGACCTCTGTTGACTTTGACCTTTGTTGACCCAGCTCATCGGCAGTGTTCAGAACAGGAGTTCACATGCAACAACAACAAGTGTATCCCAAAGAGCTGGAAATGTAACGGAGAGGTGAATTGTGAGGATGGAAGTGATGAAGATGGTTGTGAGGGTACGTAAAAATGAAGAGTAATCATACAGGTGTTTTTAACTAGTAAGTAACATGAAGAGATGTTTGAACATCTTGTGTTGGATGAGCAGTAAATTGTTTCTACCCTGTTACTTTTTAATTTCACAAGTTGAACTCAATAAAAACAAATAAAAAAAATAAGATTCCTCAATTTTATTTATAAATTATTAACTATTATATGAAGATAAAGAGCGAACGTTAGTCTTCAGGTAGGTTTGTTCTTCAGCATGGCACTCCTCCTGAATGTGGATACCTTCAGGTATGCAGGGCAATCATCAGATATATGTATTACATAAGCAGGGAAAGGTCAATTGCAACAAGATTAAGTGTTACTAAATAAGTTTAAACTTTAAAACTTTAAAAGTTCAGTAATCCACTTATTTGCTAACACTTGATCTTGTTTCTGTCTTTATTATTAACTACATATCAATAAAAACATGTTGTAAATACCACAGGTGTGGATTGTGACAGCGAGGAGTTTAAATGTGCTGGGATCTGTGTTCCCCGAAAGTGGATGTGCGATGAGGATATTGATTGCCCTGATGGCTCTGACGAAAGAAACTGTAGTGGTACGTCATTCTTTCGTGTCTTTTTAATTTCTCGTTGATTTATTATTTTAAGTTGTTTTTTTTTCACGAATGAAAATGTCTTGTGTTAAAATAAAACAAATGTCTCTTTTCATTCAAACTTATGTTTCGGTATTTGTTGTGTTTGTTAAGGTAGAAATTTCGTGTCATCAAGTCATGAATATGAAAACATCAATATAACCCATCATGAGTGATTATGAAGTCTCGATGTAGTTTTTTCCTATTGCCTTGAACTTGGAAACATTGAAATTTGACTGGAGTTCATCTCATTACGTTGTAGTATGAAAATACTTAAGGAAATAACCTTATGATAATTGATTTCTCCATACTTCGAGGCCACTTTAATCCCTATTGGATGATAAAGCCACACAATTCTATCTTCTTGCTTTCGTTTATTTCCATAGGTTCTTGTCAAGACAATAAATTTTTGTGTAAAAACAAAGAATGTATACCTGACCTTTGGCGATGCGACGGTGATAATGATTGTGGTGATAACTCTGATGAGGAGACTGAAATGTGTGGTAGGTACACATGCACTAAGATAGTACCAGCTGTGGTAGGTACACACACACTAAGATAGTACCAGCTGTGGTAGGTACACATGCACTAAGATAGTACCAGCTGTGGTAGGTACACATGCACTATGATAGTACTAGCTGTGGTAGGTACACATGCACTAAGATAGTACTAGCTGTGGTAGGTACACATGCACTAAAATAGTACTAGCTGTGGTAGGTAGACACACACTAAGATAGTACCAGCTGTGGTAGGTACACATGCACTAAGATAGTACTAGCTGTGGTAGGTACACATGCACTAAAATAGTACTAGCTGTGGTGGGTAGACACACACTAAGATAGTACCAGCTGTGGTAGGTACACATGCACTATGATAGTACTAGCTGTGGTAGGTACACATGCACTAAGATAGTACTAGCTGTGGTAGGTACACATGCACTAAAATAGTACTAGCTGTGGTAGGTAGACACACACACTAAAATAGTACTAGCTGTGGTAGGTAGACACATGCACTATGATAGTACTAGCTGTGGTAGGTACACATGCACTATGATAGTACTAGCTGTGGTAGGTACACATGCACTAAGAGAGTACCAGCTGTGGTAGGTAGACACACACTAAGATAGAACTAGCTGTGGTAGGTACACATGCACTATGATAGTACCAGCTGTGGTAGGTACACATGCACTATGATAGTACTAGCTGTGGTGGGTAGACACACACTAAGATAGTACCAGCTGTGGTAGGTACACACACACTAAGATAGTACCAGCTGAGGTAGGTACACACACACTAAGATAGAACTAGCTGTGGTAGGTACACATGCACTATGATAGTACCAGCTGTGGTAGGTACACATGCACTATGATAGTACTAGCTGTGGTGGGTAGACACACACTAAGATAGTACCAGCTGTGGTAGGTACACACACACTAAGATAATACCAGCTGTGGTAGGTACACATGCACTATGATAGTACTAGCTGTGGTAGGTACACATGCACTATGATAGTACTAGCTGTGGTGGGTAGACACACACTAAGATAGTACCAGCTGTGGTAGGTAGACACACACTAAGATAGAACTAGCTGTGGTAGGTACACATGCACTAAGGTAGTACCAGCTGTGGTAGGTACACATGCACTAAGATAGAACTAGCTGTGGTAGGTACACATGCACTAAGATAGTACCAGCTGTGATAAGTACACACACACTAAGATAGAACTAGTTGTGGTAGGTACACATGCAGTAAGATAGTACCAGCTGTGGTAGGTACACATGCACTAAGATAGAACTAGCTGTGGTAGGTACACATGCACTAAGGTAGTACCAGCTGTGGTAGGTACACATGCACTAAGGTAGTACCAGCTGTGGTTGGTACACATGCACTAAGATAGTACCAGTTGTGGTAGGTACACATGCACTAAGGTAGTACCAGCTGTGGTAGGTACACATGCACTAAGATAGTACTAGCTGTGGTAGGTACACATGCACTAAGATAGTACCAGCTGTGATAAATACACACACACTAATATAGATTCATATTGCCTCTGGGGAAGTTTTTTGCTTACAGAAAGAAACCTATAGTTTCTGAGTTCAAATATTTCTAAAATATTTTTAAGTATTATGAATATGAATATTTACAATTGTTAAATGAATATTGATATATTGTATAGATGAACATGTTTTTATATGAAGTTGTATATTTTATTATAATCAAATATTTAAAATGAAAAGAGCATTTCAGTAATTAGTTTTCATTAACTGTTACAAAAAATAATATTTCTATATTTACTCTAAAGTTCGTAAACTGTTTCGTTGATATTTTTACACTTTTGTTGTTCAAACTTCCAGTAAACCACCAGTGTCCCTTGGGCCGGTTCCGATGTAAAAATCATATTTGTCTGTCTGTGTCCAAACGCTGTGATGGAATTGACCAATGTGGAGACTATACTGATGAAGAAAAGTGTAAGTAAACTAAATCACATCTTTGATTTTGGAAAGATTTGCTTTAACATTTATTGATAAAGAAAAAAAAATACTTTAAAAGTTTTTGTTAAAGACTCTCTACCCTGAATGGTGCACATACCTATGATGTGTGCCAATGTTACAGAGGATATTTTGTAACACTATCTGTGATTAGTCAGTACTGGGACAGACGAGATTTTGTAACACTATCTATGATTGGTTGCCACTGCAACAGAGGAGATTATGTAACACTGCCTGTGATTGGTTACAGTAGAGTTAATTTAATGATTTGTGATTGATTGCCATGGTTACAAAGGAATTCATATAAGACCCCCTGTGATTGGTTTCAGGTTACTATGACACTCTTTGTCATGGGAGGACTTTCAGGTGTGCAAAGAATGACAAGTGTATCCCAATTCACCAAGTTTGTGATGGTCAGTATAACTGCCTTGACCATACTGATGAGGATTCAGACTTCTGTAGGCCAGGTATGTTGACCACCTCAAGTCAGAACTGCCCAGTGTTGTAAATACTGCCAAGGATTCAGACATCAGAAAGAGATATTGGAACTTTTCCCTGCTCTAGTGAAAAAATTAATTGTAATGACATGATATTAAAAGGAAAAACACATGACATTAAATAGATTGAATTATTAATGACATGTTATATTAAGAGGAAATTGTATGACATTAAGTGGATGAAACTGTAAATGATATCTTACATTAAGGGGAAAGACACATGATATTAAGCAGACTAAATTATGAATTTCTAATTACATTATGAGTGAAGATACTTGGCATTATAATCATATTAAATTTGTTAATGCCATTAAGAGGCATATTAAGAAGAATGCACATTACATAAAGCAAACTGAAATGACCTTTACATTAAGAGAAAAGAAAATTAATGGGATATTAAAGAGGAAAAATGCTTGCTTAAGGCATACATCTTATAAGTCTTGTCGTTTTATGAACAGAATTTTCGTGATCATGTTAATGTCTGCATAATAGTGAAAAATGTCATCCCCCCCCCACCCCCCATGATAATAACCAGCTGTATGATATAATGCTACATTAATAAGAAAGACACAGTTGCATGAAACAGGCAAAATTGTAATGAAAATGGTTGAAGAGGAAAATAATTGATAGATAAGACTGTACATCATCTGTTACATAGAGAGGATACACAGGGTAATACACATTTTATTTTTATTAGCACATTGCATTAACAGGATGCTCTGATATGAGAATTACCTCACCAGTTAAACTCTTTTTTACAGAGAACATCCAGCCAACATGTGGAAGTAACATCTGCCAACAGACCTGTCAAAATATCACCGGGGTAGGATACAAGTGTACTTGTAAGCGGGGATACAAACTCAACGACGACGGATTCTCTTGCAAAGGTTTGTATCACTGTCTCCATTATGATTAAAGAAACAGATGTTTGTGATATCAATATTGACTGTTCATAGCAAAAACCTGATAGCATGTTCCTGATGATGATTATATTGTAGGTACATGTTCAATAAAATGTTCAAGTCAAGTACAAGTTAGATAAAATGTTCAAGTCAAGTATATGTTAAATAGAATGTTCAAGTCAAGTATATGTTAAATAGAATCTTCAAGTCAAGTATATGTTAAATAGAATCTTCAAGTCAAGTACAAGATAGATAAAATGTTCAAGTCAAGTACAAGTTAGATAAAATGTTCAAGTCAAGGATATGTTAGATAGAATGTTCTAGCTAAGTATATGTTAGATAGAATGTTCAAGTCAAGTACAAGTTAGATAAAATGTTCAAGTCAAGTATATGTTAAATAGAATGTTCAAGTCAAGTATATGTTAAATAGAATGTTCAAGTCAAGTATATGTTAAATAGAATGTTCAAGTCAAGTATATGTTAAATAGAATGTTCAAGTCAAGTATATGTTAAATAGAATCTTCAAGTCAAGGATATGTTAAATAGAATGTTCAAGTCAAGGATATGTTAAATAGAATGTTCAAGTCAAGTACAAGTTAGATAAAATGTTCTAGTTAAGTACAAGTTAGATAAAATGTTCAAGTCAAGTACAAGTTAGATAAAATGTTCAAGTCAAGGATATGTTAAATAAAATGTTCAAGTTAAGTACAAGTTAAATAAAATGTTCAAGTCAAGTATATGTTAGATAGAATGTTCAAGTTAAGTACAAGTTAAATAGAATGTTCAAGTCAAGTACAAGTTAAATAAAATGTTCAAGTCAAGTATAATGTTAAATACAATCTTCAAGTCAAGTACAAGTTAAATAAAATGTTCTTGTTCATTACATGTTAAATGAAATTTTAAAATTCAAGCACTCTTTGAAGTCTTAGAATGGAGGTAATTTTCTATTAAGTCATCCTGTATCCTTAAGTCAGCTCCATTTTGTCCTATTACAGTTGTGGATCTGTGTAAGCTTTGGGGTACCTGTTCTCAGCGGTGTGAACGTGACCTTAACAATCCGACAACTAACTGTTCCTGTGATGATGGATATACCATGTGGACAGACAATATATCACATCGTCCCTCGTGCCGTGCTCAAGGTAAGTCAAATCGGTTTGTCACTTGCAGGATATTTTTTTTTGTTCCTGATTCTCACAAGGAGAGTTATTTCCCTTTGTCCCTCGCATGTAAAGGATATACTGATACTTCAAAAGTTCTTTTTGATAGTTATAATTTTTGTGTTTAACAAACATTTAAAAAAAGAGTTCTTTTTGATAGTTTAAATTTTTGTGTTTAACAAACATTTAAAAAAAAAGAGTTCTTTTTGATAGTTAAAATTTTTGTGTTTAACAAACATTTAAAAATAGTGTTGCCAAGCCTCTTGTCATCAGTTATCAGTATGTTTATAGCTCTCCAAATATAGGATAAATTGGAAAACATCAAAAGGTCATTAGGTAAAACGATCAACTCTGCGTTATTGTTTTATAGATTTATGTATTTAGATGGTTTTCTTTGTTAGGTTTGGTCATTATTAAATCCAAAAATTGATTTGGAATTTTTTAAATATTAATTAGAATTAAAGAAATATCAGGTGATTCTTAGCTGGTGATGATATGATCAATTTGAAGCTGATCACCTGACAAAAACAGATGAGTTGGCAACACTGAAGAAAGGATTTAATTTACATGCAAGTCATGACACAAATTCTGGTTTTTTCTGTTTTTATTAGTTTCTGGGTAAGTTTTTTTAAAGATTTAATCCAATCCAAGACTGAAGTGAAAAAAACCATGAAAATCATTTTTAAAGAATTCAACACAAATCAATTAACAATATTTAAAACAATCATACAGTTTTAGAATTCAAACCTTGAAAATATTATATGTCTGATGTTTTACTGATTCAGCCATCTAGCCATCTAGTTTAAAAATCAATGGATGGTTTTGCACAGTGACAAATGAAAGGAGTGTGATTAAGATGATAACAGTCCTGTTATCTGTATCATCCCTATATCAGGTCCCAAGTCCCAGTTACTGATTGTATCATCTCTGTATCAGGTCCCAAGTCCCAGTTACTGATTGTATCATCCCTATATCAGGTCCCAAGCCCCAGTTACTGATTATATCATCTCTGTATCAGGTCCCAAGCCCCAGTTACTGATTATATCATCTCTGTATCAGGTCCCAAGCCCCAGTTACTGATTGTATCATCCCTATATCAGGTCCCAAGTCCCAGTTACTGATTGTATCATCTCTGTATCAGGTCATAAACCCCAGTTACTGATTGTATCATCTCTGTATCAGGTCCCCAGCCCCAGTTACTGATTGTATCATCTCTGTATCAGGACCCAAGCCCCAGTTACTGATTGTATCATCTCTGTATCAGGTCATAAGCCCCAGTTACTGATTATATCATCTCTGTATCAGGTCATAAACCCCAGTTACTGATTGTATCATCTCTGTATCAGGTCCCCAGCCCCAGTTACTGATTATATCATCTCTGTATCAGGTCCCAAGCCCCAGTTACTGATTGTATCATCCCTATATCAGGTCCCAAGTCCCAGTTACTGATTGTATCATCTCTGTATCAGGTCATAAACCCCAGTTACTGATTGTATCATCTCTGTATCAGGTCCCCAGCCCCAGTTACTGATTGTATCATCTCTGTATCAGGTCCCCAGCCCCAGTTACTGATTGTATCATCTCTGTATCAGGTCCCAAGCCCCAGTTACTGATTATATCATCTCTGTATCAGGTCCCAAGCCCCAGTTACTGATTATATCATCTCTGTATCAGGTCCCAAGCCCAAGTTACTGATTGTATCATCCCTATATCAGGTCCCAAGTCCCAGTTACTGATTGTATCATCTCTGTATCAGGTCATAAACCCCAGTTACTGATTGTATCATCTCTGTATCAGGTCCCAAGCCCCAGTTACTGATTATATCATCTCTGTATCAGGTCCCAAGCCCCAGTTACTGATTATATCATCTCTGTATCAGGTCCCAAGCCCCAGTTACTGATTATATCATCTCTGTATCAGGTCCCAAGCCCCAGTTACTGATTGTATCATCCCTATATCAGGTCCCAAGTCCCAGTTACTGATTGTATCATCTCTGTATCAGGTCCCAAGCCCCAGTTACTGATTGTATCATCTCTGTATCAGGTCCCAAGCCCCAGTTACTGATTATATCATCTCTGTATCAGGTCCCAAGCCCCAGTTACTGATTATATCATCTCTGTATCAGGTCCCAAGCCCCAGTTACTGATTGTATCATCCCTATATCAGGTCCCAAGTCCCAGTTACTGATTGTATCATCTCTGTATCAGGTCATAAACCCCAGTTACTGATTGTATAATCTCTGTATCAGGTCCCCAGCCCCAGTTACTGATAATATCATCTCTGTATCAGGTCCCAAGCCCCAGTTACTGATTGTATCATCCCTATATCAGGTCCCAAGTCCCAGTTACTGATTGTATCATCTCTGTATCAGGTCATAAACCCCAGTTACTGATTGTATCATCTCTGTATCAGGTCCCCAGCCCCAGTTACTGATTGTATCATCTCTGTATCAGGTCATAAACCCCAGTTACTGATTGTATCATCTCTGTATCAGGTCCCAAGCCCCAGTTACTGATTGTATCATCTCTGTATCAGGACCCAAGCCCCAGTTACTGATTATATCATCTCTGTATCAGGTCATAAACCCCAGTTACTGATTGTATCATCTCTGTATCAGGTCCCCAGCCCCAGTTACTGATTGTATCATCTCTGTATCAGGTCCCAAGCCCCAGTTACTGATTGTATCATCTCTGTATCAGGTCCCCAGCCCCAGTTACTGATTGTATCATCTCTGTATTAGGTCCCCAGCCCCAGTTACTGATTGTATTATCTCTGTATCAGGTCCCAAGCCCCAGTTACTGATTGTATCATCTCTGTATTAGGTCCCAAGCCCCAGTTACTGATTGTATTATCTCTGTATCAGGTCCCAAGCCCCAGTTACTGATTATATCATCTCTGTATCAGGTCCCCAGCCCCAGTTACTGATTGTATTATCTCTGTATCAGGTCCCAAGCCCCAGTTACTGATTGTATCATCTCTGTATCAGGTCATAAACCCCAGTTACTGATTGTATCATCTCTGTATCAGGTCATAAACCCCAGTTACTGATTGTATCATCTCTGTATCAGGTCCCCAGCCCCAGTTACTGATTGTATCATCTCTGTATCAGGTCCTCAGCCCCAGTTACTGATTGTATCATCTCTGTATCAGGTCATAAACCCCAGTTACTGATTGTATCATCTCTGTATCAGGTCCTCAGCCCCAGTTACTGTTTGTATCATCTCTGTATCAGGTCATAAACCCCAGTTACTGATTGTATCATCTCTGTATCAGGTCCCCAGCCCCAGTTACTGATTGTATCATCTCTGTATCAGGTCCCCAGCCCCAGTTACTGATTGTATCATCCCTATATCAGGTCCCAAGTCCCAGTTACTGATTGTATCATCTCTGTATCAGGTCCCAAGCCCCAGTTACTGATTGTATTATCTCTGTATCAGGTCATAAACCCCAGTTACTGATTGTATCATCTCTGTATCAGGTCCCCAGCCCCAGTTACTGATTGTATCATCCCTGTATCAGGTCCCCAGCCCCAGTTACTGATTGTATCATCTCTGTATCAGGTCCCAAGCCCCAGTTACTGATTGTATCATCTCTGTATCAGGTCATAAACCCCAGTTACTGATTGTATCATCTCTGTATCAGGTCATAAACCCCAGTTACTGATTGTATCATCTCTGTATCAGGTCCCAAGCCCCAGTTACTGATTGTATCATCTCTGTATTAGGTCCCAAGCCCCAGTTACTGATTGTATCATCTCTGTATCAGGTCCCCAGCCCCAGTTACTGATTGTATCATCTCTGTATTAGGTCCCAAGCCCCAGTTACTGATTGTATTATCTCTGTATCAGGTCCCAAGCCCCAGTTACTGATTATATCATCTCTGTATCAGGTCCCCAGCCCCAGTTACTGATTGTATTATCTCTGTATTAGGTCCCCAGCCCCAGTTACTGATTGTATCATCTCTGTATCAGGTCCCCAGCCCCAGTTACTGATTGTATTATCTCTGTATCAGGTCCCAAGCCCCAGTTACTGATTGTATCATCTCTGTATCAGGTCATAAACCCCAGTTACTGATTGTATCATCTCTGTATCAGGTCCTCAGCCCCAGTTACTGATTGTATCATCTCTGTATCAGGTCCCCAGCCCCAGTTACTGATTGTATCATCTCTGTATCAGGTCATAAACCCCAGTTACTGATTGTATCATCTCTGTATCAGGTCCCCAGCCCCAGTTACTGATTGTATCATCCCTGTATCAGGTCCCCAGCCCCAGTTACTGATTGTATCATCTCTGTATCAGGTCCAAAGCCCCAGTTACTGATTGTATCATCTCTGTATTAGGTCCCAAACCCCAGTTACTGATTGTATCATCTCTGTATCAGGTCATAAACCCCAGTTACTGATTGTATCATCTCTCTATCAGGTCCCAAGCCCCAGTTACTGATTGTATCATCCCTATATCAGGTCCCAAGCCCCAGTTACTGATTATATCATCTCTGTATCAGGTCCCAAGCCCCAGTTACTGATTGTATCATCTCTGTATGTCAGGTCCCAAGCCCCAGTTACTGATTGTATCATCTCTGTATGTCAGGTCCAAAGCCCCAGTTACTGATTGTATCATCTCTGTATTAGGTCCCAAGCCCCAGTTACTGATTGTATCATCTCTGTATCAGGTCCCCAGCCCCAGTTACTGATTGTATCATCTCTGTATTAGGTCCCAAGCCCCAGTTACTGATTGTATCATCTCTGTATCAGGTCCCCAGCCCTGTATCAGGTCCCCAGCCCCAGTTACTGATTGTATTATCTCTGTATCAGGTCCCCAGCCCCAGTTACTGATTGTATTATCTCTGTATCAGGTCCCAAGCCCCAGTTACTGATTGTATCATCTCTGTATCAGGTCCCAAGCCCCAGTTACTGATTGTATCATCTCTGTATCAGGTCATAAACCCCAGTTACTGATTGTATCATCTCTGTATCAGGTCCCAAGCCCCAGTTACTGATTGTATTATCTCTGTATTAGGTCCCCAGCCCCAGTAACTGATTGTATCATCTCTGTATTAGGTCCCAAGCCCCAGTTACTGATTGTATTATCTCTGTATCAGGTCCCAAGCCCCAGTTACTGATTGTATCATCCCTATATCAGGTCCCAAGCCCCAGTTACTGATTGTATCATCTCTGTATTAGGTCCCCAGCCCCAGTTACTGATTATATCATCTCTGTATCAGGTCCCAAGCCCCAGTTACTGATTGTATCATCCCTATATCAGGTCCCAAGCCCCAGTTACTGATTGTATCATCTCTGTATTAGGTCCCAAGCCCCAGTTACTGATTGTATCATCTCTGTATTAGGTCCCAAGCCCCAGTTACTGATTGCCCATGAGACACAGCTGATCCAGTCTGACATTGGATATGGTGGACAACAGCAATCTCTTTTGTCGGTAAGTATATGAAAGGGGCGGTAATTATGTTAAATCTAGGAGTACTTCTATGTCAAAGTGTTTAAAAAACAAAAGAAGCCAAACTGAGAGGACAACCATTCTACTGAGTCACACCAAAATGGTTTTTATTTATCTAAAGTAGGAAATGTGTAAACATATGTTGTCATCATGATGCCTGTGTGAACCCTTCATTTTAATTAAAGGGAGGTAATCCATAGCTATCAATACGATACATAAGCATAAAGTAATTACAGTCAACATTATGTTGAAAATGGCTGGAATAATATGTGTTATTTAACATTCCAATAGACATTTTTACGATACATTTGCGGTACATGAAGCCACCTTAAAAATTGAAGATGATGTGATTACTGTTTATTGTGCAGAGAATACCATTCATTGCAATCCCTAAAATATCAGGGATAGCTTGGAGCTGACATCTACACTTAAGTTTTGAACCTCTGAAGTTAAACATTACATCATTGACCTTCAAACTTCATCTGATCTATATATATGACCTTTAGCCTTCAATCTTTTGAATATTAGAATGAAAAGGACAAACATTATATCTTTATAACTATGATCTGATCTATATATATGACTTTTAGCCTTCAATCTTTTGAATATTAGAATGAAAAGGACAAACATTATATCTTTATAACTATGATCTGATCTATATATATGACTTTTAGCCTTCAATCTTTTGAATATTAGAATGAAAAGGACAAACATTATATCTTTATAACTATGATCTGATCTATATATATGACTTTTAGCCTTCAATCTTTTGAATATTAGAATGAAAAGGACAAACATTATAGCTTTGACCTTCAACCTTTATCTGATCTATATATATGACCTTTAGCCTTCAATCTTTTGAATATTAGAATGAAAAGGACAAACATTATATCTTTATAACTATGATCTGATCTATATATATGACTTTTAGCCTTCAATCTTTTGAATATTAGAATGAAAAGGACAAACATTATATCTTTATAACTATGATCTGATCTATGTCTATGACCTTTAGCCTTCAATTTTTTAAATATTAGAGTGAAAAGGACAAAATTATGTCAATTGACGTGGATATGACCCAACCATCACTGCAATCTTCTACACAATGGACAGCTTTCATCATTAGCCATGATAAAACACTCAAGAAAATGGCTATCAATGCTAACTGGGCTAGAATCAGCACCCCAAACAAGAAGACCAAGCCGACAAACGGTCGTGTACGCCGCAGCATAGATCTGAAGGCCCAAACACCAGTCCAGGTATACTGTTAAATAAGATCTGTTGCTATTGTATGTTGATTAACTTCACAAAGGATCCAAGCTTATATCTATAATATCAACATATCAGCTGTTTATCAGTTGGTTGGCAATTGATTTTTTCATGCTCATCTTGGGGTTCGGGTTTCTACGTATTAATCATTTTTAGTCACAAGAGACCATGATTTTTTCAACCATTAAATCGTGTGAATCTGCTATAAAGCAAAACTGACTTCAACCTATTTCTTGACTAATGTTTGCCTATTCTTAAAATTTAGCATTGTGCAAAGTTTCTAGTTCACCTATTCAGTTTTAGCACTCTTGTCCTTAATTTTCATCCCTGTAATAACCTTTATTTTTAGTTTGTGAATCTGGTGGCTGACCCTCAGGGTATTGCTGTTGACTGGGTGGGAAAACGAATCTACTGGACTGATGCAGGAACTCGCACTGTGGAAATGACAGATTATGATGGGGCACGTAAGATCACTGTGGTAAACTCTGGACTGGATCAGCCTTACTCTATCGCTGTGGCTCCGGAGGCAGGGTAAATGATATCCCAAACATATTAATACATCAACTAGTCAGAACTCAATTAAAACAGATCAACCCAGTACAACTTTGGTTTGGTCATCAATATCCTTAGATAAGTCAAAAGTATGTTACAAAAAGGTTTTTAGGTCAGTCAGTTAGATTTTAACCAGTCTACAATCTATTGCAGGAAATTGTTTTGGGCAGACAGAGGATTTCCACCAAAGATTGAAACATCAAATCTAGATGGTAGTGGACGGAAAGACCTGGTTAAAGATGACATAATTTGGCCGAACGGCCTGGCCATTGACCACGCTAACCATCGACTCTACTGGACAGACACAAAGAAACATACCATAGAAACCATTGGTCTCCATGGCGAAGACCGACAAGTTGTCAAGCAATTCAGTGGTAATGAAAGAAATAATTCTGTAACAGAAAAAAGATATTTCTAGCAGTGTTAGAAGGATTTTCATCTGTGTTTATATTGGGTATGAATTGTTGTAATCTCCATGTTATGATCATAAATTGTGAGTGTTTTCTTTCCTCACAACATGATCTTGAGCGTAATTTAGAAATCTTTGTTGTGTGGAGCTTGACAATTTTAAAGATGAAGTGTTTTGTAGAATCTGACAATAATTAAGATCTATTTGTTACAGCGATCGAGGACCCTCCCTACATGCTGGATGTATTTGAAGATTACCTGTATGTTACATTGTATCGGTCACACGAAATCATTCGTATCCATAAATTTGGTACAAAATTTATGAACAGCACCGTTCTACTGAGTAATGTGACATTTATCGGTGACATCATCATCCTCCAGCCAATCAAACAGAAGAACTCCAGTAAGTAACTAGTTTCATTGTCATGCTATTCAGGCATAAAATCTCGTAATAAGTAATTGAAGGAGTAAAATTATATGGATTTATGAATCGTGGTTACGTATAGAGGTTGTCAGATGATACATTGGTAATACATTAGCCTTCCATGTGTGTAATCCTTGATTCCGTGATCGGACATTTAAAGGTACGGGTCACCTTCACAACTGTGTGGGTATTTCCTTGTGTACCCGGGTTTCCTTCCACCTGAAGACCTCCTGGAAGCTTCAGTATGCACCACTATAGTGATTAAAGCTATGAACTTTAATTAAATGATAGATATGTAATATTTATGTGATGGATATAATCAGTGAGAGTTTCATTGTTGATTTCAGTTATAAATTACTGCCAGTCTAACAGTACCCATGATGGGCCTTGTCCTGCAGCATTTTGTATTAACATGCCACAACAGAAAACACCCAAATACAAGTGCTTATGTTCCAATGATGCCGTGTTTGAGGACGAGAAGTGTAGTTTTAAGAAATCTTGTGAGGAGGGATATTGTAAAAATGGTGGTAGTTGCCATTTACAGCCGAATGGAAAATCAAAGTGCAGGTATGTAATAGTAAATCAAAGTGCAGGTATGTAAGAGTAAATCAAAGTGCAGGTATGTAAGAGTAAATCAAAGTGCAGGTATGTAATAGTAAATCAAAGTGCAGGTACGTAAGAGTAAATCAAAGTGCAGGTATGTAAGAGTAAATCAAAGTGCAGGTATGTAAGAGTAAATCAAAGTGCAGGTATGTAATAGTAAATCAAAGTGCAGGTATGTAAGAGTAAATCAAAGTGCAGGTATGTAAGAGTAAATCAAAGTGCAGGTAATTATCAGAAAATTAAGGTGCAGGTACATAACAGAAAGTGCTGGTACATACAGGTGTGAACAGTTATAGTTTTATATATTTTAAGTCCAATGGCGCTTCAGTTACATCTTCTAAAAAAAAACAAAAAATCTTACTTTGAACTGTTGAACAATGTTTTCTGTCCTGATGCTGACTTTGAAAACACAAAGTGAACAGTTGATAGGTGAATCATGGAATGTTTCATTAATACGACTTGACTCCTGTCGTACTTTTCATCGTCTTCTTATAATATGCTTAGTCTACCTGCAATAAAAAGAATTCTTGTTGAGCTAGCTTCTTAGGGTTATCATCATCTGTATTGAAGAAAAATGATCAAATATGCTGTAATTTATAAATTTAAAGATACTGTGTACATGTAATTTGTCAAGTACCTGTAAATACAAATATGTACCTGAATATAATCTGTGCTACCTGTTAACGAGTATTTATTTACATGTAGCTGCCCTTCTGGAGTAGCAGGAGAACGCTGTGACAAGTGTGGCAGTAACTACTGTCAGAATGGTGGTCAATGTATAGCCACAACTCCCACACTTTCCTGCAAGTAAGTCATTTTCAAAATTACATATACCTCATCAAAATCACACAATATCACCTCCATCAAGGTCACAAATACCCTCCTATTATCACGAATGCCTCACCAGTGTAAAGTAGCAAGTATTTCAACAAGGTCACAAATACTTTCCCAAGGTCACAAGCACCACACCAAAGTCACAGATACCTTATCAATATCACAAGTACCACACCAAAGTCATACCTGCAATATTTTTCTGATGTCCTAGTACTTTATTAAGGTCATAACTACTTCTACAATGACATTAGGACTTTATGAAGGTCACAAATAACACCCCAAGGTCACAAATATTTCCTCAAGGTCACTTGCACTTTACCAAGGTCACATATGCTTTACAAATGTCAATAAATACAAGATTATATGTTCATTTGTAACTTAATTTAGGTCACCAGGTCATCACCAAAATCACAAGCAACTTCACTATGATTACAAATATCTCACCAAGGTCACCATTGATTCTCCAAGGTCAAAAGGATTCAAGGTCACAAACTTTTCACAAAGATTAAATGTACTCACATGATCACAGATTCCTTTTCTTCTCCTTGGTCATAAGTACATACTAAGGTCATAAGTAGCTTGGTACATACTAAGGTCATAAGTAGCTTGGTACATACTAAGGTCATAAGTAGCTTCATCTTGGTCACAAGTGTACTATTTGGCCAGTTCTTTAACTGGTGTCATAAATACCTTACAGAAATCACATGCACTTCATGGTCACAAGTTCTTGACTTTGTAGTTGGGCAAAACTAATGAAATATTTTACCATCCTAACACTTTCAAGAATAACTGTTTAGACTGGAAACAGCAACTAATTATGATTTGCCTCACAGAAGTCAAGGTCACAGACAAGAACATATTGTTATACACCTAGAACACAGCTTGCTTAAAAAGTTTGAATTTTCTGTTGATAACAATGCACTGTATTAAGGTGCTCTACTTTTGAACATACATGTCCTTGACCTGTTAACATCAGTACTCATTAAGCATCAGTTTTCATAATCAATAATTCATTAACTTAAATTCTTTAACTAGGTACTTTAATGTTGCATACTTGAATTGTCTGCATGGTTTCATTTTAACTGTCGTAACTCCATTGTTTAAATCAGTAGCATTGTTGTAAGCTCCCTCCATTTGCTTTGCTTTCAGTAACTGTCTTCGCTAAATACAGGTTACAAATTGCAAAATGAAATTGAGAAAATATTGTTATAGCATTTAAATATGGAATTTAATAAGCAGTTTTTCAAACCTTATTTGAAAAAAATGTTTATTAAATTTCTAATTTTACAGACTATTTTGATCTCACTTTTTAAAATTTAAGAACTTTCAGTGATTTTTGGCTAACCATGGTTAAGAAACTTATTTAAAAATCAAATCCACGAGAATCTGTATTTAGGTGTGATTGCTTACATCGTCACCATCATGTGCAAGCATTCTTATCATTTCAGCTGTACCGGAGGATTCACCGGCCCTCGCTGTGCCACTGCTGTTTGTAATGGTTATTGTGAAAATAATGGCCAATGCTCCATGCAAAATGGAAATCCAAAATGCTTGTATGTATTTTGGATGGGACTTTGGAAGTCCATGTTTTAAGATTTATCCCTGAAACACTTTCCATAAATTTCAAAATTTAAAAACAACTTCTGCAGCAGCAAATTTGCTTGAAATGTTATGAATGAAGAATGATATGAAGCTTTTTATTCCTGATAATCTGAGGGTTTGTCAAAATGATTTTATTATCTATAAATCTGTTCACATTAACGTTATGTCAAATCATCTTCTCACATAAACATAATGTCTAATTATCTTCTCACATAAACATAATGTCTAATTATCTTCTCACATAAACATAATATCAAATTATTTTACATAAATGTAATGTCTAACATAGACATTTTGTAACATGACTGTCTTACATAAACATAATGTAGATGTATATATGGTATATTTTTAAAACAAGTCGAGTTGTGTCAATTTATAAATACATAAACGAAATATATCAGATATTGTCCTTATGAAGCAAAGCTGACAGGTGCCAACAATTTCCTAAATTGTACATATTTATTCTAAATAAGGTTTGAAAATACAAAGTTGCAGACATCCATTTTAAGATCATATGCATTTAGTTGTTTCTATACCTGATCAGCTTGCTGAGGTCATTTAATGTAAGATTTTGTGATGCAGAACAAATTCTTACATATTTGTTTGCCTCTAGCATGTTGTGACACTTCACATTGTCTCATACCATTCCGTGGCTTGCTTTGATATGTCCTGGGAGTTATAATTCAAATTTTTTAATTTCCAACATTTTTTTTTTTGTAAATGACTCGAATTTCAAACTTAGTCTGGTTTAAAACCACACTTAATTTCTGTTTTATGATTTGTTTGTGCATTCAAAACAAACAACCAGAGAAAATAACAACATATATCTGTATTTTTCAATTTTAACAAATTTTATTGCTTAAAAATTCTATGTTTTAAGGTAGGAAAAAAAGAATCTACTTACATTTAAATAATATTAAGTCCAGAGAGTTTCCAGAGATACATAGTTATTTTTGCTGTACATAGCTTGTGAAACATTACTGTGATTCTGTTAAGTTATGATTGTTGAAGTCTAGCAGATTCCATGAAATATTCAAATAATCCCTATGTAAATTTTTCTCCGGTAATTACCTTAAGCTGATCAAATATCAGCTAGATAATTTTTCCCTGAAACAGAGATCCGGTTATTCTTTCCAAGTAAACTTTGATGTTTTAATTTTGACACCAAGTCTCATCATCAGTTGCAAAATACGTTCTTTGCATACTAATATTTTTGTTCCACTCGTCTACCTGAACTCTTGCTACAGATAACAATATTTTGTTTATATGTGTTTGTTGTCTTGGTATTCTGCTCTATTTGTCCTGTTTTATTTGAGCTTTTTTTACTAAAAAAAAAAAAAAAATAGAAAATAAATTTGTGAATAGATATCAATAAATAATTATTTTATACAAATTTCACATATGCTTGGGTGTTTAATATATTCTTTGGTAAATAGCACACAGTTAATGATACAAAATAAATCCACCACGAGAATTACTGATATTGCAGTATATGTTAATTACAGATCTGTAACAAGGTGTAGAATTTAAGTTCCTATCTCTGTCATCCTTTTCTCCCACACATTATAAGCACATTCCCATGTTTGCTATCTTCCCTGGTATTGCTTTGATATGTCAATTTGATATCTTCAAATTTTTTAATTTCCAATTTGATATCTAGTTTCCAATTTAGTCTGGTTTAAAACCACACTTTGATTTCTGTTTTATGATTTGTTTGTGCATTCAAAACAAACAACCAGAGAAAATAACAACATATTTCTGTATTTTTCAATTTTAACAAATTTTATTGCTTAAAAATTTATCTTTTAAGGTAGGAAAAAAAGATATCTACTTACATTTAAATAATATTAACTATGTCCCAAGTTTGATATCTAGTGCCATTTTTGTCTTGTAACTATGTCTTGTGAATTTGATATCTGTTCAATTTTGTTGTAATTATGTTACAATTTGATATCTTCACCAATTTATCTATGTAAATTTTTCCCAATTTGATATCTGATCAAATATCAGCTTGTAATTTTGTCCCAAACAGATATCTAGTGTTATTCTTTCCAAGTAAACTTTGATGTTTTAATTTTGACACCAATTTGATATCAGTCAAAATTTACGTTCTTTGCATACTAATATTTTTGTTCCAATTTGATATCTAGTGCCAATTTAACTCTTGTACATGATAACAATATTTTGATTATATGTGTTTTTGTCTTGTATTATGTCTCTATTTGTCCTGTTTTATTTGAGCTTTTTTTAACTAAAAAAAAAAAAAAAAATGTCCCAAATGATATCTAGTGCAATAAATAATTATTTTATACAAATTTCAAATTTGATATCTGTTTCAATATATTCTTGTAAATATGTCACACAGTTTGATATCTGTCACCAATTTACTGATATTGCAGATATCTAGTGTTAATTAACTATGTCCCAATTTGATATCAAGGTGTCAATTTTGTCTTGTATCTATGTCAATTTGATATCTGTCACACAATTTAAGCACATTCCCAATTTGATATCTTGCCAATTTGTATTGTAACTATGTCCCAATTTGATATCTAGTGCCAATTTAGTCTTGTAACTATGTCCCAATTTGATATCTAGTGCCAATTTAGTCTTGTAACTATGTCCCAATTTGATATCTAGTGCCAATTTAGTCTTGTAACTATGTCCCAATTTGATATCTAGTGCCAATTTAGTCTTGTAACTATGTCCCAATTTGATATCTAGTGCCAATTTAGTCTTGTAACTATGTCCCAATTTGATATCTAGTGCCAATTTAGTCTTGTAACTATGTCCCAATTTGATATCTAGTGCCAATTTAGTCTTGTAACTATGTCCCAATTTGATATCTAGTGCCAATTTAGTCTTGTAACTATGTCCCAATTTGATATCTAGTGCCAATTTAGTCTTGTAACTATGTCCCAATTTGATATCTAGTGCCAATTTAGTCTTGTAACTATGTCCCAATTTGATATCTAGTGCCAATTTAGTCTTGTAACTATGTCCCGATTTGATATCTATTACCAATTTTGTCTTGTTACTATGTCCCAATTTGATAGCTATTACCAATTCTGTCTTGTAATTATGTTACAATTTGATATCTATCACCAATTTTGTCCTATAACTATGTTCCAATTTGATATCTGTCACCAATTTAGTCTTGTAACTATGTCCCAATTTGATATCTAGTGCCAATTTAGTCTTGTAACTATGTCCCAATTTGATATCTAGTGCCAATTTAGTCTTGTAACTATGTCCCGATTCGATATCTGTCACCAATTTTGTCTTGTAACTATGTCCCGATTCGATATCTGTCACCAGTAAAGTCTTGTAACTATGTCCCGATTCGATATCTGTCACCAATTTTGTCTTGTAACTATGTTCCAATTTGATATCTATTACCAATTGTGTTGCATATTACTAGACACATTGAAACAATACATAGATAAACAATACATCAGAATAACTTGGAAAGTAATTTGTTAAATCTTACTTATGGACTGCTGTTTTAGTTATTGTTTTGTTTGGTGTGCAGGTGTCGCCATGGCTTCAAAGGTCCTAGATGTGAAAGCTGTACAGAAGACAGCTGTCAGAATGGTGGAACATGCCAGATTGTGGACGGTCAAGTGTCGTGTTTATGTAGTCAGGGATTTAGTGGAAACATGTGTGAAACTGTAGCCAACTCCTGTGCTGATTACTGCCAGAATGGAGGTAGGGGAGAAAAGTCATCCATGTGTGTTTGATAAACTAATAACTTCACACCAGTTAGGACTTCTGTGTATGTATGTGGATGTACTTGTATGTGTTAATGTTAATTGTTCTGTCTGCCGTCTGAAGGACATCATGTTTTCTAGGATGACCTATACATGCTCTCAGTTCTTCACTGCCATGATACTTGCTGATCTTTATCAGCTACTTTAATAATAACTCCTCTTTGTTGAGGTTGTTCAGGGTAATTACTTAGTGTTTGTCATTCTGTCAGTAGCAAATCAAGTAGTGTACAAAATATCTGATGAGCCCCTCAAACAATCAAAAGGATGGTCAGGGGACGCAGTGGTAACGCACTCGCCTTTCACCTAGCCGACCGGGGTTCGATTCCCGGAACGGATGTGAAAAGGTAAGGGGTCACATGCCCGACCACGTGAGTTTTCCCCGGGTACTCCGATTTCCTCCCACAATAGGACCCCTCGCACGCTTACATCCAGGCCAACAAGAGTGATTAGTATAAGTTGACATAACTTGTTTCGCAATTGTTGTAAAATAAATAAAGTTTATGTATAACAATTTGGTTCATACGAACACTGTACTATATCGTACAATTTTACCCACAGGCACATGTGAACCTAATACAAATGCTGTGGATGATAAGAACTCTGTGAAGTACATTTGTACCTGTCTTCCTGACTGGAGTGGGCAGCGCTGTGAACAACCTGCTCACTCGTGTTCTGGTTATTGTCAAAATGACGGTGTCTGCTACCTCGGTAAGTCATCATAGAGTCTGTTTTTCTCGCTTAAACATGAATTTTATTTAGACATGTACCCTACATCACTCAGCATCTAAGACAATATCTTTCTTAATTGTTGATAAAAATTAAAATTGCATTGCTGTGTTTGATCAAATGTTGTGATTTTGACATTGAACTTATTGTGTTCAACAGACCATGTAATTTTGACATTGTACATATTGTGTTCAACAGACCATGTAATTTTGACATTGTACATGTTGTGTTCAACAGACCATGTAATTTTAACATTGTATGCATTGTGTTCAACAGACCATGTAATTTTGGCATTGTACATATTGTGTTCAACAGACCATGTAATTCTGACATTGAACCTATTGTGTTAAACAGACCATGTAATTTTAACATTGTATGCATTGTGTTCAACAGACCATGTAATTTTGACATTGTACATATTTTTTAACAGATCATATAATTTTAACATTGTATGCATTGTGTTTGATCAGATCAGGGAAAGCCTACCTGTAACTGTACAGGGGTGTACGGAGGGGACACGTGTGAGACTTGTCAGTGTAAGGAAGGACAGGGATCTTGTCAAAATGGCGTGGCTATCTGCGTGTAAGTCCAGCTGATTTAAATTGCCTTCTGCATAACTGTAATAAGTCACTAGAACTGTTATAATTCTGTGTTACTAGATCTAGGATAATACTTCTGTGTTACTAGATCTAGGATAATACTTCTGTGTTACTAGATCTAGGATAATAATTCTGTGTTACTAGATCTAGGATAATACTTCTGTGTTACTAGATCTAGGATAATAATTCTCTGTTACTAGATCTAGGATAATAATTCTGTGTTACTAGATCAAGGATAATACTTCTGTGTTACTAGATCTAGGATAATAATTCTCTGTTACTAGATCTAGGATAATAATTCTGTGTTACTAGATCTAGGATAATAATTCTGTGTTACTAGATCTAGGATAATAATTCTGTGTTACTAGATCTAGGATAATAATTCTGTGTTACTAAATGAAGGCTGATAATTCTGTGTTACTAAATCGAGGCTGATAATTCTGTGTTACTAAATGAAGGCTGATAATTCTGTGTTACTAAATCGAGGCTGATAATTCTGTGTTACTAAATCGAGGCTGATAATTCTGTCTTACTAAATCGAGGCTGATAATTCTGTGTTACTAAATGAAGGCTGATAATTCTGTGTTACTAAATCGAGGCTGATAATTCTGTGTTACTAAATGAAGGCTGATAATTCTGTGTTACTAAATGAAGGCTGATAATTCTGTGTTACTAAATCGAGGCTGATAATTCTGTGTTACTAAATGAAGGCTGATAACTTTGTGTTACTAAGCTAATATGAGTATGATATTTGACTTTGACAGATGTGGGGATCTGTGGAAAGGCAACCTTTGTGATGAGAGTATCTGTGATACTGACTGCTCCAACGGTGGCCAATGTCAGGACTGTAAACTTGACAACCACCATGTTGCGTCCTGTAACAGCTGTTTGTAAGTATTCTATCTGTAAATCAGCATGTTACTAGTTCTGAGGTGTAATTCTGTACCTAAATACTGTACATGTGTCACAGAAAGTGATTAATGAGAATTTCTCTCGGTCGTAAATTGTTTCCTAGTTAACGGGTCTGCAGGGGATATAAATTGGGCACTGTTCAGGTGTCTGTTCCTGGAGATTTTCCATGCTATGGCTTGAAAACCATTTAACTTATATCTATAAAAAAATTGCACTGGTATCAAGCTAGCGTGTAAGTTGTGTGTTTTTGGTTGTTTCTGATGATTTATCATTGCTATTTCTCTGTTACCATGGAAATATATACTAGTCAGAAATTTAAAATTGCTTTTTTACTAGCTTATCTGGGCATGCACCTCCATAACTGTTTAACCAACCTCTACAAACATTTTTATACATATCAGACTGGTGGTTTAGAGCTGTCTCTTATATTTGGTGAGATTTCATTTTGGACAGGTTCTCTTTTACCATGGAAACAAAGTGTGAGGAATAATGCCATGCTTTGTGGCTCCTTGTTCTCGAAGTTATGTACCAGGTAGTGAAAATTAAAGTGATTAGGAAAATTGGGTATTAAATTCTAAATGAAAATAAAATGTTATTTAGTACATCTGTACTTACATCATGTAGCTTGACCTGTTATCGTTGTTGCCATGGTTACAGATGTAGTCCAGGTTTCCATGGCGATCGTTGTGAGAAAAGTGCAGAGAAACAACACCAGCAACACGAAGACAGTGTCCTGCTATCTACTATCATCCCAATCATCGCTGCTGTCCTCATCCTCATCATCATCATCATTGTTATTATTCTTGTTGCACGCAAGAAGAGGTAACATTATTTATATCTGTTAACTATACCTTCCTCTGTATTAATTAGATGAAATGTGTTATTTAACTGTGAAGCTGCAAAAGAACATGGCCGCAAGTCATTGAATAATATGACTTTCTTGATGATATTTTCACAAAAGTAAAATCAGGCACATTTATATAATCAGGTAATTTAATAAAAAAAATAGCTCTGATTACAACCAGTTGATTCACAACTGATGTCTATCATGTGTACCTTTGACAGAGATCAGTTTAAGCATCAACGGATGGTGAGCAATTCTAACTTAGAGGTAGCGAATCCTATCTACCTGGCGCAGGCTCAGGAAGGTGACATGGCACCTATGCAGGTGTATGATGAAGAAGGAGATGATGTAAGTGGCAATTCCTGTAGATTATTTACTATTGAGTTGCTGTCTAGCTTTGTATTTGTTGAATTTTTCAGCTTTGGGTTTAGATCTTTGTTGTAGGAATAGTCTGACTGTATAGAGAAAAAACCTTAAGAAGTTTGGACAGAAAAATATCGAGGAACGTTTATGAGAATAATTGTCTGTTATCTTCAATTAAAAATGCTGTCAGGCATCAAGTCAAAAACTTTTTTTTTTTTTTTAGATTTCCAACCAGGTATATCTTGTCACCTATTTTCATGATAGGCACTTAATTCTTGTTTATTTTGTCTGGGAATGAGTAGCATATATTCAAAATGTTGGTTTATTTTATTCCAATTGATTTGATCATGCAACACAAAATTTGCTTCTAGTATGTGTCTGTTTTGACATTTTAGCATGTCTTTTGTGATCAGAATGCATTTTATTTTAAACTAAAATCAAATTAGCTCAGTATTTTTGTTGCTTGCCACTTTTATTTGGGAAAAACAAAACAAAACATCAAAATTGTTAAAATACCTAGATATACTTCCACCAACTCTACTTTTGTTTATTCTCGAGAAATGATAAAATAAGAAGTGTTGTCTGGGAAAACTCTCCTGAAAAGAAAATATTGTATAGCTGATAACTTTTATGGATCAAAAGTTCTGTAAATTTCTAATGGACGGTCAAATTATGTTTTCACAAGGGGAAATTTTGCACTGTGGATGTACAAGAACATCTCATATACAGGTCTCATCATCTCATAAATTAAATTTTTGTGGTCATATTAAGGTACTGTAGAATAGTGAAAATATCATCCCCTTGAAAATAACTGATAATGTGGAAATTATTTTAGTGGTTTCCTGCTAGTTTTTGATTCAAATTATTCCATTCTAAATAAATTTAGTTCAAAAGTGTATAGAAAGTCAACATCAGACATACATTTATTATAAGGTCATTGAAAAGAAAAATTTCTTTAGAATTTTTTTTTTTTTTTAATCCCAACAAAATATTTAGAAGTTTAAACATATTTTGCTGTATTTAATGTGTCTTAATAGAAACCAAAGGAAGGGGAAAAGGTAAGCATGGGTGTTGTGTAGCTGTTGTTATAGTTACATTTGTGATATATATATATATATATATAACTGTTGTCATGGTTACATGTGTTGTACAAATCAGAGTAAGACCAAACAAATTCATCGTAATGTTTTTTTTCTTTAGCCATGCTTATTTGTATTATGTTTAAATGTTATTTTTTGTTTTATTTTATATATGATTTTTGCAAAATAGTTTTCTAAAACTGTCTTTTGATGTTGACTGCAGATTCAACTGTGCACTTAGTAACTACTGTCATATATTTATTACTTAATGATAAACAGACAAAATTCCATAGAAGTCTTTGATCCATCAGACACATAAAGGCTTATAGAATATGGAGGTACATGAAACTACATACAAGTGCAGGTTATACACATTTGTTTAGGTTTAAATATAGGGATATCTACAACAGTTATTGCACATTGATATTTCACCCACTTGGGTAGGTACTTATATAGGCCACACCTATTGTAGGATCCCACAACTGTTCTACCCACTCGGGTAGGTACTTACATTGGCCACACCTATTGTAGGATCCTACAACTGTTCTACCCACTTGGGTAGGTACTTATATAGGCCACACCTATTGTAGGATCCCACAACTGTTCTACCCACTTGGGTAGGTACTTATATAGGCCACACCTATTGTAGGATCCCACAACTGTTCTACCCACTTGGGTAGGTACTTATATAGGCCACACCTATTGTAGGATCCCACAACTGTTCTACCCACTTGGGTAGGTACTTATATAGGCCACACCTATTGTAGGATCCCACAACTGTTCTACCCACTTGGGTAGGTACTTATATAGGCCACACCTATTGTAGGATCCCACAACTGTTCTACCCACTTGGGTAGGTACTTATATAGGCCACACCTATTGTAGGATCCCACAACTGTTCTACCCACTTGGGTAGGTACTTATATAGGCCACACCTATTGTAGGATCCCACAACTGTTCTACCCACTTGGGTAGGTACTTATATAGGCCACACCTATTGTAGGATCCCACAACTGTTCTACCCACTTGGGTAGGTACTTATATAGGCCACACCTATTGTAGGATCCCACAACTGTTCTACCCACTAGGGTAGGTACTTACATTGGCCACACCTATTGTAGGATCCCACAACTGTTCTACCCACTTGGGTAGGTACTTATATAGGCCACACCTATTGTAGGATCCCACAACTGTTCTACCCACTCGGGTAGGTACTTATATAGGCCACACCTATTGTAGGATCCCACAACTGTTCTACCCACTTGGGTAGGTACTTACATTGACCACACCTATTGTAGGATCCTACAACTGTTCTACCCACTTGGGTAGGTACTTACATTGGCCACACCTATTGTAGGATCCTACAACTGTTCTACCCACTTGGGTAGGTACTTATATTGGCCACACCTATTGTAGGATCCCACAACTGTTCTACCCACTTGGGTAGGTACTTACATTGGCCACACCTATTGTAGGATCCCACAACTGTTCTACCCACTCGGGTAGGTACTTACATTGGCCACACCTATTGTAGGATCCCACAACTGTTCTACCCACTCGGGTAGGTACTTACATTGGCCACACCTATTGTAGGATCCCACAACTGTTCTACCCACTCGGGTAGGTACTTACATTGGCCACACCTATTGTAGGATCCCACAATAGGCTGTTCTGTTCTACCCACTTGGGTAGGTACTTACATTGGCCACACCTATTGTAGGATCCTACAACTGTTCTACCCACTTGGGTAGGTACTTATATTGGCCACACCTATTGTAGGATCCCACAACTGTTCTACCCACTTGGGTAGGTACTTACATTGGCCACACATATTGTAGGATCCCACAACTGTTCTACCCACTTGGGTAGGTACTTATATAGGCCACACCTATTGTAGGATCCCACAACTGTTCTACCCACTTGGGTAGGTACTTATATAGGCCACACCTATTGTAGGATCCCACAACTGTTCTACCCACTTGGGTAGGTACTTACATTGGCCACACCTATTGTAGGATCCTACAACTGTTCTACCCACTTGGGTAGGTACTTACATTGGCCACACCTATTGTAGGATCCCACAACTGTTCTACCTACTCGGGTAGGTACTTACATTGGCCACACCTATTGTAGGATCCCACAACTGTTCTACCCACTTGGGTAGGTACTTACATTGGCCACACCTATTGTAGGATCCCACAACTGTTCTACCCACTCGGGTAGGTACTTACATTGGCCACACCTATTGTAGGATCCCACAACTGTTCTACCCACTCGGGTAGGTACTTACATTGGCCACACCTATTGTAGGATCCCACAACTGTTCTACCCACTCGGGTAGGTACTTACATTGGCCACACCTATTGTAGGATCCCACAACTGTTCTACCCACTCGGGTAGGCGACGCCTATATAGGCCACACCTATTGTAGGATCCCACAACTGTTCTACCCACTTGGGTAGGTACTTATTGGCCACACCTATTGTAGGATCCCACAACTGTTCTACCCACTCGGGTAGGTACTTATATAGGCCACACCTATTGTAGGATCCCACAACTGTTCTACCCACTCGGGTAGGTACTTACATTGGCCACACCTATTGTAGGATCCCACAACTGTTCTACCCACTCAGGTAGGTACTTATATAGGCCACACCTATTGTAGGATCCCACAACTGTTCTACCCACTAGGGTAGGTACTTACATAGGCCACACCTATTGTAGGATCCCACAACTGTTCTACCCACTCGGGTAGGTACTTACATTGGCCACACCTATTGTAGGATCCCACAACTGTTCTACCCACTCGGGTAGGTACTTACATTGGCTACACCTATTGTAGGATCCCACAACTGTTCTACCCACTCGGGTAGGTACTTACATTGGCCACACCTATTGTAGGATCCTACAACTGTTCTACCCATGAGGATCCAACAAATGTTCTACCTATGAGGATCCTACAACTGTTCTACCTATGAGGATCCCACAACTGTTCTACCTTTGAGGATCCCACAACTGTTCTACCTATGAGGATCCCACAAATGTTCTACCTATGTGTTTTACTACTATCTTATTGTATATTCCTGTTTCTGTTAAGCCCAACCCCATAAAATTGAGACAAAGTTACATAGCTGTGCACATTTGCTATTTATCCGTAGCATTACCATGCCATTTACATAGTACTATCGTAGCCTTTCAGTCACACATTGTTGTGAAGAATGTCTGTATAATTTCCATACTACTACTATAGTATCTATGTTTAGAGCTTTCCATGTTAAGTCAAAAATTTACTGATCATACTTACTAATTAAATATGTTAGGGTCACAAATGTTCTACCTTGTGTTTTACTAATTATCAATTCCTGTCAAACCACAACTGTTTCATCTGTGCACATTTGCTATTTATCCGTAGCATTACCATACCATTTGCATAGTACTATCGTAGCCTTTCAGTCACACATTGTTGTGAAGAATGTCTGTATAATTTCCATAGTAATACTATAGTATCTATGTTTACAGCTTTCCATGTTAAGTCAAAAATTTACTTATTATACTTACTAATTAAATATGTTAGGGTCACAATGATTGTGGTTTTCTAATTATCAATGGATCAAACCACAACTGTTTCATCGCAGTATCTTTCTGTAGAAAACCACCCACCCACCCTTTTTTTTTTTTGAATGTGACCCCAAAAAAGTACCTTCGCACTATACCCGCAAATTTACGGTATTATGAAATAAAAAAAATGATTAAATTCCGTCTTCACACAAGAAATTTTTCAATATTATGATTTTATTTATCACATATCAAATCTATGGAATAACGTTTATTTTGAAGTAAATGATTTCCAGAATCTGCTTATACATGTAAAATTTGTAAATATTTTAATTAATATATACCTTCCTATATACTTACCGGAAGAGCTGTGTATGACATTCATTGATACTTGTTTCTGGTGTAACACAGTTGATGATAAAAATAGCTGTATATAATTATGAGTTAGAGATGGACAAGTTTATTGTTTCAATGCACTTCCATAGAGTAACTGGGTACCATTGCTGTAACCTTGCCTTCTAGCTAAGATGGAACATGAAACACATATAGGTCTGTAATAATATCATGGCCCCTTGGTCTTAATGCGCGGTTATATATTGTCTTCAAAAACGCTGATCTTGTCTTAGAATTTCTGCTGATTCATCTTAATGTTTATAAGGGCAACACAGTCTTCAAGAATTTAAAAAAAATTATAATAATGTACGTGTTTCAAGTCGGCATGGCTCAAACATGAAAAGGATTCTGTATCAGAAGTACAAAAGAACTGTAACAAATAGGGTTTTCATAAAAATTAAAATTTACAGGGGAAAAAAAGGGAAACAGTGGTTATAATTAAGCAGCAACAACACATTTTAATGTCAAAAAAAATCCAAAGAGTTCAAAGTCAGTATCACTGAAGAAAATATTCTTGAACGGGTGAAAACTTTGAAAGACTAAAAACTTTTATTATGAATATGAAAATAGCCATGATAAGAAAATAACTTGAAAGTTTATAAATTCAAGAAAATAACTTGAAAGTTTATAAAATTCTAAGATTTTTTTTTTGTAATTTCAACAGATATGAAACTGTGTTAAAGTTTTTATTTTCATAGTCTGCTGGATTGACTTGGATTGACTTGCAGAGATCAAGAATTACAGCAAATATATGAAACTTTCTAAGAAATTTTTTTTTTATATATATATATATATATATATATGTTGAGACTTTTCTAATTTTTCAAAATTATAAAATTGATGAATTTTAAAAATCTAAACAGTTCTGCTTAATTTGGCAAAATAGAATACAGTAAAATCATAGTGATGAGGTGTGGGATTTATTTTCTTTGATTTCCTGGGAATTCTTCATTCACAAATTTGTTTGAATGTCCACAAACTGTTAAAATCATTTTTAATAAGCTTTGTGTGGCTATTTTTATTCACGAATCAAAAGTCCATAAATTTCTTTTTTTTCAACAATCGAGCCCCTATGAAATATTTTTACAGTACATGACATTTGTTTTAGTGAATAAGAAAATGTATTTATTCAAATATCGAAAGACCTTTATAACAAGTTTTGTTATTCATGAAGTTAGCTAAAGGTACTTTCTTTTTTTCCACAGTCGACAAACTTTGCAAACCCGATGTACAATCGCCTGTATACCAGTGACAGCACACAAGTGTTACTTCCACGGGATGTAGACAACAATGAACCTTATGATGAAAATGGAGATATTCATTTCTATGGGAAAAAAGACAAAACAAATGGAAAGATATCATTTGCATAATGATGTGATTTCATCTGTTGTGTAACATACGTTAACATTCCTTCGTGATGGCTTTAAAGATGTCACGTACATTCCTGTGATGTGGTTCACTGCTACGTATATGCCATTCAACCCCAAGCAGATACCAAGGTCTGCTGAACAAACCCAAGTGTTCTTCAGGGTGATGGATGTATGCCTATGTGGCCTTACCGAACTTTATGGAGAAGAGTTCCCTGAAAGGGAAAGAACTCAAAGAGAAAAGTCCTCTAGATGTTTTATTATGTGTAATGTGACAATTATTCTGAGAAGATGAATGTGTTTTCTGTGAGTACTTAAGTGTGTGAAACAGTTGCTATAACAGTAATGTATAACAGAGAGGATGGTTTTTCTACTTGTGAAAAGTTTGCAGTATAAATTTGTAAAACTGCAACATCCTGGTCTACAGGATAAAGACACAACTGATTCCTCATATACAAACAAGGACGATTTAACATTCTTTGTGGAGGAGTAGTTTAAATAATTTTGCCTTCAGCAAAGCAGTTGTTTATACCTGAACACCAAGAAAATCGTTTTGTTTTTGTATGATGCCCTTCAGACAATTGTGTGGTCAGTGGCTGTCTTACAGGAGACAAAGACAGGCTGATAAGCCTGCTATATAATCTGCCTTATATCACGTTGCTTCAGAAAGATTACATATTTTTGTAGCCCAAACCACTTAATTTAAGAATCCATACTGCACTTTTATTCCAAATGTTTTTAAATGTGTTTCGCTATCATTATTATATCAGAATATTCTTATTGTGTTATTTCAATTGTATGATGTATTGTAGCTGTAATACATCCATTTGTAAAAGATAATTGAAAAGTCGCTAATTGTGATGTGATAGATCGGCGGTTGTGTACAGGTTTTCATTTATCTCTTTAATGGTGTTTTTATGTTAAATCCATTGTGTCGTGGAATTACGTACATGTTTACAAAAATCTCTCCACTGACTTCTATCTACTATTGGTTTTTATCTTACTTCCTTTAATTCTCATTTCTAAAATGTAAGTACACACCTGATACTCACATACTCTCACCATAGATTTATTTACATTAATTCAGTTTTTCTTTGTTTTAAAAAAAAATTTAGAAAATATCGTAAAGGTTTGGTTTTAATCCCATGGTTTCATTTTCGTTTTAATAGAAAAACTTGATGAAAAAGGGACTTCCAATGGAAGTCAAGAAACCAACTACAAATGCTTGTATTAATGTTAAAATTCTCTATTTTTTGGTGATTTTTTTTCATCATTCAAAATATCACAGCAAAAAATAGCCTCCCCTCGAAAATAAAAATATTTAACAGTTCAGTGATTGTTGTCTGATAACAGGATTTATGGATAAGTCTTGATTGAAATACATAATATTTTTTTAATTTGGTTTTTTAAAAGATTGTTCCTTGTTTTATAAGTTGAGTAGAGATCTAAGTGCTGTTTATGGTGATGTCAGATCAGGATATTGTGTAAGATTTACCTTTGATTATCATACTGAGTACAGGTGTGTTGATGAATCTAAGGATAAGCTATTTACCTGACCATTGAAAAAGTGGGCATTCCTTAAAAGTAAAATTATGCAATGTAATTATTCTGCGTGATTTTCATTCTTTATGATAAAAATGTTTGGTTCTTCTCATCTTAAGCTTATTTCCGTTTTTTCATTTTTATCTCTCTAGATGTTAGAGTGATGTCCCTTTGTATGCCTGTGCTGTAACATAGAAATTATTTTCCTTTCCATACTGCCCTGTGATTCCCTGTAGGTTTCAGTGATGAATTAATATCTGTTTTAGTACCTGATCAATTCATAATCATTCCAGGAATTTATTGTAGCAATTTTCTGAATGTAAACAAATTATAGAAATTGTTGGAGAACCAGCCATCTTGATCCAATGTCTATGTATTCATCATTGCCTGTTGAACAAGGTCACAAGGCAATTTATAGTAGACAAGTGAGAGTGAAGAAGTGAAATTTTCAGCATTGACACTGATGTTTTTTCTAATAGAAAAAAATCTTCTTAGTCTCTATTAGTTTATTATAAAGACTTTCTTTCAGTTTAATTTTCCACAGTATGCCATTATATATATAAAGAAATTGGTTTGTAATCTGTCACAATTTTGTCGTTGAAGTGCTGAGATTGAGTAAATTTAGCATGTTCTGGTGACATTTCCGTGGTTGATAACAGTAATACTTTATATGATAATCTTATTTACAATGTACAACAGGATTAATTAGGATGGATAATAGTTTGTTTGTTCAGAATACATATAAGGCTGGCTTTATCTTGAGGCTCAATGTCAGCATTCAGGACTATGATGAGGCTTGCTGTAAAATCCAAACTTTACCAAGACTTTTTGTAAAGGTAAGGTTTTATTGAGGCTTGCTGTAAAATCCAAACTTTATGATGGCATGTTGTAATAGCCAATCATTTCCAGGAATTGCTGAAACTGTCGATCATTTCCCACACATGACTTAGTAGTGGTTGTAGCTGTTATAACTGCCAGATTTTCCACAGAGAAGTGAGATTTGCTTTGTATGATGAACTCTAGACTGCAAACACTGTATATTAGGAAAGTTTGCCTGAATATGTTTAAAAAGGTACAGAAACACTAGTAGCAATGTAACTTTAAGACTGCATTGAGGCTTGCTTTATAAGCTGGACTATAGCGAAAAGCTTAATAATGTGGAAAAAGTTCTCACTGTAAAGGCTGGACCGAAATGAAGCTTGCTTGAAAGACTGGACTGAATTGAAGCTTGCTTTAAAGTTTGGATTATAATTGGACTTAATGAAAGCTTGTTATCAAAATAAGAATGTAGTTCAGCTATCTGTAAATGCTAGACTGGATCAAGAGTTGCTAGACTGCAAGAAGTTTTCATTGAAGTCTGAAATGTTGAAAAGCTTGTCAATAGTCAGGCTTTACATGTACTTGTATTAGCTTGGTGAAGTATGAAAAGGTGTGGCTGTCAGGAGACTTATCCTTACAGTGTTGAGAAGTGACAAATATACGTGTGAAATGTTCAGATATTGCGGCATATCTTTGTGATAAACATATACATTCAAGAGGTTGTGATGATACGATAATCAATTTATAACGCTGGCATTCCATTGTAATTTTATGTATTGTTTGAAAAGCAAAGGAAATATGTTTTTATTCTATTTTAAAGTACACCATTAATGTATAAATCAGTCTCACAACTCAATCAATATAAATATTTCAGTAGGGTTAACGAGGTTCCCCTGGTCTTATTCTCCCTAACCTCACTTACCTGTGATTGACCTGTGTTTTTTTTTATAGGTGGTAAAATGAGTTGATATTAACTGTTGACCACATGAAAATAAGTGACATTATCAGATGTTGGATTAGATAGAAAATATAGGGAAAAAATTGGTGTTTCAAAAAAACATGATATTAACCAGAAAGTGACATTAACAGATGTGACATTCATTGGGTTTCAATGTATTACTATTTTTAAATTCTTCATGAAAATCTTTCTTCTGATCATATTTTACCCTAGTTTCTTCAGTTTTGAGTTTCAGTTAAGATTCTTCGGACATGTTAATATTTTCTTTGTATTCATACTGAAATATTGAAAAGAAATAGCTCGATATTTTGAGAGAATTAATGCAGTTATACGTGCAAGTATTAAAGAAAATCAGGACATCAAAAACAGTAATTTATAGCTTTTTTATTTCCAAACTTTTAACACCAGAACGCCTTTAGATTTTTTTAACAAATTCTTTTTCACATATGATTTCGGTTCAAGTTTTACTTACAAAGTTATTGATTGAGTTGTGTGATAAATTTCACTTGGTGATATACTTTTTAATCCTAAATATATATGTGCAATAGGTGTGAAATAAATTCCTAATATCAAGGTCATCCAAAGTCAACTTCCTAAAAATAGAATATTGGAATTCTTGATAAGTCACTGTTTCTAACAATAGAACAGGGAAATCCTTGTACATAAAAATCCTGTTTCAAATAATAGAACAGAGGAATCCTTGATATAGTTGTCACTATTTCTAACAATAGAACAGGGAAATCCTTGATACATAAAATCCTGTTTCAAATAATAGAACAGGGGAATCCTTGATATAATTGTCTAATAGGAATGATATATATTGTAATATCAGTTGAACAGCATTTTGTGAATTGATTCAACAGGAGGTAGTGAATTTATAGTTGTTTTTTATACACTAAAATTGAAATAAAATTTTATGTGAAATGTTTGTTTAAGTACTGGAAAAATCTCAGAATTTCACAAAAAATTAAAAAACATTGAATCTCAATATTGTAAAAAGTTCATTATAAGATTTTATGTTAATGTGTTACTTGTGCTTGTATTGCCATGGGGGAATAAGGTCAGTGTATATGAAATTTACAAATAACTGGGTAAAACCAAAATTTAGGACAAGTGGAAAATATCAGTGCTTGTTTAATTTTTTCAAATTGAGTTTATAGAAATCATTTCACATATATAAATTGCTTAATAGAAGGATAGTTTAGGAAATGTTGATGTGAGATATGTGTCGCAATCTGCCTATGAATTGATATGTTAGGGCTCTGGAACCTGTTACCAGAACCTTAATTAACTGGAGGAGATGTGGAAGGGAGGGGGGGGGGGTCACAATATTTTTGCCAATCAAACTGTAAAAAGATGTTTTGTATTTGAATGTGATACCTACAATGATTAGTGATAAAGAATTGTTATTCTAATGTGTGAATGCATTTTAGTCGTGAATTCCTATGTACTCGTATGTTATAAAGGAACAAGGTGCTTTGGTTGATCTGCTTTATATAATTGACTTAAAAGAATTTCAAAAAAATAATTTGATTGATTGTGTTTGACAATGATTAAATACTATTTTGTCTAGGATTCTCTATTCATAACAGCATAAAATTGAAATTAATCTTTTAAAAATATGTAAATTTATTGTAATTTCATAATGGTAGAAAAAAAATTAAGCAAGATTATAGAAGTAGGAGGGAAAAAGATATTATTACATATATATATGAAAATGGTTTACCTTGTGTATCAAATTCAAAATTTTCAAATATTTAAATAGGAAGGAAGGGGTCATTATTTCAGTCAAATAAAGAAATATAGTTTGTTTTAGATGAGAGATGTATATATAGAAGTGAAATTATACTAGTGTAAATGTACAGGTGTAAATGAACAGGTAAAAGTGTACAGGTATATTTATACAGGTGTAAAAGCGCAATGTTTTGTTCAGGTATAAATATACTAGTGT